CGGACGTTGTTGAAGCCCCAACGGACGTCGAGTTTGGTGAAGTAACGAGCGCCTTTGAGCCGGTTGATGAGGTCGTTGATCAGCGGAAGGGGGTACCGGTTTTTGACAGTCATCGCGTTGAGAGCACGGTAGTCCTGGACGAAGCGGAGTCCGCCATCCTTCTTCTTGACGAAGAAGACCGGAGACGCCATCGGAGACTTAGAGGGGCGAATCCGGCCCGTCGAAAGCCCTTCCTCGATGAACGTGTCGAGCTCACGTTGCTCGAGGGGCAAGATGGGGTACACCTTGCAGTTGGTGGGCTTAGCGTCGGGGACGAGTTCAATGGCGTGGTCCCAGGCTCTCTGTTCCGGTAGCGTATCAAAGGACTCCTTGTTGAAGACGTCCTGGAACTCCTTAGCCCAGTCCGGGATCTCGGAGGGCGGAGGGGCAGAGTTCCTGGCAAAGGCTTCGGCCAGACGCTGCGAGACGGTGCTGCCTGCGCGTATCTCCTCCGCGGGACGGAACAAAGTGTAGAAGATGCGGTCACCATCTTCGAGCTGGTCATCTTCGTCATCCGAGTCCGAGTCTGGCGTCAGATCAGGCAGGTCGGAATCGAGACCGGAATCGGAATCGTCTCCGTCCTCAGGGCCAGAGAGGTCCATAGTGCAAACCGAGGGGAACGGGCCGGAGCGGAGACGTTTCTGGAGCGACCGGAGTCGCCGCAACTCGATCCGTTCGACGCGTTGATAGGCCGCAGTCTGGGACAGACCAGGAAACGACTATTTTTGTCGATTTTGTTGCTCAGCGCACGTCTCAGAGTTGACATGAGTCCCGAATGGTCAACTAGGGAATTACCTGCACAAGAACCAGTCAAACTCCAGTCAAAATCTATCAAATCGCTCTCAGTGATTCCAAAATCTTGACTAGGAAAAGTTCGCAGAGCCCGTTCTACGCTAGAATCTATCCAATTCTATGCAAAATACCCAAAGGGAGTGTATTCTAAAAGGCATATTCGGTTTGGCGCTCAGTGGAGACTCGAGATCGACTTCTCCTAGATAAGGGACACCCCTATCTCTGTTGGTATCGACGACTGACATCATTGGAACGTGGTTTCGGATCATGCTGGAGGATCGAGGGTGCCAAGGGACGGTTAAACGGCGAAAACCTACTCAATTGATTGGGGCCTGGACCTGTGATCAACGGCGACTCTAAAACACTGTCGGGGAACAGATCATCTGAACATTGGAAATGCGCCAGGAGAGTTGGGACAACCACCGCTGAGGCCATACGCACAAGATACGAGTTATGGGTGTCAATCGAAAGCCAGGAAGCAGAGCTATCCACTTATCCTACTCAAGATCGAGGGATTCTTCACAAGACAAACTAGATGGTCGCGAACACCGAAGATTTACACAGGTCATTGACTCCAATACACGCGATACCAGTCATCTGGACCTGGATTTTCGACTCTGGGCCGTATGGCGAAACGATACCTATACAATTATGCACATGGACGACTTTTCTTACTCGAGATTTTCCCTGATTCTATCTATTTCTGTTTAGTATTTATATCTCTGTTTTGTATTTGGCAGGTTCACGGATTGCCCCGCTTTACTAGGTGCATCTGGGGATCTAGCTCATCAATCTATCTTGCTAGCTCTTTCAAATAGTATCATCGCGTCGGAAGAATTATTGGTTGAGGGTTTCGGTTGCTGAATACAAGAGTTCCGGTTGCTGTTTATTGGGTTTCGGTTGCTGGTCGAGAGTTTAAGGCAGTTAGTTCCTGACTCGAGACAACTCAGAGGGTTTAAGGCAGTTAGTCCTGATCCAACGAGTATCAACTCCCCGGGGCATCGTATTGGCGCTTCTCTAATGCTGAGTTTCGTCGATAGTACGCTTTGGGGCACGACAAATCAACGTTTTTCGCAAGAAACTCGTATCTACCCTACAACCTTACACATCTGTGCCAAGGCTCTGTTCACAGGGGCCTGTACTCGCACAAGGAGTTGACGATTTTTGGGTTTTTGTGACTTTTCCTACTCGACATTATACATCTTTCTCTCTACGAAAAGTGGAGTTTTAGTTGTTTTTGTTGGTTTGGTTAGTTAGAGAGCTCATTTGCTGCCCCCACTCCGCACTCATCAGCGTTCCTCCTCGCGGCAGGTCGAGCAATTGCGGGGGCACCGTGTCATCTTGACCTCCTTGGTTTCCCAATTGATCTCTGGGTTGTGTTTCCGCAACCAGGAGTACCCCAGGATGAGCTCTTGCTTGCCAAGATGGGTGACGGCCAGTTGAACTCGTTCGGCATGGCCTCTGTAGCGCAGGACCAAGTCCGCGATCTGTTTGATGGAGCCAGCGTCATTGGGGGTGCCATCGACATTGAAGACCGGAATCGGCTGATCGAGGGTGCGGACTGGAATGCCATTCCGAGCAACATAGTTCGTGTCAATGAAGTCAGAGGTGGCACCACAGTCGACAAGCCCAGAGAGTGAGAGCTTCAGCGTGCTGGTGGTGGACTCTAGCTCCAACGGGAGGTGGAGGGAGTTCACCCCAGGGGCAGCGGCAACAGTGTACTGCTTGGGTAGTTTCTTTTCCCAGGCAGTGAGGCGGCGAAGGACGATGACCGGAGTCGCGGGCGGAGTCGGAGACGGAGTCAAGGCGGGGGGCAGGAGAGGGTGTGTCTTTCGCTTCGGGCTCATTGTAGGGCAAGGAACTGCATTCATCATACAAAGAGGCAAAACGATTTATAGACGCGAATGAGGGCACACCAGTCACTCGTCGCGGGGGACAAAATCCTCTCCGGCCATCGACTCCGCTGCCGTCTCCGGCAGGGCAGCTGTGTCCGTGTAGCGGGCGATCAACTCCGCTAACATCTCGTCACCGAGTTGTTGGATCACCTCGTCAAGGATGTCCATCGAGCGGACATCGGCGGGGAGGGGGCAATCCCGGGCGAGATGGTTTGGGTCGCCGCACCTGAAGCAGGCGCGACGAGGGGCACCCCGAGCCCTGGTGCGGTCCAACTCTATAGGGACGGGAGCTGGAGGCGCCGGAGCGGGGGCGCGGGCCGCGGGTGGCACAACCGGAGCCACCGGGCGGAAAGGGGCCGGAGCCGGGATGCGGTTGACCGGAAACGGAGTCCGAATCAAACCGCCAGGCATCTTGGGGCGGCTGACTTGATCAGCTTGGCCCGGACCAGGGCCTTGTATTGACGGAAGGCCCGGGTGCGCCAGCTAAGGTAGTCCCGGAGGTCCGGGGGGTCGTTCGAGGACGTGATTCCGTTGTTGATCAAGGGGTCAAGTCCGTGGCGGAACTTGGTCACCTTGACCAGCGCGTCTTCGAATCCAGCGAGGTCCATCAGGTCCTCGAAGTCGTCAGTGTACTGGTAGACATCCTTTGTACCCATGTGATAGGCGGAAGTCTCCAGCTTGGAGAGAGCGTGATCTTGCTCGTTCTCCTCGACGAACCGGAGTCGAAACTCGGAAACGAACGAGCCCCAGGACGGAAACGGAAACGGGGCTTTGCTTCCGTGGCGCTCCGCCCATTGCTGAGCGGGTCCTTCTGCCATAAACGACATGGCATAGCGGACGGCCTTTTCCTCGCTCGCCTCTCCGTTGACCACGAAGGCCTCAGGGGCAAGGCGGGCGTAGGTGCGGACCGCGTAGAGGAACGCGCGGCCGCGTTTCCGGTCGCCGTTGAAGGTGAACGGGGGGTTTGGTCGCAAGACCAATTTTGAGGCGAGGTTGATGTCGCCAAAAAGGGCTTCGGAGTCGCCCTGGACCGGAGTCGGAGTCGGAATCGACGTCTCCGGCGATGGTGTTTGGGGTCCGCCAGCATTATTAGTGGCGGCAGCGGCAGCGGAAGCCTGGTTGGTGAGTAAAGCAAGGGCCTCAGTTAGGCTGTCGATTTTCGCCTCGAGTGAGTCCAGCCGGGCGTCTGCGGTAGGAGTGACTCCGGATGGCATGACGGGTGCGGGGACCACAGGAGTAGAGGAGGAGGGAACAAGTGGCAGGGGCGGTGACGAGGGCGGAACGGACTCATACTCCGAGCCTGAGTCAGCGCCGAACCTGGCAATCTTGTCCAGTTAATCCCGTAGAGAGTTTCTTCTGCTGTAAGGGCAACCCCGGAGGCCTGAGATCAAGGTCCTAGCAGGGGAGGATCCAAAGCGTGAACATTGGTAAGCGAATACAAATGAAGCTGACCTAGCAGGGGAGGATCCAAAGAGAAGAAACTCTGAGGGTCCGCCTGCTAGGTAGCTGACTATATACTGCTTGTCCGTAGCTGCCGCTGTCGGGCACAGAAGGCTTGGGCGGCGTCGCAGGCGAGGTCCCAGGGCGACCGTCGGGAGGGCGTTGACGGATCAGTGATTGTGCGGGCGAGATGGAGGGCCGGACCGGAGTCGGAACCGGAGTCGGACCGGAATCGGGCGCGTCTCCGGGCCGAAAGGGAGGTTCCCCTGACACATGCTTTGTCTACAGTGTTTGCAAGACCTGAAGCTGGTTTGGCTGTAAGCTGTCATTGATGGCTTTGGAATTAGCGCCAGATTCGGGCTGACAAGCTGGAGGCGAGCGAGGGTGAGAATTTGGTGGGGGAGTTGGACTAGAGGATGGTTGGGCTGTGACTGGGACTAGGGGACTGGTGAACTTGTATATATCTTGGATGGGCTTCATGGCTCTGACAGGGGGCTGAGGGGCGACATGCTCCTTTGAGGGTAGAGCTGACCCTCATCTGTCGTCAGAGTCGCCTGGTACCCACATATGGGACCGTATAGGCTTATTATTATTATTATTATTATTATTATTAACCTCAACCATAGATCTCACAGCACTATGAAACATCAAAGTAGTACTTATTTCAGAATGATTCAAAAATGTTAAAATTTCATTGAACAATCCAGAGAAATGGTAGTATTACATATTGCCCCACTTAGAATGTGTTCAAGAGATCAATTGTAGTGAAGTGACTTGTAACCAAAGGCCAGAAGAAAGGCATAGTATATATGTTGGTGGGAAAAAATGATGAATTCATGAGATTGAATCCCAAAACTTCTTCACTAAAACAGATATTAGATTGTGTGGCACATTTAAACAGGAACACCTACTCTCTGTTTCAGTGTCGACAACGACTTTCTTAAGCCGTGATTTGATGGAATCAAGGTGTGCATTCGACTCCCTAGTACCCACATGAAGGATTCCAGACCAGTGATTAATTGGCGGGTGTTCATCCAAAGTAGCCAAAAAAAGATGCTTTGAAGTAGCAAAATAGTTCATGACCTGCGTTTCCCCGCTTAGATCCCGAGAAACCATCGCACCTGCCTGATTGAGAGCGGCCCGCGAGTATGGGAGAACTTCTTCAAGGCCTGAGGTCAGCTCAGCAGAAAGCTCCCTCGCTGCTTCCAGCTTCTGATGACGTGTAGCCCGCCCATGCTTCAGCTCCTCTTTCCGTTTCTCCGTTGCAACTTTCTCGAGCCTCAGTGCTTCCGCCTCTCGCTCGGTCCGCGTGCGTACGTGGCGTCGAAACGATTGGATTGCCGACGACGGCTCCACCAGAGGAAGCAGGTCGGCCTCCTCGGCCTCCTCGGCCGGGTCGACGGTATCGGTATTGGGCGCCGCTGATTGGCTAGGTTCATTGTCACCCGAGTCATCGTCTGACTGCCAGTTCGTCGCGGCTTCTGCTCGCTTCGCTCTCTGCTTCCCCTTCTTCAGAGCGGATTTGTAGTCCTCAAAGGTGAATGGTGCATCATCAACATCTGTGCGGTTGACCTCCTTCCAACACCACCACGGCCCTGCAGTGACGATCACGATCACCGACTGCTGCAAGGCGAACCGGGGGTTGGAAAATAGACAGTGAACCTGGTAGTCGGCCTGTGTCACACCTTCCAACAAGATTTTGGACAAGTCTTTTACAAGTTGCCGAACGTCCTTGGCGTGTCTGGTGGGCAGGCGCTTGCTTTCTACAATCAGCGGCACAGCAGCCGATAGCAGACGAATCTGGCGAAAGGGCATGGATTTCCACGTGAATTTCTTGAGGAGTTTTTTGATAGGCTGCGCCGTGTCCCTAGAAGAGACGTGGCCATAGACCAAAGCGAAGTCCACCTCAACGCCAACAGCTTTTGATTCGGGGATTGTGGCCATACTAGTATCGCCATCGGAGGGCAGATTCCTGGAATGTTCCATTTCGTCGAGGGTTCTGTAGATACCATATTGAGGGATGACGATGAGTGGTAGGATAGAGTTGTCTTTGGTAGCGTAGACGATATCGAGCAGAATGGTTGTCCAAATGCCGTAGGTTGGGTTTTCCAGTCGACGACGATTATAAACGGTGCTGTAAGAGACTACAAGGCCCAAAACAACACTCAAGACCATGAATACGTCCTACCAGGTTGCTGATTAGTTCGAGATAATCGCTGGCGGAAAGCCCATACCTCGAGAGACATGGCTGAAAAGCGCTATAGAGCCCTCATGGTCCTACGTCGCCTTTATATCCTGGAAAATTATACACACGCGTCCACAATGTGACGGTCATGCAGGACAACTTGAAAAGGTCTCGCACTCACGCATCCACAATGGGAGTCATGATGGTTCGCTCTCACGCATACACAATGGGAGTCATGACGGTTCGCTACTCACGCACACACAATATCTGAGTCATGACGGTGATATTTAAACCACAATGGCTTACTATGTCACCCGTGACACACTCAAATCCAACCACCATCCCTTCTTATACCATGCCGTTCGTTCCTTTCTTTATTTGTATGGAGAACGAGGCCGAAAGTATCCCCCATAGGCGACAGACAGGAGTCTCTTCCAAGTCAGAGTATGGCTTTCCCCATGTACTCGCAGCGTGCCCAGGTCTCTTCAATCTCGAAGGCAAAACGAGGGCCACCTATATCCCACGCCACCGAATTGGGTGGCTGCTCAACTACGTGGAGATTCGTGCGGCGACGCCTGAGGACAAGTGGTGGGCGACTGGGCCGACAAAGTTGTTCCTGAAGAAGGTTATTCGGGAGTGTTGTGCAAAGCATGGCGTGCAGGCGTGAGTCATCTCTCCCGTGTGTGAGTTTGATTCAGTTGGTGAATACAGGACGGACATTGGAGTCCTCCCCCTCGGTGATATAGGGTATGACCTGAAGTGCCGTGACCTGCTCGGCCTCGTGTTCATCCACTTCGCCAACAACTTGACCAACGAAAGCCTTGCCGTTGCCGCAAACGAGGCGCTACTGGACGATTTGGCCGCCCTACTGCAGGTGCCTAAACAGGACGCGGTGTGGCTACTGCAGGACTCAGCTCTGTGATCGAATTTTGTGTGCTTGTACCTTTTTGTCCGAGTCGTGTGTATCGTGATAGAAGTTTCACTGGTTTACGATTTGTATAGCCCTCATGAGAGAGATCTCAGATAACCTGAACTTTTTTGTGGACGTGTTGACATCACTGGCGATCATGATCATGAGACCGCGATTGTGGACGCGTGATCGCAAGTGGGCGACGTGCTTTTGCTGATTCATGGCGAAGCCCTTTTGAATTCGGGGGGGTCATTGGGAGTCATTGGGAGTGTTGTCGGTTGTTCAGCTCCGTGTACCAGTCATTACCGGTTATCTCGTTGTGTGGCCGTGCCAGTGCATAAGTATAACTCGAAGGCATGAGTTGAGGAGCCTGAGTGCTGTACAAGCCAGAATGCCGATTTTCTTCCTTTCAAGGGTCACTGAGACTAAATGTCTCCAATACAAGGTGAGACAAGTATCGATTTTTCGTGAGCACTGGTATCGACTTCTGTACGCGGTCTAAACACAAGAACAAGAAAAGCAGATATACACCTATATACACAATCCATATCCTCCTTCCGAGTCTTCGTCGAAAGAAAGACATGTACGTTAATGCGCCGACCACTACAAACCCTTCAAATATCTTCAATATACTACACTGCTGAGCACAGATCAGTTCTTGCCTCTGGCAACAGAGAACAATACACACTGGATGCGTCGGTGGTATGGGTGATGGCGTTGACCTTGGATTCAATAGCACTGAGGTGCACATGCGACTCGTGTGTTCCTAGATCAAGGACCTTTGACCAGGAACCGATTCGGGGGACGGCCTGATTATCAAAAAATTCGATGTTCATGTTCCACTGAGAATACGCTGTCGGTGAGAATACACGGATCCTTGTACCACCAGAGCGCCATCCCGTCGCCGCGTTGTCCCCCCATTGGCAAGGCTGTAAGCCGTGACGCGCCGCAAGGTTGTCAATAAATGCCAACTTCTCGTCCGTGGAGTTTTCAAGTTCGCACCAGCGCCACCATCGTCCATACATAACGATTATGATCATCGAGTCTTGGAAGCCGGGCTGCGGGCTCGAGAGTAAGCCCTTGTTTGCGTGCCAGTTTATTCCCCACGCCGGGGCGGTCGCCACGTCAATGACGAAGAACTGGATGGCCTCGTTGGCGGCATGGTTGACTCTGGTTGGAGCACGGATGTTTTCGACAAGCACCAGTGGCATCGTTTCAGTCACTGGACGACACTGGCGAATCAGGACTCCCCAGTCCACAACTGTGTTGGTAACGTGGTTGTAGACCATGCCGAAATCTGCAACAGCGTCGCAAGCCTCCGAGTCCCCATTCGAGCTGATAGTGCTCCTGGCGTTGACGGCAAAATGGGGGTCTCGTTTTCTAGAGATACTGCCTTGGGGGACAACAAGTGTGTGGAAGCCTGAGCCACGGCCGTGACGATCCAAACTCGAAGCGTTAATACTGGTCGAGGCCGCACGCAAAACAGTAGTCCAAATCCCCAGTGCCGAGGTTTTCGACCAATGACGACGATTGAGATAACTTGAAATGGTTCTGTGGGTAACTACACGGCTGAGAACCGTGACGATGCCCAAGCTTCCAACTACGAGTAAGGATGTGCCGCCAGCCTGAGTAGACTCGGAGCTGCCCTATAGCAGAAACAGTGAGTGCCATGAAAGGATCTGCAATAAGCAAAACTGGTGCGTACTTCAAGGGACATGGCGATCTGTGAATGGATCTGTGAAGTTCCATGGCTTTCTGCCTTTTTATAAATCGAAGCCTGTGGCACCCAGTGACTCGCGTGTCCACACAATTGTCGACAATGTCACAATTGTCCACAATGCGTCCACAATGTGACAATCGCGGTCTCCGATTATTTCCATGAAATCCACTGCCATGCACTGCTAATCTCGCCTCCGAGTCGTGTTAGCGAAAAAAGACAAATAGTTAGCCACTGCATAGATACTCATTCACTGACATACGCACTGACAAGAGACAGTCAACTTTAGTCGTCAACTTCAAGTCGGTGGTGGTCGCAACAACTGCCGCAAATAATCATGTGCGTGTGCTTGTAAAAAGAGGTCTACTTGTGAGTCTTTCTGCTGCATCCTGCATTCACCGTGAGATAAAGCCTTTATTGTATCTTGCAATAATACTACTAAAATACTGTGCAACTTACCGTGACGTCGCTGTGTTAGGCAGACGTGATATCAGAGTTGCAAGAGGCTCAGGCTGGCGGCTCTGCCGTTCATCGAGGACAACAGATGGAGGAGCTTGTCGCTGATTTTGACTCCGACTCCGATATGAGCGTTCGGAAGAAGGAGAAGTCACAACGCCGCCGTGACGAGCGTGTATCAAAATATTATACACCAACAGACACCAACGCGTACGGAAGTAACGAAACATGAGCCCCCTATCCTGCGTACACTCTCAACAGCCCTCGCTCCACCGAGCACCGCATCTTAGTCGCACTAGCATAGTAGATTTTTTGTTTAGAAAAAACGACGATCACATAATCGTGTCACGCCCAAGACTGGAGAAGCGGCTTCAAGAATCACAACACGAGAATAGGGGAAAAAGCGCAACGGCAGCAAACACCGACTTCAAGATTGAACCGTGCCGAGACTGCAGATACGAGGATCCGGATTCGATCAAGGCGAAAAAAAACAACAGCTCTTTAAACGCGAGCGTCTTCCAACAACCAGACTGGACAATTATCTTCCGTCTTCAAAACCTTCGTGAGGGCATCAAGAAGCGTTTTGTCCTCCGCCCACGCCAGGCCCTCCGGTGTCATGTTGTTCGTGAAATGCACAAACGAGAACGCCAGCAAACTGTGTCCCGCGAGGTCCGTCCCGACATTTCCCACCGGGTCGATGGAGACATCGAAGCTGCTCTCCTCTCCGAATTTCGCACAACACCCCTCCACAAGGTCAAGCACATGGTTCCTTGTCGGCATCTCCTTCCAGTGCAAATCTTCCGGAGTGATGCGACGCAGCGCGCCGTCACTCACGAGCCACCCAAAACTATACCGCGGGACGAGCGCGGCTGGCTTTCTGTAGTTGGCGAGCCCAGGGGAGGTCCTACGCACATGGTCAAAGCCCAAACGGCGGGACTTGGAGGAAAGACTGCGCGGCTCAAGGCTGGTGGTCGTGTTCGCGGTATGCGGGGAGTTGCTTGGGTTCCATGGCCTGCAAATCTGATTGGAAACAGAAATCAAGCTTGTGGAGAAAAATGAACATCATAGAGGGAAAACAAGAAAAACCGCAACGCGACATCCTCATGGCAGGGTGACAGATGCATTGTCGCAACACGACTTCTGGCCGTGGCACCGGTCACGTGGGCGTGTCTCCACCTAAGGATCACTTTGTTTTCTGTCCGAGTATTCGCCAGTCCCACCAGGGTCACGTATTTGTAAAGTGAAAACTCGATGAGATTGATGGTGGGTATCTACACAAGTCTATTTTCTACTTGGTGAGACACGCAAGTATGGTATAAGGAAAGAAGAGAGAGAGAGATAAAAAAGAAACACGTTTCAGCAAGCAATCATCGTATCCGGCCAACTCTTGTCCCCACGCTCTGCGTCGCTGCTGCAGGTTCCAGCAAAACTCCATTCTCGACCGCAGCCCAGTTTATATCGCCCCAGGCCTCGTGCGTTCTCATTTCGTGCACAGAAAGCCGGTTATAATCGTTCAGCCTCAGCATCTACAAAATTAAGTCAACACACGTCTCTCTGCAAACGGACAACAGACCTGGTAAACAAACAAACTGTCGATTGTCGACACGAATGGTCGCTCCACATATCCGTCATCCATATCGACCGAAAGAGGGTCCGCATAATCTCCCCTCGGCGCATCGTAGGCGTAAGGAAGCATCCCTGTCAAGAAAAAATAATAGCACACTCCAAAAGCCCAATAATCGACACCATAGCTAACACGGGCCCCATGCGCCATGGCTTCGGGCGCAATGTACATCGGGGTGCCGCCCCACGACTCGCAAATGTGTGGATTGTCGGTGCAGGGCCAAAGAAGCGGGAAGTCATCTCCACCATGTTTCTTTGCCCATTCCCAGCTCTTCCCGCCTTGCAACGTCATATCGAAACGCGCGGCCACACCGAAGTCACTGATGATGAGTTGGCCATTGCTGTCGAGCAGCAGGTTGTTTGGTTTGATATCATGGTGCGCGATCCCAAGTTTGTGCAGTGCATTTATGCCGAGAAACTAGATGTGGGGTTTAGCGCGGCTTGCGCTGATAGTAGAAAGGCATACGAGTTGGGCAGAGTAAAACAACGCTATCGGACGAGCTAAGCCTTGGACTGGCACCCTTTCCCACATCGTATCCCCTGGAAGATAATTCTGGATAACGGGTTAAAAGTCCTTACAAATCAAAAAAAAAAGAGGAACAAACCATGACGATGATATACTCAGTATCATTCACGAAGCTCCCCAAAATATTCGTATATTTGCTGCCGTTCTTAGCCAAAGTAACTCTGCTCATCGTGCGAACTTCATCCGTGACCAGTTTGAATTTTTCACGAATAAGATTCTTCTTGATTCTCTTGACTGCGATACTTGCACCAGTGGAGGTATCTATACCCAATTCGACAGTCCCAAACCCGCCTTTGCCTAGGATTTTCTCGATTTTTATGTTTTTCGGATGGATTCGGATGGGAAGAACGTCGCAGAGAAAGAGCACGGCCCATGATGTCCAAAATGGCACAGGTGGTGGTGGTGGACGTGGGGGTGGTTTATCGATCGGAGCCCGAGCTGCTGCTGACGCGTCATATTGTGGACCGTGTGGTTCATTCGGAGTCCCTTGACGACGTGCTGCTCTGGACCGGATTTTGCGATAAGTTATGGTGATCGCTTTGAGGCTGACAGTCCAAATCCACGGAACGACTTTGGAGAGCATGAAATGTGTGAGAATCCGAAGCAAAACGAATGCCGTGAAGGTGAACTGCTTGAACAATGGGAGAAGTTGCTCAAATACTTGCAGCGCGGCCTTCGAGCCCAGAACTACGATATAGCGAAGGGCTTGCTGCAGCGCATTGATTGTGAATTGCCCGTCGACAATAAACTGAAGCGGTAAAGAGCAAGATGTATCCCAAGCTAATTGCAGATGAAGGGGCTTCAGACTTGATCCAGCAGCGAAAGCGGTAACGAAGACGCTGAAGACAAGAGCTGAGACGATATGCGGGGACATCCAGTCGTTTCTTGGGTTGGTGCCCTCGATGAAAGTCGGAGTGGCAAACCGGTCGAAAGCGTCAAAGACGGGGTCGGGAGGGGGTGGCGGGGGAAGAGGAGGGTTGATGAAGTTGATTGGAGCCGTGTAGACGACCAAATCACCGTGGTAGAGAATTAATCCAGTCTCGACAGGGCCAGAGACGTGCAGGATACTGCCTCTACTGTGGACAACGAGACCACGATGAGCGGTGTGGACCTCGAGGCTGTAGACAACAGTTGGAGCGAAGTGGTGAACCACGAATGAGGCAAGAGCTGAGATAATTGGGATGAAGAACATGAGAGTTCAAGTCAAGAAACGACAAAGTCACGCACGATGTCACAGTCGCATTAATGCGCGCCACCGATGTGAGACCACCGCGATCAACAACGACAAGAGGAAAATTGGGGACGTGCATGGTGGTTCGAAGAGAAGTTGTTTACCTCCATCAGGAAACGACGTCAACCGGTGATATCTATCAATGCCGGCATCAAAGTCTTCTCAAAATTCAATATTTTCGGTTCCCGTCTTTGTGGGTCAACAACTTTTACTCTTCAAACTACGTGAAATTGGGCTGATATACCAAGCACAAATGAAAGTTTCATAAGTTATAGAACAACTAAATCTCCTCGACACGAATGACACCAAAAGACATGAGAATCGTCCAAGAAATGTGGTCGGTGTAAAGAGTGGACCATGACGGGCGGTGATGTTGATGCCGGACGAGATGTTCCGTCGACCGATAAAACAGGCGACAAAGTGCGAGATGGTGGGTGCTGTTGGTGGGCGGCAACCTCGGAGTCGATCCTCGCCTTCAGCATACTCAAGCTTACTTTGCGCTTGTGGCGTGTTTCGGCGGTGAGGTTTTGGTCAAACAAGGTACGAGAAAGCGGCGCATTTGGATTGCCCAACCCTGCCCGGACCGAGGCTGCTCGACTCACAGGCCGTGAAGAGGATGGAATGCTTGGTGACATGGCGCGGTGAGTTCCTGCCAAACGCAACTGATCTTCGAGCGAGCTGATTTGTTTCCGCAAACTGTGTGATTTAGCTTCAGCATCGAATACAGAGTTTTCCAAAGCGCGGATTTGCGATTGCGCTGTTGACAGCTCTAAAGCATGTTGTTGTCGCATGGAGCTAATCAGTTCGTTGTCCAATGAAGGCGCTTCAGAAGGCAGTGATACAGCGTCACGAAGATGTTCAATTTCTTCGTCTTTTGCTGCAACTTCTGCTCGAAGAGACTCAATCTCGTTTTGTGCTTGCTCCAAGAAACGTTGCTCTTCTTCATGAGCACTATCTCGCTCCAAGATGCCCTGGGTCAGAGTGGAAATCTCATTTCGTTGCTCATCAGAAATGGAAGACAGTCGTTCCACCTCCTCCAAGCGACGGGCACTGTCTTGTCGATGGCTCGCGCGTTCTGCTTCTAGAGAGCGGATGCTGTCGCCAGCCAGATCCAATTCCTCCCGCAGTTCAGCGTAAGCCTTCTGCAGTTCCCCAGAATTGGCTTGAGCCATTGCCCGATCCTTGTCTCGCTCAGCCAAAACTTCCTTTAGTCGCTGCTCAACCTTCTCCTTCGCGTCCCGGATCTCGTCCACATCTCCTTCCAGTTGCCCAATGGTGGTGTCGCGACTACGAATTGTGTGCTGAAGCCCGTCAATCCGTTCTCCAAGTTCGAGCTTTGCGCCAGTCAACTCCACAATCTTGGGTCGCATTTCATCCAAAGATCGCATCAGTGTTGTTCCTTCCGCTTGAAGGTCTTTCTGTGTCTTCTCCGCCTCTTCTGCTCGACGATTGGCTGCTTTAAGCTCATTCTGAGTTGTTTGCAACTGGCGACTGCTGGCGACAAGATCTGATGTCGCTTGTTGAAGTTTTTCCGTCAATTGCGAAAGTGCTTGTTGCGCAGTTAGGTGTTCAGCTTGAAGAGCGGTCTTCTCTTGCGACAACGCGTTTCTTTCGTTTACTGCAGTCTCGAGTCGCCGTTGAACTGAACCGTGCTCTGCCTCCAACAGAGAATGCTTCGACTTCCATTCCTCGTCGGTCTCTCGGAGAGATTTGATAGTACTGTCAAATGTGTCTCGCTCTGTTTTGAGAGTCCCATGGGCCTATGTGTCCGTTAGATAACATTTCACGAAAAAAAGCGCTCGTTCACCTGTTTGAGCTTGGAAAGTTGGAATTCCAGTTCGTCGGCCCGATCTTGCGTATTTTTCAGAGACATTTCCGCACGCTCTAATCGGTCATCGTTCTGGATTTGTTCCCGCAACTCGGAAACTTTGCGCTGTTGTTTCTCTGCTTCCTTCTTGGCTTCGTTGAGAGATGCGTGTGTCAATTGAAGTTCCCGCTCCTACTTGAAAGGTAAGCGGCAGTTTGAATCCTGTCAAAAAACTAGTAGACGCACTTGCTCGCGGTATTTCTCCGAAATTTCCTTCTCTTTGGATTCAGACTGTTTGATCCTGACGGTCGCTTCATTCAGGTCGGTCCTAAGTCTCTGAACAGTAGTATCAAGATCTTTGGCCGTCTTGCGCTCTTCATCGAGAGCTGTTTCCGTTGCCCTTGCCCCTGTGACGGATTAAATATACTGATAAACCACAGCAAAAACTCACGGCTCTCGACTCCTTCGAGCCTTTCCAGCTCCGCCGTCAACGAGGCCTTCTCAGAAACTAGCAGCGAGATGGTCTGTTGCTGGTTTTGCTGCAATTCGTCATTAGCGGCTTCTAGCTGCTGAACGCGTCTTTGCAAATCCTGGGCCGTCGCTTGGGACTCGACGAGCTGGGCTTCTGCTTGTATTGCTTCTGTTTACGTTGTCGCACTGAAAGCAGACTGAGAGAGAGAAGACATACTGGGTTCGAATGGCCTCAAATGCCCAACATCCGCCTCCAATGCTTCAATCTTCGTCTGTAGCTTAGCAACCTCCTTCTCAAGTTCGGCTTCCTTCCCCGAATGAGACGGTGGGGGCGAAAGCACGCTGTGTCTCGAGGGACCACGTGGCGGGGGAGTTGCTGTCCGTAATGGTGGCGAAGGAACAGTTTGAGCTGGACTCGTTTGTGGTGGAGGGGTCGGGACTCTCGTTAAAGAGTCAATCCAAGACGTGTCCGGCTCGCCTTTCGACACGTCGAACCTATAAGCCATCACTACTTGCTATGGTCATAAATTCGTTATTAGGATCCACCTACACGTCTCCCAAGTCTCGTTTCTCTTCTTCCAAGGCTTCCGGCTCCGAAGGTGCTGGTGTAAATGACCGGGAAGGCGGGCTTGTTGGTGACGCTACACCCGCAGTTGCAGCCTTCTTCTGTTGGCGTTTTTTGAGCTGGAATAGTCGGTCTTTAGAAATTAATTCATGTCTCGGGTAGACGTCCCACCAAGGCTTTGGCACGCGCCGCCTTCGCCGCACGCTCCTCGTCGTCAGCCATGTCGTAGTTAGGATTGAGAGTAGTTGATCACTTCACGTGTTGGTGCTGACCCAGCGCAAAACTGAGAATATGGCAAATCCGCGAAGAAACGAATAAAATTGAAACAATATATATACGGAAGAGAGTTGGAGGCTATGAGCAGAGGGTTTAAGTACCAGAGCGCCGAGATATATGAACACCGCAACAAACAAGTAGTGTAAGGCTGCTGTCTGAAAGTAACGACCGACTCTTGGCGTCCATACCGGAGTATAGGCACAGGTGAGTATAAAGGAAGATACGAGGGGAAGGAGCCATTGCGATGCGAAAGAAGGAAGGGGAACCGAGACTTTTCGTATTCGAGATGTAGAAGGGTGGTAACGGTTATGCCCAGACCTGAAGTAGAGGATGAGAAGGTTTCTCAGTCAGGGAAGCTCAACAAACCTTGAGTGTGCTGTCCCAACTTCCCGTGCAAAGGGCCATGCCATCAATGCTTACGCCAAGACAGCTGACTCTGTTTTCGTGTCCAGTCAAGACACCAACACGCTCTCCTTTGAGGGTATCCCAGACGTTGCAAGTCCAATCGTCGTAACCGCCAAACAGGATGCGGCCAGAAATGGAGAATGCGACGGAAGTGATGCCGCAAAGAATGTTGTCGTGAGTGAAGGTATTCAATTCGCGATCTGCACGAATATCGAAGAGGCGGCAGGATGCATCATCAGAACCGGTAGCAAAGGCATCACCGTTAGGGAAGAATCTGAAAGATGTCAATGATTCATGGTCACAGGAATTTGGTTCACGACTGACTGTACGGCGTTGATGTCAGATTCGTGGCCAGTAAAGGTTTGTGTCGCCCGTCCGCTTCGGATGTCCCACAGCTTGGCTGTAGCATCGCAAGCACCGGAAACAAAAACATTCTGATTTGGTCCAAGGGATAAGCTTGTCAAGGATAGTCAGATTGATGGCAGGTGTCAGTGAAGGAGAACTGAGCGTACCTCATCACGTCCCCAGTGTGGTCGCTGAACTCGACGACGCGCACACCCGCTTCGATATCCCAAAGCATGCAGGTCATGTCACCAGAGCTTGTAACGATCTGTCTGTCGTTGATGAATCTGCAGCAACTCAAGTAGCCCGAGTGGGCGCTGAGTTCCCTAGCGCCTTTGACACCGTTACCGTCCTTGCTGTTGAGGTTGTAGATAGAGCAGATGTTGTCGAGACCACCACATGCAACAAAGTTGCCAGAGGGGGAGTAAGCACATGTCATCACCCAACTCGAACGGAGAGGAATTGCGTGGACTTTGTTGGTGGTGTAAGCGTCCCAAACAATGAGTTTTCCATCCTGAGAGGCGGAGACAAGATGACGGCGGTCAGCAGCCCAATGCATGGCATAGATTTTGGCGAGATGTCCCCTAAGCGCTCGTCGGGGCTTCATGACAATGCGAGGAAGAGGGTCAACTTCCGCGGCCATTGCACGTACTAAAAAGGGTCAGTATTGACCAGTGAACAGTAAGCAGGGGAACGAGGCAGCACATACAACTGGTATCAGCGGAGGACTCCTTCTTGGTGCGAATCTTCTCTTTCAGACTTTCCGCCTCCCGACGAGCGGCGGCAATTCTCTCTTGGATATCACCTTGGTTTTGCGACATAATGTACGAGGGAAAAGGTGGGAGAGGTGATTACTGAGAATGCGTAAATGTGGGGGTCTTGATTCTGGCTCAGGGCAAAAACGCACCAGCAATGAGGATGTGGGGCGAATAAAGGAGGGAGACTGTGCCGTTGAGCTCTGCAGGAACGACGGCGAGGGAGACGACGAGGAGAGAGCAACGCCCAGCTGGACAGTGGTGGGCACTGGGAAAGTGATGCTGCCTTGTCACCCGTCACATCCGTCACGCATCGAAGACTTGGTTGATGTTTGCATTGCACCCTATAATCGCTGCCACCTCAACTCCTCTATCACTGTCCCTGTATATCCTGCTATTTTCAGCGGTGGCTCATATTCTAATGCTTTCGTCCTTCTCCAAAACCTCGTCTTCCCAAAACGTGTCATGTGCCTGGACCCTGGAATCAGTCACATTCTCGGCAACGCTCTTCTCAACCTGCAAAGAAATTCCGCATTCATTCGCCATTATCAAATTATTTCGAGGCTTCAACTTACGTCCAATAACGCAGATAAACAACTTTCAACTTGCCAAGCTTTGTGCATTGCACATTGACAGCAAACACCAGTCAAGTAAGAACCTGGTATCAAGAACGCTTGAACCCATCGAGCACCTGCAAACTACAGCCACATCTTTTTGCTGTGTATCCTCCATTCTCTTCAGGCGGGCGAACTGTTGCTTGGGCTTCATTCTTTTGCCTCGTGGTTGTACTTCTCGTCTAACAACACCATATTCATTTCGCTCAAGCCCCATTCCCGCGAAGTCCCCGCTCCGAGGCTTCAACCCAGGCCACAGCAAATCGCTTCGCAACTATGCAGAGCAGGCGCCTTGTTCTCAATGACAAGGCTTTTGGTTGCTCATGCAAGGTTGAGTTTTGCCTGCCCGTGTTCAACGTAGCGCTGATGGGTTTGCTGTAGAAGACTTGTGGAAGGTTGATTGAGCCCTTAGGTAGTCCTTGAACATATCACATGATCCCTTGGATTCTACTCGGGTCCGTAGCTTTACTTCGCAATCAACTTGGACCACCGTTCGTTTGCAATCCTGCGCCCGCGGATCGAGGGAAAGGATCGACGCTCACCAGAAGAAGAATCGGCTACTCAAGATGTTTCAACCCAAAATAGTGCACGACTTTTTTTTGCTGTGCGTCAGTTTCAATTGCAAGTCGTCGTCGTTGTTTCTCTTTCTCCTAAATTGGTACATCACGCAAGTTCTCTCAGGATTCAACAGATTCCATGTGCACTCCCGGAGGTCAATGTTAATGTCTCTCTGATTCCCCTTGGTCGTACTCAAGCGAGCCGCAATACTAGGCACCACAATGTCGCACCACCTGGCCACATCAATCTGGTAATCATTTCACTCATAGCAGTTGGGGAAACGGTCTCTTAACCGTCTGCGCCGTAGCTTTCGTTGGCCTCTACGAATACCACAATTCCCAATTGGGATGGCTTTTAACGCCGAAGGCGCTTAAATTTTTCAGTGAGGCCTCGCGGTCGTTTGTACAGGCCACACAGGAATCATAATGCGATGCCCTTTATCATCGAACAGGGTTCAGTTGCGCATTCGCAGCTAGATCTCGGTTCCCAAGAATTCAAACTTTCGTAATCAACTTGTTTCCCTCATCCGCCCTTGACTCGAACGTCTACAGCATCAGCCACGCGCCGTCTCTGCAAGTCATTATTGACCTTCCAATACACTCTTTTCGTTGTTTCCATCGAGTCGCGGTATCAAACCATGACTCTTACAGAAGTTCAAAGCAGCGCCCGTCTCTGCATCAAGCTCCAAAAATCAGGGGCTATTATTGTTCTGTGCGTAGGACACCCGGGCCATCGTCCAGCGCCGTCAGTCGGAGGCGTATTCTTCCGTGTCCTTATCCGTCCTCCAAGGTCTAAGAACCGGGAAGTCTACATCGCTTGTAGAATTGTCAGAACTTACCGTTCCCACAGCTCTTTGTCAAGGAAACCTTGAGTTGTACCTGATGACGCATGTTATCTTTTCAAACAACGCCTGGGGCCCATCGTTCTTACTTCCGCCTGCGTCATTTCTCTCGATACATTTCTTTCAAGACGCTCAATCTTTGCAATTCAGGTGAATGTCAACGGCAATGTCTATAAGGACATTCAACACCGCCTGTCCGGGCTGTCTTTTACACACCCTTCGCCAACGGAACTCTAAATCCATAATTGAATGCGAATCACAACCCTTACTTCCGTTTCTCTTTTGGGATGAAACCCACGATATCCGTCTCCAAATTGGCGTTCTTGGACGATAATGCCTCGTCCGCAGACGTGAATCGGCATTTACCTTGCTTGGCGGGAGTAATGGCTGCTGTTTGGGCGCTTCACCTGCTTGGATTCTACTGCACCAACGGGAGTATCTAGCCCCGGGGTGGCTGCTGTTTTTTTTGCCAGGTATAAAGGGGTGAACACTCTGGGTGTTGTGTTGACTCACCGTCCTATATTTTCTACTCATGGCCGATTCCGACAGTAAGTAGAACTCGTACGTTGCTGGTCATGATCCACAATAATGGCAGGAAAACATCCTCGCACAGAACTCAACAACTATGCTCAGCGCCGCAGCATCACGGTGCAATACATTGATCAGTCCAATGGACTTCAGCATCAAGAAACCTGGACATGCACAGTTTATCGTGAGTTGGAAGCAATTTTCGTGGAATAGCTGAATATTTGAGGTGTTAGTCAACGGCCTGGCCTATGGAAGCGGGACAGCAAGAAAACGAGGAGCAGCTGCAGACAACGCAGCAGCCCAGACTCTCAGTCTCATTGCCGATGGGTACTGAGATAGCGATATACTAGTACATCAAGCTCGCTACTCAAATAACTTGTTGGATCCCATAACTACTTGTGTCTTCACTCTTTATATTACAAGCCTACTGCGTACTTTGTCAACTTTGTGTTATCTAGTATCAGTTTGCAATCCTCATAATCAGTCTTTCTTCAGTTCGTTCCCAATCATGATCACGTGCATCACAGGGTCCTTTTTGACAACTTTCACTCATGCTTAGACGATTCGAGGACTTTGAATCTCTCCTTCCGTCGTCTTATCCTCAACTTCTGACGATTTCAAGCTATTGAACACGAATGGCGGAAGGAGATCTGACCGAAACAACGTTAACTTGACTGTTTCCTTTCGTTTTCAGTTGTGTTTCCACCGATTTTCTCTTCAAAGTGCCCTTTAGGCTTCTTCGCTGCAACAGAACGCAAGATGTTCTATTAACTGTAGAGACGTGAAGCCATTAAACAGATCGCTGCATCCCTCTTGTGCTTATTCAAGCATTTCATGTATTCGCTCCACTCAAGGTGCTGTCGCCCAGTTTTCCAGTCCCCAAGCATGATTGAGCCAACGACAGGGGACAGGCGTGATCGATTTCAGACTCCGGACGCGCATCTTTCCGGTCGGCGCCAAAGCCCTCCAAAAAACGACCTCAGCAAATAGCAAGCGCTCGTATCATCATTCATGTCTGCCATCGTTGGTAAGTATAATGTGCCACCACTCCTTGCTCTTGCTGACGTCTTGACAACGGTGACTTTCTAAAAGACCCAATCTGAAGGGCACACCGGCAGCAAACCAGCAAAACTCTGTTTGTTTGTTTGTTGTCGGTGTCGGAGCCGAAGGCCCTTGCGGTGCTGAATCGTAAGCACCCATACTTATTTTTTATTCTCTGAATCGCATTGTCTATGCCCGTCTGAGAACATGGTATCAGTGATCTCGCCGCATCTTCTGCATCATCTCGCCTCCATAGTGACCCAACCTCGCCGTGTTCTTGATGTTTCTCCATCAAAGTATAACAGTCGACTTCTCACCACCAGCCTATTTCCCCCCTTAATTTGCTACTCTCCGTCAGAGCCTCGAGTGCGATGCAAGCTTACTTCGCTGGGATGTCCCGTCTTCGCACGTGGATTTTGGAAGTCGGGATTTATGTCGGCTTGGACAACCAAAAGACATTAACGGGGCAAAAGAGGGTCGGTCGCGTGTCAGAGCAGCTTCTTGAGACCCGTTTTACTCGGCGCAAGCCCTCTTCCCTCTCACGTCAATTGCTCAAAACATCATAGATGGGCGGCTGGTCAACTATGGATCCAATACTGTGACGCGAAACCGAATCGCTATCTCCCGCCGTTAAAGCCGGTCCTCAGCAAGCCAGCGGACGATACCTCCGTTGGACCGATTAGCTTGTCTTTCGGCTCGTGCTCCGTTCAATGGGATGTGATTTGACTTGTAGAACTTATTGCAAACCATTCAACTCCAACTAGACCCGTTCAGGTGAATTTCCTTGATAGAGCCCGGTCTGTACTCACCATGACGTTGCGTTTGACCGTTCTTGGCACCGTTTACAGGCACATCCCTGCTACCAACGCCTGATAGGTTAGAATCATGCCGCTACACAATGAAAATGGACATCCTCGTGTCGTTCCCGCTCCCTATCATAACAAGACCGGACTTTCTCGATAAGTATCGACTCAGTTTGGTCTGGAACTCGAATCTGGGATTACACGTAAGAGTGGAATGAGGCACGTCTGTCGAGATCGTCCGTTGTGGCTGAATCAGGTTCAGACGGAGTGCATAAATATGCGATGCTCCCGTTGAGCAACCCCCTCAACCCATTGGCACCCAACCTCCTTCGCCCACCTCATTTTCAAGCCACCTTTTGTCATCAATGAGTACTAGCAAGTAGCTGTGGCTCCCCGTGTTCGATGATTAATCCGCTTGAGCAGACTATGCAACCAAGCTTCACAATTGTAACCTCCGCTACCTCCCTTATGCTTCGGCGGACGACTGACACGCAGTAGGGCTCCAAGGGAAAACACCTAGCCAAGCCGATGCGCTCAGCTGGGAAGAATCCTTCACTGGTCCGTCAAATCAGAGACTTTGGACAATGAAGTGCAAGAGTAAGGCGTCTTTTGTCCTATAGTTTCTTACACTGTTCCTCTTCTCAGTCGACGGAGTAACCCGAGGTGAATACATTGTCTGTTGTTTCTCCTTTGTCCTCATTTCGCCCCAAGGCATCGGAACTGCGTCAAATAAGTCAGATGCGAAGGAAATTGCAGCAAAGCAAGCATGCGAAGCACTCCAGGTTCCAATTTAATATGTTCAGATGTCGTTGTAATAATCGTTCTGGGTTTTTCATGATACATACTGCTTCAGGTCGTTCTTTCTAATGGCCCCTGTTGACTCTCAGAAATGTGGCATTCGATCGGCTCCACTACCAGCCCATAAAACGATTTCCAGCGCTTAACTTGAGCGCTCCGGTTTGTGTTGTCTGATGTTCAATGGTGAAAAACACGCGGCCTTTACAACTTCCTGGGAGCACCCGCATCGGTGAAGGCAGATTTCCGCCAGATCGTCTTTGTTCTCCATTTTTTGCCAGATCAGGCAGTTCGGAAGCTAGTTGCCGGCTTACGACACTATTCTGAAGCTTGACGTTGACCTCGACGACATCGTTGATCTGTGGACCTTGAGTGGGTCCGTGGCTGCAGCTTTCTCTGTTGGGCCACTCACAAGCGAGCTAGAAGAAAAACGTCAACTCTGCTTGAATAGGAAAAGACTTACCAGATAAAATGCAAAGGTCCCCGCTACAATACGCTATGGCTGCTGCTGCTGGTAAGCCGCGTTTTTTTTCAATGTTGGTGCGGAGAGAACTATAAATTTCAACAAAATTAACAGGTGTCGGTGTCGCAGTATATACTTTTTTACCACTTATCCAAGCGCAAAACGCGAAGTACTTGAGTATTACAAGCATTTCTGTGGGCTTTGTCTAATGAGAGCCTTAGTAAACGTGGCTCAACACCACTTCCAGACGAGAACAATTTGAAGGTCCCCCAACAGCCAGTCGGGTCGGAATCCGATTCCACAGGAAGCTCAAATAAGGGAAAGTGATAACTGGAGTTGTTTTTGTCTGAGCACGCGAATCGGGCACCGTTCCGACCTTGCGAGTGCCATTTTGCGGGTGTAGGTCAGGCAACGACACAGCAAGCGCTCATGTGTAAATTTACTTATCGACATCCATACTTCTGGCTCCTGTAGTCCCCTTTGCCTGATTTGCCTCATCTGCCCTCCGTTCCCAAATCTGAACGGAAGAAGTCATCAGCTTAGCATGGTGGAGTAAGAGACGATGGATGGGTCTACCTGTAACACTGTCTCGCCGAGAAATATCATTTCTTTGCGGGCTTCTTCGACAATGAGATCTTGGATCATGAACCATTTCTCGTTGTCCCCGCCGCCTCCAGCTGCTCTGAGGTGGGCCTTCCAGACCGTATTCTCCTTGTCCCGGGTTGTCCCAGCTACCGATTCGTGGGTCACACTGGCAATGAGGTCGTACAACGTGGACTCGCCCGACGGGGGTGCATCGACATCTGATAGAGGCAACGCAGGGTTAAGTTTAGCGGGAAGCCAGCGCCCGAGAGAGAGATCCACTTACAGTCTCTGAAGTCCAGGCCACGCAACGGGAAGTTGACAATCGTCGGGTTCTTTTCTTCGACGAACTGATTTTTGGTAAAACGCTTGAAATGAAGAATGATATACGGCGGCAGACGCTGGCACTTGTATCGTCGCAGCTGGCCCGCAGATTCCTAGCAAAGACGTCAGCCCCATTCCAGGGCAAAGTGCCAACCCACTTGTGTCGTCTTTCCGTCATATTTGGCCAGCACGGCATGGATGTTGACCTGTGGAATGATATTTTTCTCGACGGAGTCCTGAAAGAGCGGTGGTGGCGGCAGGTCGACGGCAAGAAAGAGGAACGGCGATACGGTGGATTTGATTTCTAGAAAGCCATGAGTCTTTGACCATCCATCCTCCGTGTGTGAACTCGCCTCGAGAGATGTCAAACCGCGGCCGTTCATTGGAAGTAGCGTCAGATCGCGTTAACACCTGTTGATTTTCCACACGGAGCTCTCCTTGGAAGGTCGAGAATATGATACCTGGACGTAAATTAGGCATGGACCAGTCGGAACCAGACCATGAACGTAACTGGAGTTTCTCCGTTTACTACCTCCACTGTCTTTGTGTAGACGGTTGAGGAGCCAGCCCAGAAATTCGACAGGATCGCCTTGTTGTTCAAGGCTGAATTTTCCAACGCTGGCTCGATTGACTTCTTGCAAGAATTCGTGAGGACTGACTTGACTTTTGAACAGCCTTGGATTCCACAACTTTTTGGCTAAACCAGCAAAGCGTTTCAATAGCTCACTCTCTTTGGCCCGGAAATCGGAGAGAAGCAAGTGGTCCCTTAGTGGCGGGACGTGCAGAAGGAGGTGAATGATTACATTCATGTGGTCATTGCGTTTTATATTGTTCAGACCCACGTAGCCCGGGAGATAGGCGTTGCCTTTCAAATCGTACGAAGGTTTCGCCAGATGAGCAGAAGAAGACATGCTCGCTATAGACGCGCGTGTAAATGTTGGGGCAAGGACAAAGGCGATGTCGTCAAGCGAAGGGTCAGAGACACCATATCCATCAGGCAAGACAAACACCTAGGGCGACGCATGAGTGGAAAAGACGCGTCAAAATAAAAGATTTGTCTGCCTTTGCCGTCTGAAGATTCATGAAGACGTGATGGTCATCGTGGATCGAATGTGAATACGCGTAAGAGTTGCGACCCCGTCCTTGGAAGTACTTGCCACAAACGAGGCAACCGTAGATGTTGATGTCCGTGGTAGAAACTGAACAGACTTTTTCGAAGTCGAAGTCGAGCACTGCACGGTTTATCTGTTAACGTTGGCATGAGTAGCGAATCAACTCAAAAATCTCGGGAAAGTCCACACCGTATCAAGATATTGGTCAGCTGCTCGGCCCGTTGTTGCCTGCTGCGGCATTTCCTCCTCTTGCTCTTCGTACTCCTGCTCTTCATCTTCGACCCTTGAGCGTTTTGAAGGCCTTTCGTTGTCATCTGGCGCTAAGCGCGTTGTCGACATGAGGAACCAATTGTCACGATGTGTGACTCAATGTTTCGAGCCCTCCGCCACCATGTCCCAATTCGGCGGCCCTCTTTCGCGTCTTCAGCATTAGCAGCTGCTGCCCAAGTGCATCCACGTGCCGACATAGACCCAGCGCTCCGCAACTTGTTGCGCGACGTTGATATCTCATTAGGAAGCAAGAAGCGGACCTCCCGTGGCCCGCAACCTTTGCTGAAAAAAGAACTGGTTGAAGTCCCTGGTCAAATCTCTGACGTTTTGGAGTCCGCCATCGTCGACTCAAATGAAATAGAGTCTTTCGAGGACGAGCCTACAATGGGCCGAAAATCCCCGGCGGCAGAGTTTGGAGAGTATGGGTTGGGAGCTGCCGTCTTGCCATTCGAACTTCAAAAATCAATTGATTTAATCATCTCTGGTGCCTATATTCTCCGTGAAATAGCTCCTCTTTTTTTTGCTAAGTTGAGCTACAGAGAGTGACAAGAAACAACTACACAATGACGCAGAACGGCTATTCCACGACACTAACAGCGAATTCGCACAAGGGGGCTGGGAAGCAGCGTATGACATCCAGTACAGAACAAAAAATCAAGTTCATGAACATGCTGAACGAGATGGATCGGCATTTGCTTCAGTCGCACTTCCTGCTCATTTCTCCGTTATCACCGCAGTGTTGGCCCATCTAAAGCGCCGGCTTGAACCAGAATGGCGCGTTGAACGTATCATCGACTGGGGAGCCGCTACTGGAAGTGGTTTATGGTTAGCAACAATGATTATTTTGTCCCAGGACTGTCTAACAGTCGTTCTCTTACTAGGAGCAGTGCCTATGCCTTCCAGGAACCTCACACACCAAGCTCCCAACGAGATGTAGTCAATCGCACGATCTCTAATACCACCTTACGACAGTACATTGGCATTGACAAGAGGGAAGGACTAGTCACCGTGGGCAAACGTTTGTTGCGAGGTAAGCAATTTTATCTCGACACTTCAGAGATGATGAAATAGTTCTAATCAGGCTGTTCTAGATGTTGATACTGGGCCACTACGAGTATCTTGGCGCAAGGCTCTTCGCGACGACGACATAGTTCCCCGGTCAGAAGGGCACTACACGGTCGCTTTGTCGGCTTTCATGCTAACATCGCTTCCCACAAATGTTGCCAGAAAGGCACTGATCAAAGAAATGTGGTCAAGTGGAGCGCACGTCCTGGTAAATCATGCAATGTCAAAACAACGTCACTGAAAGCCACGATGAGGTTATTATAGATCACAATACCAAGGAGGGTTTTGAAGCCATCGCTCAAGCTAGGGATTATGTCCTGACCTCTGGCGACAAGGAATTCAATGATCCCGAAATGGATGGCTGGGATATTCGTGGCTCACATGTCGTTGCTCCGGTGAGTTTCTACGCCGGTATCGGGCAGTTGCATCTATCTAATCATCTCGTTGTTGTTGTAGTGTCCTCATGATCGCCCCTGTCCATTATACTACCCTGGCGACATTAAACTCGTCTGCGGGTTCTCTCAGCGCTTACAACGGCCCTCCTTTGTACGCCGCACGAAGCATTCTGGCAAAGGTCATGAAGACATGGGGTATTCATATGTCGTTCTGCGGCGCGGTCACCGACCTGCCAACCCTGACACACATTTCGGACGTGTGGGGCGGGTCGGGCAATCGGCGCTCGGCCGAGAGCAACCTCCAATCAAGGAGCTCTTCCTTCATGACGAGACGGAGCCTGTACCGCTCGAGGAGGAAAAACAAGATTCGATGAGCCTTGAGATTGCAGATGGGCAACCATCAACTCCAGCAGCGATGGATGCTGCGTTGCGGCTAGAAGCTTATCATTGGCCACGACTCATATTCCCTCCCCTCAAGAAAAGTGGCCATCACATCCTCGACGCGTGTGCGCCTCACGGTTGGTTTCCATGAACTCTATCGACCATGGTGATCTTGATACCTTGTTAGGCAAAGTCATACGGATGACGATCCCCAAGTCTCAAGGCAAACAGCCGTTCTACGACGCGCGCAAATCTGAATGGGGGGACCTCTTCCCTCACCCGCCCAAGAATCCTGCACAGGAGCGATACCAACCACTGCGTGTTAACGGAAAGGCCAGGCCCATTCGCCACCCAGATATCGGCAAAAGAGGCGGCAAGCCAGCCCAAAAGGGCGTTAGTTATGGCGCGTTGGCAGAAGACTTGAAAGCTGCCCGCAAACAGAGTAAAAGGGACCGACTTGCTCGTAAGCAGCAATGGGAGCAAGAGTAAGATCACAAACACAATCGCTTTCGAACCACCAATGTAAATTAGACCCCAACTCCTTTTAGTTTGTATCAGTAGCGTGTAGAATAACATCTAGTAGTCGGAAATTGGTATCCCCGGAGTACTTCTCGTGCTCAGGGTAACTTTCTTGATTGGGATGACTGAACAAAAGAAGGTTAGGTTCATGGTCGAGATAAGATGACAGAAACATCACCTTTCCGTTGGTTGTCTTCTCTTGCATCTCGCACCTTGACGTTCCCGGTTACTCTCTTTATCGAGTCCATGACATACCGGAAGTTTTTGACGACGTTTTCGATAGGAAAGTCCATCTAGAGAGGCAGCCGCATTGAGTTTAGAGCAAAACGGGAGTGTGGGGAGGACCCACTCGAGCGATTGGCATGCGTATGTTGCCAGCACGGTCCGACTTCCACTCTGTGCTGCTCTTGATGCGTCGAATGTAGGCCTCGACGTCGTCAGTTACTGTCCCGCGGCGAGCAGCAGGCATAAGCCCCATGGGACCCAGAAAACGGCCTAATCGAGGTGTGATGGCTTTTATCAGCGCTGGGGTACAAAGGATCGTATTGGCCCTCAGACGACCGCTCAAAACCTGTCATTGACCCCGTTAGCACGCGTCAAAAGCGGAGAAAAAGAAATTCACTTACACCTTCAATTAACTCGGTCCCCCCTACAATCTGAGCACCAGCGCGCTTCGCCTCGTCCGCCTGCTTTCCCTCTGCAAACACCAGGATGGTGTCTTGCGCTTTGGGTTTCGGCTCGAATGGGATATTTATACGGCCCTTGGGCACAGAGACACCACCGCCACTTCCCCGCAAATCTGCCTTGACAAAGAGCTCAAAACATGCCTGAGGACGCGATACTTCGGCTGCCTAGCATGAAACCCTTCAGTTTGACCAGGCTTCGTTTGTGTCTGTAATTCACGCACGCGTAGAACAGAGATTGCGGAGTCTAGCTCCATGTCGTCTGAGTGGTCTACCAGCCTCGCCTCTTTCGCTGCGCGTCGCCTGAGTTTTGCCGCCATGGCTTTTTTGGATGGGACTCTGCGTGTAGATTCTTGCTTCTTGACGAACACAGCTCGGGTGCTCGTGAATGTCCGCGCCATGGCCGGGGAAAGAATGCTCGCCGCCAGAAGGGAGCGCCGACATGGTATCTGCAGGGCGAACGACATGGCGCTGAAATTGACGAAAGGCGTGTCACTAGACTCGTGTGACTAGACTGTGACACGCGTCGCCCTCGTTTTCCTTGTGCAGTCACTGTCAGCCTCAGTCTTCACTACTCAGTTCAACCTCGCCATGTTGCACGACACAATTCTTTTCCTGGGAACGATAGTAATGCCAACTCCAGTATGTTATCATGGGAATATGCCTCACAGTCGACTTATTCTGCCCACAGGACTTTGCAATACCACCATCCGACTCAGATCCCATTCACCACTTCTCCACCCGCGACCGCCGTTCAACCAGCAACCTCACAACGTGTGGGTATCTTGCCAGCACGGCTCAGACGCTATCAATGACTCGTAACCCTTAGCCGCAAGCAAATCTACCATGAAGTCGGTTCCATCTTCCCAGTTTCTTCGAACGCCTGTAAGCGAAAGCACGAAACCCACCACAAGGAATACCTGCTCTTGCAACTGCCATCTTCACGAGTCGTCGGCTCTTGCATTCCATGTTCGTCTGCGTCGAACAGCGGCTTCTGTTTTGTTTATATCACTTCTTAGCAAAATTCAACTCCAACGCGTCGTGCCCATGCATCCTCTTCAGGAAAAGCGGTGAGCCAGTTCAACCTACATCTTACTTCAATTGAAGAAACGCAGTTGTCTGGACAGGTGAGGCTGCCTTAGCCCTTCTCGCTTCAGCCTCTTATCGAGTCGAGTCTTCCCTTGGACATCGTAGAGTATTGATTTCTTGCATGGAATTCTCCTAAGGCTCAATGCTTATTTTAACAGGAGCCTGCTACCTTGACAACTCCAGTAAGTCCGTAACCTCCAGCGTAAGTGCAACACCCAACCGTCACAGATAAAATACAAAACCCTCGCTGCTTTGGTATGTTTGCTCTCTTTTTCAATCAGGATGGAAAGCTCATCTTGGTGATAGAAGCAACCACCAAGCGGAAGGAACACTGGGCGGAGGGTAAGTATGCTCAACTGGCACGTTTCTTCGAAATATGCTTATATATGCTTCCAGAATCGTGACGAGATGTTGGTCTCTGAGGTACGTGGGATACGACGCATATACCTCTGAACTCTTCTCACCGATACCAGCTTGGAGAATTATCGTCGAGGAAAACCGTAGGTATTCGGTAAATGTTTGCTCCTCATGCTGATAACTTTCTAGAAACTGCGGTTAGACACGAAATCCAAGACAAAGGGCAAGATCGTGCGTGTAACGTTCTTGACGATGGGATCTCTCTCATCATTGGACAGAAAGCCGCATTGGATATTTGGTCTCGCAGGCGGTCTACCCCAGTCACAGCAAAGGTACTACAGCCAATGCTATACGCGCAATCACCTAATAAGCTAATCCGAGTCTCCTTTAGCAACCCACACGACCCGTATCAAAGGTACCTGACCCATTCTTACGATGGGTAGTTGGCTGATGCCAAGATTGAGACATCTATGTCATCTTTGGAGTTGGTGTGTATTTATCTTGTTGTAGGTTCGACTAGGCTGACTGCTTCTTGAGAAAATCAAAGTACCAAGAACGAAGCGACAGGTCAGTCAAGTGTGAACTGTACGTTACTCTGACCGAAGTATTTTAGGATGCAGGTAGCAGCTTACTTTCATTACCCAGCCGTGGAGACAGACCCAATATCGCAGGCCAACCAAGACGCAACACGCTCCCAGGGAATGGTCTTGGCTCGGTCTGATTTTTTGTTCATATCGCAACTCCCGCTCAAATCCTGTAGCCGCAGTCCCGACCGAATGGTGCACTCCCAGTCAAGACGCGTTCGGTAGCAATGGCTCCTGAAAGTGGTCCAGAAAAGGTGGCAACCATTATATCAGCTCTACTGTAGGACTAAAAAAGATTTATAGAATGGCTCAGTAGTGCGGCACCCAGCTCCTCGCCCTCCCGTCTCCTTCGAAGTCGACCTCTCCCCAATCATTGAAGATGTTCAATCATTCCCTAGTCTCGTCGACATTGACTGCACTTTCGAAGGACTTCACATGATCGATAGTAAATCAGAACGAATCGTAAGTGTTTGCTTCAAGCGTGGGTCCCTATCGACCGATGTCAGCCTGTTCAAGAGCCCCAAATCGAAGATGATTCAAGAAATCTCGACCACGTGAATCTCAGTAGCTCATTCGTGTTGCAGTCGGCTTCGCTTGTCGATCTCCAAAGTATGTTGACTCTGGTGCTCAAGGGCTCTAACTCAACGCTTGAAGGCCACAACGAAGACAACCAATCATTACCAGCGCTAGTATTGACTTTCCCCACGCCTGAACCACCCTCGTTATCAAAATTCTCTCCAACGAACTCCCAGCAAGGCGGTGCAAACCTATCTGTGCCGACATTTCCTCGATGCACTCACTGCGGATTCGGTTTTGGACTTGACTTCCATGATCTTGAAGTTCCTTATGCAAGCAAACCTTGCCGTCTCTGTGAACCTCAATGGCTGGCTTGCAAACCGTGGTATCAGACTAACGATAAAGCATCAACCGCGACATATGAGGAATCTACTGCCCAGGTCAATGCAACTTCAGATGATCGGAGAGTCGTCGGGCCCAAAGCAGCGGATGAACATGGTCAACTGCGCGTGAAACCCACCGAAGTCCCCACGCAACAAGCTGGAGAAGGATATGCAAGATTTTCTAATGTGATCATCAACGACAAGACAAACACGACAAAAACGAGCAAGTTGTGGACGAAACTGACGCGATTTTTTGGACGAAGTATTCACAAAGAACCGATTGTAAGGAAGGATCAACGACGGAAGGGGTTGGATTTCCGCTGGATTGGGTCACGGTCTAGGATGTGAAGATCGAGGCACAGGAACATGAGTGAGGAAGAAAGAGTCGAATAAGTTGATATTATTTCTGGGGGAAATTTGGCTTTTATTTGTACTACAACGCCGTCGGTTGAGACGATAATTACTACCGCGCGTCATTTTTCGATAAGACGACATAAATTTTCATGTAGACTTGCCGGGTACCACGATGTGACTTTGCCCGGATAACGTGGAAGCATTTGGACGGCCTCAGTGGAAGACGCCCGCCCAGCTAAGATGAACGAGTAGCCAGCCCGGGGCCCCAAACGCGTTTTTGGCAGCCGGAATACCGGACTACTCCCACTGTTTTGGGTTTTGACTTTCCATGGTTTCCAGTCGCTTGGGTGTCTCCCTGGTATATATGCCTCTAGCAATGTCTACCCACACGTCACCCCCATGTCGGTTTCCCATCCCGGCCCCCGAAGAAGCTTTGGCTCGCGCCTGAGGGCGGCTGGTTCAACCACCCTACTCCATTTCCGCAAGCATACCGGTGTCGGTCTTTTCCGTTTAGTTTGGTCAATATTTTTTATTCAATTGTTGAAAGCTTGGGATTGTCTGCGCTGTAGCTTACCTCGACCCTGGAAACTGGAGTGTCGATTTACAGGCCGGTGGGTTCAATATATAGCTGGGGGGGACATGGAGTAGGTTGTTCAACTTTCTTTCGCAGGTTCCGATCATGGCTTCCGCCTACTATTCATCGTGCTCGTGGCCGGTCTCTTCGCCGCATTTCTCCAAGTACTGGCGACACGACTGGGTTGCGTTACTGGCCTCGGTGAGTAAAAGTTGCCCAAAGCCCTAAGGGCTTCGAGAAAACAAGTCAGGCGCTGATCGTCAGTTAGACCTCGCTTCCCACTGCCGGGTAGTTTTATACGACCGCCCCAAACACAAACTACTCTATCGACGCGTCGTTCTCTACCCGCTCTACGTAGTTTCCGAGATCGCTATTGTCGCGACCGACCTTGCCGAGTTGCTTGGGTGCGTAATCTGGCCAAAAGGAGTACACTAATTAACTCGCTCTGTAATAGGTCAGCCATCGCGCTTGTTCTTCTATTTCCCAGCCTGGAGATATGGCAGGGGGTGCTCATAACTTCCGCTGATGTCCTATTCCTTATCGCACTGCGCGATCCTCTGCGCTCGACACCGGTGAAGATGTTTGAAGCACTCATTGCTTTACTGGTCAGTCTTCAATTTGATCAGTTGAGCTTGAATCATTTTACTAGGTCCTGGCCGTGCTTGTGTGCATGGTGATTGTGGTGGCCAAGGTGCATGTGGAGTGGGGCAAGGCCTTTGACGGGTTCCTTCCGTCGAGGGAGCTGTTTGGCTCAAACGGCCTCTATACGTGTTAATGTTTCGCTTCTCATGAGTTCGACCAATGCGCTGATGCCTATATATCCAGCGGTCGGAATTCTTGGCGCGACAGTCATGCCGCATAGTCTGTTTCTGGGCTCGACACTCGCAACACAGCGGAGGGTACCCGTGGAGCGGGATGAACTCAAATCGGAGGTCACTCAACGAGAAGAGGCTGTCCAGCCGCCCTCCTCGCGCTGGGGACGAGTGTCTGCTTTTGTCAAGGACTGTTTCCGTGCGCCGCCGCCAAGTGCCCATGCAACTCTGGTGAAGCGACATGTCGACCGCGAAAACAACTCGTTTGCGTTCGTTCAAAAGCATCTGAACCACGCCATTTTCGATGTCGTAGGGAGTCTAGTGGGATTTGCGATCCTGATAAACTCAATGTTCGTGCCTCTGGGCCGTGAAACTTGGCTGACTGGAAGCAGGATCCTAATTATTGCGGCGATGGTATTCCACTTTGGGCGGGCTGGGACGGACCGCGCGCATGCAGCCAGTCTATTCGACGCGTATAATGTCATCCATCAGCTGGTGGGTAAAGCCGCAGCGACGCTGTTTGCTGTTGCTCTACTCGCTGCTGGGCAGGTGTGTGTGTGTGTGTTGTTCACGAGAGTCTTGTTTATATATCTGCAGAGCTCGTCAATTATCGCGACTATTGCTGGCCAGGCGGTCGCCGAGGGTTTCCTCAATTGGCGTGTCTCGGTTTGTTCTTCCCTGCAGTTTTTATCTGTGCTGACATGTCTAGCCTATTCTTCGGCGGCTGCTAACGCGCCTGATTGCGGTCGTACCGTCAATGGCGGTCGCTATAGCTCGAGGAAGACAAGGCATTGACGGCTTGCTCGTTGCTTCACAGGTGATCTTAGCGATCGTCCTGCCATTCCTCATAATGCCGCTGGTGCTCCTCACCTCCTCCAAAACGGTGATGAGGGTCCGAAAGCCGGATAGTTTGGTCGGCGAAAGCGAGCTTGCGACGGACGACATGTTAGACTACAGCAGCGGCAAGGCCACGATAGTCGTTGGACTCGCGATATGGCTGGTCATCGCAACCGCCAATGTCTACGTGATTGCAACGCTACTTCAGAATGTGCTGACCTAACTGTAGCCACGACTAATTATTCTGTATCATATAGCTTTCGTGACCACGTTTTCTTATAAACACAACTGTACGTCGATTTTGCTACAAAAGTTATTGTGGAGGCTGGAAGCTGGAATGGAAGTTAGCATAGTATCATCAGAATGGTTTGTCTATGACTAACCCTGGGGGAGCACCAGGGAAAGGCATGCCTGGAGGAAAGCCAGGTCTGAAGCCAGGCGGTGGTCCCGGCATTCCTGGCGCAAAAGGCATTGGCGGACGACCTCCCATTGGCGGCATTCCCCCCATCGGCGGCATCATACCCATCCCACGCCCAGCAGGCATACCGCGTCCAGGTCCGGCGGGGAGCTATATGTTGGTTAGAAAGCAGAATAAGCATATCAACCACCAACTCACGGCGTTCTTTTTGTCGTCTTCAACTACAGGCGGCGGGCCTTCAACACTCATGCTCACGACAGTCTCCCCCCGCAAGATAACAAGTCCTAGAGTTCGTTTGATCTCCTGCTCAGGCGCAGCCTCCTCCCCCGGCTTCTTTTTTGGCCGGATGCGTCTGAATTCCTCGCAGTCGGCCAGAACAAGATTCATGTGGCGGTCAAACGCGAGCATCTGCCCTGTTAATGACCGGCCGTCGTTTATCGTGACCTTCAGTCGCCAGTTGATCAGCCCGAGCATCCGCCCGCCCTTGGATTTTGGTGGAGGCTAAATACGGGTCATTTAATTCGTCAATGAATGGGAGAGGATGGGTAAACAGACCATGGTGGTGACTGCAAAAGGAAACGAGACGGGTGACGGGTGTGACGGGCACGCGTCAAATCTCTCATCGAGCTCAGCGCATCGCGAAAGCTCTCTTCACGACTGTACAACCAACTCAAGAGTATCTGACAGAGATTTTAACACCATGGATGACGATGATGCCGATTATATGCAAGGAAGCGACGATGAGGTTTGACTTTGGAGTCACCCTTGGTTTCGAACTCATTAGTGCCTAGGACTACGGCTTTGACTACTCGGACGGTGACGATGGCAATGAGGGAGAAAGCGCAGATGTAGAAAATCTGTATTACAAGGCCAAGTGTGGGCACATGTCTTCATTCTTTGTTGAACAGCAACTCACCTATCTGCAGCAAAGAAGGAAGACAATCCAGAGGAAGCCCTAAAGGAATTCCGTGCTATCGTAGACCAGGAAGAGGAAAAAGGAGACTGGCACGTTGTCGTTAACCCAAGCCATCGACCATGAGCTGATATTTTTGCTTAAAGGGGGTTCAAAGCTCTGAAGCAGTCAACTAAGCTGCTATTCCTAGGCCTCAAGCGTCCTACTGATGCCCTCAAGACTTACACTGAGCTGCTTACATACACCAAGTCTGCTGTGACGCGCAACTACTCTGAAAAGAGCATCAACGGCATTCTTGACTATGTTGGTGGCGGAAAGGGCGGAGTCGTCGTCGATGTAGATATCCTGGAGAATTTCTATCAAGTCACCAAGAAGGCGCTAGAGGATGCTAAGAATGAGGTTCGTACTGTATGGTTCTCGTTGGTCATGTTGCCACTAACCTCCGTCTAGCGTCTTTCTGTCAAGACAAATCTCAAGCTCGCAAAACTCTGGCTGGACAGAAAGGAGTATGTGCGACTGTCGAAGGTAAAAGCCCAACCAGTTCTCTGTTATCTAGAATAACGAAGAATACAGCTGATCCGCGATTTACATGGGGTCACAAACGAAGGAGGAGAAGGAGAAGAGTCACAATCTCAGCGAGGCACACAACTTCTTGAGATATACGCTCTTGAAATTCAAATGTACAATGAAACCCGGAACTTCAAAAAATTGAAGGTTCGGAGTACCCTATTACTTGAAGCTGAAACTGAAGTCGAACCAGGAAATCTATAACGCCACCAACGCTGTTCGCTCTGCAATTCCACACCCGCGCATCATGGGTGTCATCAAAGAGTGCGGTGGTAAAATGTGGATGGGCGAACGTATGCCGCTTTCATCGCCGTGATTTGAATTTGACATTTTTTGGAAGGCCAATGGAACCGTGCCTCAGAGGACTTCTTTGAATCGTTCAGAAACTACGATGAAGCTGGCTCCCCCCAACGTATCCAGGTCCTCAAGTATCTTGTCTTAGCCAACATGTTGACGGGCAGCGAGGTCAACCCTTTCGACAGTCAGGAAACCAAGCCTTACAAGACCGATCCCCAAATCAAAGCCATGACCGACTTGGTTGACGCGTATCAAAGACGAGAGGTACACTCAGCAGAGAAGATCTTGAAGGACAATCGTTCAACAATCATGGACGACCCCTTCATTCGGTCTTACATCGGCGAGCTCTTGCGCAGCTTGCGGACACAATATCTCATCGACTTGATCAAGCCTTATACCAGGCTGGAGCTGTCGTTCCTGGCCAAGGTAAGCTAGAACCTCCAGCTCACTATGAACAAATTGACGCTTGATGTAGCAACTGAATGTGGAGATAAGCGAGGTGGAAGAGTTGCTCATTGGTTTAATTCTCGAAGGGAAAGTGGAGGGAAGAATTGACCAAGTCGGTATGCGGTTGGAGCTGGACAGCAAGTAAGATGCCTCTAATTTTTCCTTTCTTGTCGTCTGACATCATTTTTAGGCAAAGTTTAGAGAAGAAACGATACACAGCATTGAATGAGTGGACGAAGGCGTTGGAGGAAGTGCATTCTGCTGTCGTAGGCAAAACCGCACCATCAGGACGAAGTGGTGCTGGGCCCGATCCTGGCTTTGGCGACTTCAGTCTGATGAGAGAGGAGCGTTGGCTCTAAAACCTCCAATTCTGTGTTCTTGCTCTCCATGTGTATTCAATAACCAACCAACTCGATGTAATTGTTGACCACCAAGGCTACAGTGGCCGTTCAACCGGGGTCCACTCGTAATTCCAACCAGCTTTCGAGGGAGTGTCGACTGGAACTCTGTACTCTCTGGGAAACAGTCCGCGAATACGCGCATCGAAAGCTCTTCCCTCCAACCCAGGCAGACTCTTGAACTTCTCCATCTCCTGGGGGCTCCGCCTTCGAGGGTCCTCTACTTTGTTGGCCTCCATGTACAGCCGTAGATCGATAGACCTAAGCTCGTCCATTGCCTTGCGCATGCACTCAAATTTCCGTTTGATCTCCTCCTCTCTCCGCTTCCTCACGTGCCGTCGATGCAACAGCCAGGCTCTCTCGATTGTGTCATGCGCCTGGACAGATGGGATAGCGCGTTGAATCGTTTGGCGGACGTCTGGCCTCCAGGTGCCCGTTGGTGTGGCTTTATTCCGTATATTTCCAGGGTAAAGAGTGCGACGAATAAGGTTTAGACGCGCGTCGCCCATAGAAGCGTCCGCGGGCTTGGCATAGTGTCGCACTAGTGCTTGTGCTGGAGGCTTGCATCGGGTGGAGACGCTGAAGAGCATTTTTGAAGAAAGTTGTGTGCGTGACGTGACTGTAACATCATGCCTCGTTCAGACCGTTCCGACGAAGACGACCAGGAATCTGTGAGGTAAGCCCGACGTTCTGTTCCAAATTTTAGACCACTCCCCCAGAATATTCAGACTACCCTACGACGCGCCTAGGATATCCGAGTATGTCCAAGGCGCCCGCCTTTCCTTTCAACCTGAATGAATCATCTTCTCACAGAGCGGATTACTTTCGGAAGACCGACGAGTTTCGTGTATGGCTGAAGACGGAAAAGAAGAGGTACTTTGATGAGCTGTCTGGAGACAAGGCCCGCAGGTGTGTGTACCTTCTCTTGTCTGGAACCTTGCTCATAGCTGAGCAGCTACTTTCGTAAATTCGTCAAGGTACCACCACTATTTTTGTGCTCTCCCATCCAGTCCCACTCAATGTAAACTAGGCCTGGAACAAGGGAAAGCTGACGAGTGTGTCAAGGTCCTTGTGGCATGGGATGTGGAGGACTCACTTCTGATTTAGAATCGTTGTATGCCGGAGTCGATCCGTCCAGCGTCTCTGCCGAGTCACAAACGAGCTACAAATGGTCGTTCAAAAAATCTCGCGCTGACGATGATGCGCTCCGGGCTGTCCGCGAAGAAGTGGGGGCCGCAACTTATCGCAAGGACAATAACTCTTCTGCTAACCCCAACGCGTCAACATCGCGCTCTTCACGAGTACAAGGTCCCACTTTACCGTCTGCCTCTGATCTGGCATACGCTCGAGAATTGACACGGGATGTTGAGCAAGAAGAGCGAAGCTTGAAACGAAAACGTGATAAGGCAGAAGCAAGAGATCGCATTGAAGACATGGTAGGACCAAAGGAGGTCGGCCGCGAGGGTATGCTGGAGAAGAAACGGGCCAAACGGGAGTCGGACCGGTCTTTCCGAGAGCGCGGCGACGAGGGTCTCGAAGCACCCGAATCGACACTTCTCGGAGGTGGTGATAGCTTCAAGGATCAGTTCGTCGGTTTCTTTGAACGGTCTTTTTGTGCTTCTAATCTTTCGTAGAATTGCAAAGCGTGATGCCGCCAAGAACAGATACGAAGCTGCCAGAGAAGAAAAGGCGGCTACCGCTCGTGAGCGGTTCAACGCTATGCGGGAGAGAAACGACAAGACGATGGCCATGTTCCAAGCGATGGCAAAAGAGCGGTATGGATGACCTTATCGGCATCCCACGACCAAGTCCAGTTGGAGTATTAAGACAAATGCAATGACGATACATTAAAGCTCAGCTCCTCCCGGTTCACACCCATGCTCTATCCTCCGGGTCTAACATCTCAGCCTACGAGTGGATGTGCTTCGGTTGCTGCGAGAGTGTGGGTCGAAGAAAAAACGCACCTTCATTCCAAGAGGTTTCTTGCCGCCGTTATTAGGCAGCGGTTTCTTCTGGCTTGCAGCGAATGGATTCCATCGAGGTTTGCTCTTCGTATCAGAGGCAGGAGAGTATGGAGGTGGAGGGGCGGGAGTCGGTAACTGGGCTGGTGCATAAACATATTGCGGTGGTCTATTGGATGGGTACTGTCTACATGTTAATCGGGATTACGAATGCGCCATGGGAAGGGGCAACTTTTTGTGGTGTAGCCTTGGGTGTCAGTCAACTACTGCGAGGGACAAAGGAAATGCCGCTCACCATGGAAGTCAGACGCGAAGAGTGCTATATGCATCTGTCGAGCCTGTACATCTTTTTATATGGACGAACTCCACTAAATTTAGTCACGCCAACTTGAGCATCACTATTTTTTCGGACCTCAATTTCGCGCGTAAAGTGGGATGATCTTGGTAAGGCTGCGAAAATCGTGCCTTTTTCGAGGCAACTTTTGTCAGCGAGGTGATGGGCGGACAGCACATGAACGTTTGAAGTGAGATCGCGAAGCTAGCGCAATCAATTCGAACCACAAGTACAGTCAACAGTTTACAAAGCGAGCAATTATCACGGTCTTAAAAGGGCTTCAGTTGTGTGAAAACAAATGAGGTGGAGTTCGTACCTAATCTGTCATCATCGCGTCCTCCGCCACTCCATTGATTTCCTCAAATACAAGTGAGCCTTGCTGCTCTTTTAACCACTGCACACTCCGCTTTTCGTCCATGAAGTATTTATAAGCCTTTCGTAAATCGTCCACGTCGACCTCGACGGCTTTCCGCTTCCTTGCTACGACTTGGCCGCACGATATAAGGTTCAGCGCGTACCGCAGCGTTGTCTCCATGGCCATTTGGGTTAAAACAATGGCTGCATCGTTGCTGAGGACGACATCCTCTTCTTGACACCGAATTTGAATAATTTGCGCAATGTCTTCTTCAAGATATGGCTTGGTGCTCACGATGAGTACGCGGTCTAAAAGATCCACCGGGAGACCGTGTGGTGATCGGAATTTGGTTCCTCGAATGCGAGCCATCCCTCGGTTTGACGCCATGATTACCAAAGGGGAGAGCTCGTTCTCAAGGGCGCGATTGAGGAATGAGAAACATTCGATATCAAGCATGTGAACCTCGTCGATAAACAGGACCTAGACGAAGTCTAGAATGAAGGGTGCGCAAGTCGTAAAAAGAAAGACCTACCCCAGGAATAATTTCCGCCTTACCCTCTTCGCGCCACTCAGCAACCTTGGTGTTGATTTGGTTGCGAAGTTCGGGCTTGATTTCCCCGGTATCCCCAGCAAACAACGCAAGGAAACCTTGTGTTCGACTGTTTATAACGTCGATTTCGTGAAGAGACACGGTATGTACGACTTCTTTGCGCTTTTGTATTTCACCCTCAGGACACTGAACAAATTTTGTCTAGGGAATGGATTAGTTGGGTCTGGATAACCAAAGAGGAACTGACATCAGCGCCCATAGCATCGTAGTCTCTCGATCTTGCGAAAGACCTGCCGAGTTTCGTTATTCTGCCAGAGGTTTTGTCGATTGCGATTACGTCGCCAGCCAGAACCTTTTCTTTCGATAATGCGTCGATCATTTTGGTCCCCAAGTCATAAATTGTTTCCATATCCGTTGTTTTGATTGTGAGTTTTCCCGTTTTTGTGGCCTATTTGCGGACGATTATGCGTGCATCCAAATTGACAAAAAAACGGCCTACTCCGGTTAAACTCCTGTCAATCTGAATTTCGACGACCTCGCCTTCGATGAGCTCAGTCTCTTCTTTTATCCGCACACCGATACTTCTTCGGAATGCCTGAGTGAGAGCCTCTGTTTTGGACATGGAAAGCGAGAACACTTCGCTCGCAGCAATCATAGTAAATGGGACATCCGAGCCCAGTGTCTGCGCCATGCCTGGAGTGCTGTCAGCATCAAGCAAGAAGAGAATTGTTGCGTGAGACGCGCCTAGTGCAATGGCCGTCTTTCCTGTTGAGGGGGGACCGGCGAAGAGCATTGCCCGACCAGCTATTCTCCCCTCCTGCACCATTTTTAGAATCATGCCTGCTGCTTTGCGGGCTTTTGCTTGGCCGACCATCCCTTGAGAGTTTGCACGCGGTTCTAATCTGTCATCGAGCCCCAGGCCACGGATATGAGAATGCGCGCCTCCAACAACATCAATAACCCAAAACAAAAGTCGCGTCAACGGAGAATTTACCAATGCGCTCCATACGGGTGATGTCGCGCAGCTCAGTCGTCCCTGTTGTTATTTGCATGGCCTGTGAAAAGGATTGACGCGTACTTTCTTTAGCTAGACAAAGTTAACACTCACCATCGTGGTCACCGTCCAATTGGTGTGTGATTGTCACGCGTGACACTCTATCTCCAAAACCATAACAGCCAAAAAATATCGCCACTGTGTCGCTCGCACTGCAACAGAAAATGTTGAACAAACTCGATTTGGCAGTGTTTAGGCCTCGCTCCTTCGCTGAACCCTGACTGCCTGTCACATCGAGCTGCCTCCCCTTCACTGCCAGATGTCCTCGGTCTCTGTCTGTTCAGCCGGACATCTCTTCGTGACATCACAGTGACAGACGACCTCTTTGTCTCTTACTCTTCAATGCAGGCCGGCGCAAACTCCCCCCCAATCCATAGCTTACCTTACGAACTCTTGCGCGACATTCTCTTGTTCGCGTTGACGCCTAAAAAGTGCATTTGGGGTTCTCTGCTCCTTCCTCCTCGCTCTTGCGATGTTCTCATTTTGTGCCGTGTTTGTTCTGCGTGGAGGCAGATTGCGCTCGAAACGTCGCGTCTTTGGGCCATTCCTAGGTTGCCTGTTATGAACAGAATGGGATACATGTCGACCACTGCGACGAATCTATTTCTGGAGCGTTCAGGCCAGCATTTACTCCATGTTGATATCTGCCCTCTTTGGCCCACACAATCCATACAACTACCACCTACCCTCGGCAAGGCTTCTGATCGCTGGGAATCATTTAGCCTCCAGTATTACACCACAGGACTTTCAGTTGCAGAAGTCAACGCCCTCCGAATACTTTCGCAGAGTCGCTGGGCCAATCTTATAACGATCGACATATGGGTTGCGCATGCGGATAACTGGCCCGGGACCATGCTCGATTTCATGCCAGCCAAACAACTGCGTCAAGTCTCATTAAATGTCCCCGCCGAGCTCCCCATCCCCGCCATACCATGGGCTCAGCTCACACGTCTCAGTCTCATACATCCATCGGCTCAAGTGTGTTTAGAAATCTTATCTTCCTGTCGGAACGTCATTCATGCTTATATCTCCACCTCACAATCGTCTGACGTCAATCGGCCGACTTTGGCAACTCCTGTAACACTCGAGCATCTGGTCGACCTCGAGTTGTGCCTCCACGTACACTCGCCAGAAGAGCATGTCGAGCCATTTCTACAACTATTTTCTGCGCCGTCTTTGATATCCCTCCACCTTTCCGTTGACGGAGGAAGCTATAGCGAACTTTCGCCAATTTCGCGACTTCACTCACATCTTGTCTCCTTCATCCACCATTCTCCGAAACTTCGACAACTTGTGCTTGCCAATTTTACTCCTCCAGAAGTCATACTATCGATCTTGCGTCAAACACCAATGCTCGTTAGCCTGCATATAGGTGCGACCCATGTCAATCGCGACTTCATGCTAGGTCTTAGCATTTCACGCAAATCTCAATCGATAGTTCCCAAGCTCAAGAAACTGGTTTTGATGAACCTTAGCGCGACTTCGGACTTTCCCTTTGCTGAGTTCATCACAATGGTAGAAGCACGTCAACCCGGAACGATCTTAGCAGAAGTAGTGGTCGAAAACGAGTGTTTACAATCGCACTGGTGCCCTACACCAGAATTTCTGGACTTTAAACACCGTGTCTACCTCAAAGGCCTCGACTTGCGTTTCTTGTTGTAGATCCTGATCAGATATCAATGTTGATGTCCGATCAGACTGTTCGAATGTTGGCTTTCGTCACTCACTCAAGTACTCAACGCTCACCGGCGATGGCACGGTGATGCTGGAAAATGCAAGTCCGCGCTCGCCGTCGTTTGAGTGTCTATACCGTCCAAGGCCGACACAGTCAATTACATTTTACTGATGATACCCCGGTTTTGCAGTCAAGAACAACAAATACGGTATCGATGAAGCCCCAGCTTCTTATTTTCTCTCTCATTCCTTTTCGCTATAATGTCGTCTCTCCAGAACTTGACGATTGACGATACAAGTCCTTTGTTCACTTATTGTGAAGTGTCCTATTGCTTACTGAATCATTCTCAACGTTTCTCTGCTGATTTACAGCACCATACGGTGCGTACTGTAACAGAGCGGAATTTTGTGCTGATTGGTCTTCTGTTTATAGCTGACGGCTCGGGATCTGGGCTTGCAAATGGGTGGATACCTTGGTATACAACCACCGGATTCGTGACCCAACCCGGACAGGGTGGCACTGGCGACTCCTACCATCTTACCTCGCTGAGCGGGGCTTCAGTAGGCTTGAAGTTTTACGGTGCGTGGCTACCAAAAAACTCCGTTTATATGTTGACTCGATTCAGGAACTGCCGTTTACCTTTATGGCACGACGAACAGCTCATATGATGGGGCACTCGACGGCAAGACCTACTCTTTGAAGCCAACGGGCTCAAATCTTCTATTCTATGCTATGGGTCTACCGCAAGGATCTCATTATGGTGCATATATCCGCTTTTCCGAGATTGAGCTTGATGATAGATGTTCTCTTCTAGTGAGTTTAACTCCTCGAATAACAGGCTCCCAACAATTTGCATTGGACCGTGCTGTGATCTCAACACAATACGAGTATGTTTGGGCCGTTTTCCCGCTTGTTCAACCTTGCCTTAATTAGTTTCAGCGATCCGCCAGTCGAAGTATTCTATGACAACTCGGACACGTCCGTTCTGAAGTACGCAGGAGCTTGGATTACGCAGTCCGCGCCGGGTATTCCCAACGCGACTGTGTCTCACCCCTGGCAGCAAACGGTCGACCCGACTGGCAGTGTGTCGATGGAGATTAGCGGCGCTGTTGGTGTGTCAATTTACGGAATGGCCAATTGGGGGTCATGGGTCTATACTGTCGGTTTGGATGGAGCGGAGGAGAGCCACAATGCTTCCACGTTTTGGAAAGTTCCCAACGCATTGCTCGTGGACCCGGCAAAGAACCACACGGTGACCTTGCGCAACGTCGCCTCAGGCATGAAGTTGAATGTGAATTCGTTCAAATTGTACAAGGCTGATGCTGGAGGCGATTCTATTGCGCCGGCTGGATCACCAACACCGAGTGGCAGTTCTAGGTTCGCTATCCTTTCATTATCCCCTTGACACCCGCAGTCGGCTAATTTCCTTTCTTCAGTCCCACCTCACGCAACGGCTCCTCGGTAAAGCTGGCAGCAATTGTAGGCCCATTGGCGGCGCTTGCAATTATAGTCCTCGCGGTTGCTGGGTGGCTCGTATTGAGGCGCTCACGGTCCCGACAAGAGGACTCTTGCCTTGAAAGCGCAGATCCTGACGAAAAACGCACAAAATTGCCGCGTCTCCCGGGCTTCTCTTCGCCAAATCACTCTTCTGATCGCGAGAGTAGTATCTCGCCAAGGGGCACTACCTTCGCTGCATCGGCAGAAGGCGGCCGTGTTCAAGCAACAACCGCGACAACATTGGCATCTTACGGCGACATGTATATCGACACTAATCTGGCGTCAGAGTCTGAGCAGGCCACAAGTCCTTCCACCGCCCCTTCGACTTACGCACCCAGCTCAGACGCGCGAACGGCATTTTCCACCTCCGATTCACATGGAAGCAAGAGAACGATGTTACTTCCCGCTAATCCGCCGACAACACGGACCCCTTCAACTCCTTTGGACTCCCGTGATGTTGACTATCTAGTTCAGTTGATCGCGCAGCGGATAGACCCAGTAGGTCGTGGGGGTGATAGTATCGCACCGCCTGAATATCGTGCAATATGATTATGAACCGAATTCCAAAAACCTGCATTGGCCTGTGATAAAAACGAATACGCGATCACGGGATCGTGATTTTCCCAATTCGGTGGTCATCACCTCCTATCGTGACGACCAGCAGAGCTATGTAAGCGGACGCACCGTGCCTTCTTTTCGAGACGCCAAACTTTGGTCCTTAAATTACCAGATCCTTCAGATATTGACATTGCGGCCTCAAGAAGCATTCGGCTAGTTCAACCGCGGGCAACAAACTAATATACGAGCAGTCCGACCTCCGAGAAAGTGAAATATCCCAGGAATCAACCTTAAAAATATCCGAATAACCCCTTCGAGGCAGAACTTCACTTTGAAGAAGCTTTCTGGTGCGAATGATAGTCTATGTCTATGAAAATTCGTTTTTGCGCTTGCTCTCTACTTGATTTTTTTAGAGCACGCGATAGGCTACCGCGGACATCAGGCTGCTATCGGCGTATTCGACCCGTCTCCGCTGACTCGTGTGCCCCTTGTTACTCAGCTCAGAAGGCGTTCAATTGTTGACGTCTTCTTCGATGGCAGCAAATATATGTCAAGATGGCCACACACGTATTCTGACCGGCGTTGGGTACTATCAGACTTGGTGTGCAATGCTACTTGGCCATGCTCTGGCAATGCGGCCCTTGCAAGTGATAGGTATTGTGGGCGTCCGGCGGATCAAGGAGATAAAGTCCGCCGCCGTTGATGGACTGAGTTCAAGTTGAGGTCAAATCGGTAGAACGGGATCGCCGGAAGGCACACTTCAAGATCTAATTAGGTGCATATCGGGCAATTCACCGCATTGAACGCCTCTGACACGCCTGTCCGGCGGGTTTCTGGCCACTATGTCCGAAATGCAAAGAGGTTGCTATTGGTACAATGATTGCGGGGTACAAGTTACTAAGTTAGTTCTAGCAGTATGTGTAAGAAGGACGAAAGCATAAGTAGGAGTTCTACCCAGAAAGCGAGAATTACAGTTGATGCGCATTAAAAGTTGAGTGTAGGAGTTGTGGGCGATAATAAAAATGCACAAACAAAAGGGAAAACACAGAGTTCACGTCGTCTTCTTGCGACAATACACGCTCTGGCAGCGAATATACTGAGGAAGGGCGGCGTTATGCAGTTCACGCTCAGCGTTCGTTTGCAGTTCGTCGACGGTTGATTCCGGGACACCGCTCCCTAATAGTAGTGGTCGACCAGACTTCAAGAAGGCCTGGTAGCGTAAGATCGTCAGCAGGCAACAAGTGGGGGGAGCGGCTAACAACGAACCAGGATGTCCTCCCGCATCTGAGTTCCGATTCGTTGCTGGAAGCTTGTGAATGACGGATGCGGGGCAACAGGAACCCAGTAGTCGTTGTAAACGACATCCTCCAACAACGGGTTTTCTGAAACCCAACGATTGAGGTGAGTGGCAGCATCTGGATGACCGCCCGCATTCCGCGCTGCCATGTTGGCGAAGACCATCCACCGTGCGAGCCAAGGACCCGCAATTGTTGAAGTTTCGACTTCACATCGGCGGTGGTTTCCGTCCGGCCGGTGTTCGTAGACAGAAAAGTCGAATTCCATGAGATCCAACAGCCCGCCTGGTCTTATGCACTGTGCCATTTGGTCAACCAAGTTGAAGTAGTCCTTGATCTGTGAAGCGAGTGTTTCAGTCAAAATTCCCGAAGGCATAATCTATTGACCCACACCGGAGGAGATAAGTCTTGCATGGACTACGTTAAAGTCGCCGTAGAAATGTTCAAGGCCAAGATTAATGTCATCCACCTCACTCCTGTTGCGCCTGGTCAGCTATGTTGGCGGGCGGGTGTCGGGCGGGAAGATATACGTACCGACAATTGTCTGGCATCGTTCTGTGGAGTGAACACGTCAGGGCGGGAGGACCAAAGCGTGAGAACAATAGACCTACAGCGACTGCATAGGCACCAGGTCGACAGCAACGGCAAGACAGTTGGGAAACTCCCTGGCGCGATCCATTATCCTGTCGAGCCAAACTAAGTTATGCAGACCAAACCCCGCGGGCCCATTAAGGCACATACCATGCCCCACTACCACAGCCCAGGTCGAGAATGGCTTTCGTCTCCCCAGGAACATTGTCCTCCATTATTTGAGGCAGACATGGGGGGTACTTTCCCATAATCTCAATGAACATGTCGTGTTGTTTATCTGCACATTTTACTGTCAGTAAATTGCCACAAAAGTGTTACTATTTGGACGCACTAAGCCGGTCGAGCTCCTCGTCGTCGGCAGGCAAACGATAGATTTCCGAGTAGTTATTAAGTTCGCGACCATATTCTTGACGGAACGCGCTGGCGCGTATTGAGCTGGTAACAGACATGACTGAGGGAGTTGGGGAGCCCGAGCGCATGGAGACATCATAGGAAGTCTCTGAGCCGCGAGTGCTTGGTGGTGCGCTGAAGGGGGGAAGCGAGGCGATTGACTGCTCGTCATCGCTATCGAACCCATGGTCATTATGGTGGGCGTCGAGTGAACGGCGGGCCATGGGGGGAGGGAAGGCAAAAAAATTAAGCTGCTTGCGACATACTATTAAGGACGGAAGAAGTGCGATCGGGGCGTGGAAGTGAACCCGGCGGAGTTGTTTGTAGTGTCCGTGACCGAGATATGTCACAAAGAATTGTGAACAAATTTGACGCTCGCTACCGAAGTCTTCTCCATCCCCAAAACACACTGATTAGAGTTTGCACTCGCTCATAGGACCACTCGTCGAGCTGAACACCAGAAAAATATGCAGCTGATGGTGGCGTCGGCGTGGAGTAGAATTGGTAATTTGTAAAATAGCCTGAACTGGCAACTGGTCATGCGTGCGAGCTGGGGTTAGTTCCCAACATTTAGACATATAGTCAGATTCACGCCAATCTCCGAATTTTAATAACCGTAATCTTAACGTTTCTTCAGTGCAGCAAACCGCTTCGCCAACGCGTCGAATTCATCTTCTTCCGGTGCTTTCTTCACATCGACTTTGCTCGTCTCCTCCTTCTGGGCTCTTTCTGGAAGGACTTTGGAGCTTCCGACCGTCTCCGGCTCATCGGGAGTTGAATCGGAGTCCTTCTCAGCCTCACCCTCCACCGCCGATGTCTGCTGTCCTCCGGTATCAGTCTGGGGTGATTCCGGATTAACCCTAACCTTGTTCTCTTCTGTGTAAGCCGGTGGTGGCGTCCATGCTACGCTATAGCCTTTGGCAATTTCGAACAGATACGCGTCCACGAGATCAGCCGGCGGTGTTTCCGTGACAATTTTGCGAAGCACCTTTTGGTAGCAAGCACTTGTCAATACGCGCCAAACAAATGGTTATAGCAGGACCGACATACGCGTTCGCTGACATTCTTTCCTTCCATGACTCCGACTGAGAATTCTCGCCCATATCTGTGCATCAGGATATCACGCAAGACATGTAGCTCTGGTGAAGAGGAATTAGGCGCATGGCACATCGAAGAGCGGAGGGGCTTACCCTTGAGTTCCGTCCGCGGCGCAGCGTAAATTATCCTAGGGTGACCTTGGAATTAGTGCCCTAAATGTTTAGAGAAAAGTCTTACGAACAAACGGCTTCGGCAATACCGGAGTCTGGCTCACGAGTGCTAAAATTTCGGCTCTTGTGGTCAACTCAAAGGCATGCTGGCAACTTACTTTTGGTCCAAGAGACCGAACCGTGCGATTAGCAGCTGTTCGAGAACTAAACCTAGATCGAATCCCAACTTCTTCAGCCACTGACCTCGCAGTAGAGCTCAAGCAGTTCTAGCAGTTCGACATGGATGTCCTCGTTGATGACTACATAGCCAGTTGGGCGGAGATTCGTGTATTAACGGCGGCTTACTGGATTCGGTCTTGATTCTCGCAGTTTCCACTTTACCGCGTTCCAAAAGACTTGCTATGTCTACCTCTCTGAGCAAGACAAGTCGAGAGATACTAGGCATGATGTACCTCTTCGGGAAGCCTTTGCTTGAGCCTCCTTCTTCTGCTGGAGAGTGCGCAGCCGTTGCACTGACAAGCTATTGAGGTGAGGTGAACCTCTTACGATTACAGAAAGAGCTACCGCAGTTGGACCTTTGGACGATGAGAAGTCGAATAAGTGGGATCCACGAATTCATACCCTGGCCTTCGGGCCATTCCAAGGCACCATGGCGGGGAATGCTAAGTTGGTGAAGTGACGTCGATCCGACTCTTCCGAATTCTACGCTGATCTTTCCTTACTGCCCATCCCGACCTCCTGTAGGTACCTCTGGTCCATTCCAACTTCTTCCGGACGTTATCCGGCTCTGGCCGTGGGCTGGACCTTTCAATCAACAGGTAAAACACCCAGTCTGAAGGCAACAGAGAGATTTGATCAGGTTGTCGTCTATATTATAACGTTGCTTGCAAGCCTCCACCATGTCCATCGCACACCCTATGCGACAGCCCCTCCATCTCGATATTTCCGCTTCTGTCTCCTCCCTCTACTCTGAACCCTCTTCCTCACCAGCCTCAACTTCCATCAGAGCAAGTGTCGGGACAGACAGGACTTCACCAACAGAAAGTTTGGCCGACTTCGTGATATGCTCTGTTCTTTGCATGTTTGACTTTGAGTCCTCTGACGAGGATCACCTTCAATTCCGCAAGAACGAAATCCTCGATGTCGTCAAACAGGAGGACACTGGCTGGTGGGCTGCGATGAGAAGGGGTGGAGACCAGATTGGCTGGATTCCTCAAGCTTTCGTCAGTCCTCTTACAGAGGAAATGACGGAGAAGCTCTTGAATGTCCGCGAAGAGCTCCGGGTCTACGAATACAGCGCTGAGCAGCTTTACAACGCTGCGCCGACTACCACGAATAATAGCTGGTATGACATAGACCCATCTCCTCTCCCCTCTCCGGCGTTTGGCAATGGATTAGTGCGCACTAAATCTTCTCTTTTGAATACATCTAATTGACCGCACAGCGAAGTCCTGGCTTCCCTCTCTCTCCCGGTCGACTTCCACCGCCTTCGCCAATCGCTCCGATGCCCCAGCCCCCATTACGCACTGCTCCAATATATGACAAACCTACCCCTCCCACTCCGGACAGCAACGGTTTTCCTCCCGACCGCTCAGAAAACGTTTCTGGCGGCCGAGGAAATCGACGGCAACCCATACACGTGCAAGACCATGCTGCATTATCGCGCTTGTCGACACTGATTGAGTCAACCAACATCCGTGACTCGCCTGGCAGCCCTGACGAAGCCAAGCGGCGTAAAATTTCCAATATCACGGGCCTCAAGGAGAATGTCCCGTCATATCTGCTCCCCACCTACGCAGATCAACTCAAGGCTGATGCGGATGGTGTAGTCAAAGCGGGTTCGCTCGTTGCTCTTGTCGAAAAACTGGCCTCAATGCCGTTGACGAAAGACCCGATCAGTATGTATGCCAAGACCTCCTACGTTTTTTCTAAGACGGTTTGGTACAGAACTTGCACATGATAAAGCCTTCAAGAATATTTTCCTCACGACTTTCCGCACATTTACAACAGCCAATCAGTTTTTCGATCTACTGGTAGCTCGGTATCAAATGGGCCGACCAGAGGGCCTAACAGACGAGCAAGCCGAAGAGTGGCGCGAGAAGATGCAAATGCCAACGCAAAGACGGATACTTACACTATTCACGATGTGGCTCCAAGATCACCGTTTACTGGAGGAGGAGCCGCATATCGCCCAGCGACTAACCGACTTCTTGACTCAAATCACACAACCCCCGCCGCTTGCACTTACCGCCAAACTGATCATCCATAGTATCGAAGATCTAGTGAGCCGTCTGCGCCCGTTTGATTCCGGATGTGCTAACTCCGATAGACCTTTGCCAACCCCTCAGAAATGTCGCCAACGGTACCGCCACGAAAACGACGCAAGTCCAAGAATCACAAGAACGAACTGTTACGATTCGACCCAGGCGACATCGCAGAGCAACTCGCACTGCTTGAGTTCAAGCTGTACGCCAAGCTGACTTCGCAAGAATGCATCGCATACTCCAAAATTCAATCGGGTAGTAAAGTCCAGCGGTTAACGACCTTTTGCTCGACACACGACAAGCTTGCTGCGTGGGTCAAAACGAGTATCCTAACCAATGAAGCGCTGGGAAAGCGCGCGGATACGGTTGATTTCTGGATCAAGGTTGCGGAGGTGGGTGTATTGGTCACATCTTTTTCTGCCTGATAACTGACAGTTATTGGTCTACAGAAATGTCGCAACCTGAATAACTTTGCGTCGATGAGCGCCGTGATCAACGCGCTTTCGAGCACGGTCATTAGCCGGTTACATTTGACCTGGGCCCATGTCGGCCGAAAAGCGGTCTTGGAGGGCCTCGTCAAATATAACGACCCGACAGGCGGATTTTCCGGTTATCGCTCCTTACTCGCTGGTGCAGATGGCCCAACGGTGCCGTTTATCGGCATGTATCTCACAGACATTGTCCACATCGCCGACCAGTTTAGCGATAAGGAGCTTCCAGAGCTCCAAGGCCAGAAGGAAATAGTGTTCTTGCAGCGTCAGCGGTGGTATGAGGTTGTCCAGGTGATGTTGAAGGCGCAACAGAAGCCATACCTCATTGCGGAGAGCGAAAGCACGATGAACTTTATATGGGGTCATTTGAGGATGGACAGCTTGAAGGACCAGACTTGGTTTTGGGAGAAGAGCCAGGAAGTCCAGCAGTCGGAGTTGGCCCATGCTGATATTCGTAAAGGTCTTGAAGCAGCTGGCTTTTAATTTCTTTTTCTTTTTTCAGGTAGAGAGACTGGGTCTGGACACGGTCATTTAATTGTAATCTTATACGCATTTTGTAACTCTCATCCAACACCATGAAAAAGGAAAAAATGAATGTGTATCCCAGTGTCCGGAAAAAAAGAGACTGAATGCTTGGTGTAGGATAGGTAGAGTAGAATACAGATAGATGAGATCGGAAGGGTGACAGTCTAGCAGTTGCACGCCTCCTGGCCTGGCTGGGCTGTCGTCTGCTTGTTCAAGTCGACCCCAGTCCTTCCACCGGGACGACTGGCTCCAGCACGTGCCGATGGCGGAGGAGCAGTCAGTGGGAGCTTCTTAGCTGAGCAGAGATCAACAAATTAGGGTGGATGTCATCCAACAACAGACGCACCAATTGCAGTGAAGATCTCGTTGACACCATCCCCAGTCTTCGCACTCGTCTCGGCCCACATTAGACCCTCCTCCTCAGCGTACTTCTTTGCTTCTTCCTCACTTACTTGGCGCCGTGCAGCCAAGTCTGACTTGTTGCCGCATAGTGCGATGACGATGGACGGGTCTGCCTGGCGCTGGAGTTCGCGGATCCAGTTTCGTGCCTTCTCAAGTGTGGCTGACGACGTTATGTCGTAGAGTACAACAGCACTGCACCACATGTTATTAGTAAGTTTAGCGAGGAAGGTGTGTTAGCCTACCAATTAGCATTGCGATAGTACATGGGTGCCTGTGGAGATTAGTCGATATGAGAGACCGGCGGGAAGCATGCGTCATACGAGAGACTGTGGATGGTCGGGTCAGTGACGCATTATCGCTGACGAGAGGATCGTACCTTGTATCGTTCTTGCCCAGCCGTGTCCCTATAGACCAAAAGTTGAGCCCGGTGTTGTGTGGAATGCTGGCGCCTCACCATATTTCGAATTTAACGGTGGTTTGGTCTTCGAGGGTGACAGTCTGAGTTAAGAATGCAGCTGTAGCCGCATGGGTTCAACGTTGCATGGGGGTTATTCGATACAAGAGCGCACCTCCGATTGTGCTCTCCCGGTAGTCATCGAACTGGTCCTTCACAAAGCGGAGCACTAGACTATGGGGGAATTGGTGAGCGGATTCAGCTCTAGCAAACAAGTGGGTGTCATACCTTGATTTACCCACAGCAGACTCGCCTAAGAAGCAACGATGAGATATGGTGATAGCCTGTAGTAGAAGGACAGACCCAGAAGGACAAGCTTGAACTGGAATTGCTTCGACATGGTGAGCGCAGCCGACAGTTAACTGGTGTGACAGGTCGGTCACACCACACCATCCTGTTTTCTTCGAACCACCACGTAGCATCTCTACGCACAGCGCCCGCCCAGCTTTAGCCCTTGAGTTGAGGTCTCAGCAAGTATCTGGTCTCCCTAAGCTATCCCACGTGAAGAAATGAATCGTCATCATCCCTACGGCGGTGGAGTCAACTACGACCGTCGACCAGGACCATCATCAGGTCCTGGTCCTGACCGTCCTCAGCGTTTCGCTGGCGGTGGTGGCCAAAACAATCGAGGACGAGGTTTTGGTGGCCGTGGAAGAGGTGGTGGTGGTCAATCCGGATTCGGCAACAACAACAATAACAATATGAGCAATTATGATCAAGGCCCGCCTCCCCCCGACATCGCTCCGTACTATAATTATGATGCGCCCCCGCAAGATCCGTACTATCAAAACTATGGCCAATACCCGATGCAGCAGCAGCAGCAGCAGCCTCCCAATTATGACAATCAGGGTTTCAATGGCGGCTATGAAGGTGCGCTTGATGAGCTCCATTTCAACACCGGGTGGCACGCGCGAGAAACGAGAACGAGAATATGAAAACCCACAAACCCTTGAGGAATCTATTGATGGTCCTGTGTGGTGAACACTTGTCAAAGTTGCAGTGCTACTACGTCGTCTCTCCGCGTGCTCTCTCCAAGACACCACTTTTTTTTTCGCAACCTTTCTTTACTCACCTGAACTTGTTTTCTCATTGTTGTGTGTTAAGGCTCTAACTACGATGACGGTGGTGACAACCGCGGCCGACGTCCGATACGGAAAGACAGAGACGATAAGGTGCACGACTCAATCATTGAGGAACGTATTCAACGAGAAAGGCCCTGTCGCACGTTGTTCATTCGTAATATCAAGGCGAGTCAGTTGAGGTTATTCAGACTACCATGGCTCATAATGCGTTCTCGTTTCAGTATGAGACCAACAGTGCAGATGTCCGGCGTCAATTTGAGGAGCATGGCGAGATTAAGACCTTCTTCGATCTGATTTCGACTCGTGGGATGGTCTTTGTGACTTATGTGGGTGTGTTTTTAAGCGAGCAACGGCAAATGTTGACAGTTCTAGTTCGATTTGCGAGCAGCGGAACGTGCCCGAGATCGTCTTCAAGGTTCTGAGATTAGTGGCCGCCCGATTGATGTCCATTACTCTCTTCCCCGCGATGATACAAAAGGTGTCGACAGGGACAAAAATCAAGTCAGCTTTCGATTCCCCACATTGATGACCTTTTACTCATGCGACTTAACAGCAGCTGCAAGGCTGTTTGCAAGTTACGTTGCGTGCCTCGCCATCGGGACAGCCGATAGACGAGAACGAGCTGCGACACAAGTTCCAGCAATTTGGGGATGTGAAGTCGATTATGCCGGTTGGGGACCGCATTGAGTATGCTCTTCTTTCTTTTCTGGTGAATGTTTGCTCACAAGTTAAAGCTCACGGTATGTCGAATACTACGATATGCGAGCCTGCGACCAAGCTTTTGAACGACTGCGGAATGTCGGTCTTCAAGACGGGGCTATGGACATTGCTTTTGCCTGGGAGGAGAAGGAGTCCAACGCAAATGGTTCCGGCGGAAATAATAATAATAACCGCAATGACGGCGGCTTCCAAGGCGGACGGGGTGGCCGAGGTGGGAATCAAAATCGGAACAATCGAGGCGGTGGTGGGGGTGGGGGTGGTGGCCGTGGACCACCAGGGAGAGGAAGGGGCGGGGGCCATGATGACGACTTTGGTCGGGATCGTCGTGGCGGTGGTGGAGGGAGATTTGATGATGACTATGGTGGTGGCCGGCCCGGTCGGGGCGGGTTCAATCAAGGTGGCCGATATGATGGGCCACGATTCGATGGACCGAGAGGCGGGTTTGACCGTGGATATGGTGGTGTGCCACAGGGTGGTCCACCTCCAATGAGTCCGCCAATGGGTGGCCCTCCGCCAATGCGAGGCCCTCCTCCAATGACTGGTCCCCCGCCTATGAATGGCCCTCCGCCAACGATGAATGCCCCAGGCATGGTGCCTATGCCTTATGCAGCGCCTGCTCCCATGATGCCTCCCGCTCAAGACGACCGAAATGACCAAGCTCGAAAGGTACAAGCGGTGAGGTTTATCTCCTAGCTCCCCAATTTTGTTGCTAAACATCTTTCGTAGCTACTCGCTGCGCTTAAACCAGCAGATAGCTCAGCCGGTGCAGCTGCTGCTCCAATTACTGGCGCACCATATTACAATCAACCACCGCCACCAAATCCGACGCCTTATGGAGGCCAACCTCCGTATGGTGTTGGTGCCCAAGCCCAACCCCCACCACCAGCAGCCGCTAATCCCGTAGGGCTTCCTCCTCACGTGTTGGCGCTCTTGCAACAAGCGACCGCCGCTCAGCAACAACAGCAAGCCCCGCTGCCAAATGCTTATCCAATGCCTCCATCACAACCTGCTGCTGCTCCAGCGGGTGGGATGCCACCAGCAGGACAGCAGAGCTATCAACAACTATTATATCAACTGGTGTGTTGACTGGCCTCTCTTTTCTTTGGCTAATGTTTGGGTTAGCGCCAGGCAGCAAAGCCACAGCCGCAATGAGTTAAGAAGGAAAAAAAACAAAAAAGTGAACCCGATCGATTACTGACGCTGATACTTACTTAACACGTATTGGACTATGTAGACACATCGTTTCGCTGTTGTATACTTTAGCTTCCTCACCATGCTCGATAAGCGAGCACGTGACCTCCGAGTAACTCTCCGGATGCTGGTGCTTTCACGACTACGAGAATCGCTTGAACAAGCACTCGTACCTCCAGAGCTGCATACAGCTATTCTGCTATCGCCGTCGGGCCAGCTGATATGCTTTGCCTCATATCCAAACAGACGGAAAGACGATATCAGGGTTATCGCGGGGCTGAGCGGGGAAGTGTGGCAGGAAACACAAGAGCTAAGCTCGGGAATGGTCAACAGTGAGGTACGTCTCTGTGTCTGCATGCTAATTGGAAGTCCAAACGCGTCAATAGCTCGGTCGAATCCTGGTTATGCCTGTGGACGACCCTGACTCGATCCCACAACCACTGCCAGACGACTACCAGCCTCTCATGCTACTCGTTTTGAACTCGACGGATCAGATGGAGTGGGAGGACCTGCAAGCCAGGGCCAGTCATTTGCGTTCAACAATATTTTGTCTGACCCGTTCTATTTAGGGACGAGCGGTGACTGTCCAGATTGCGCGCCCAATGACTCGATTCAGAGAGCACTTGAGGCCAATGCGAAAGCCCCCTCCGATGCCCTCTGCATTGACTTCCCCCTCCAGGGCACGCTAGATTTTATTTTTATTTTAGCCACGTTGTGTAGTACTTTTACTTTTCTCATGCGTCACACGCCACTAATAACTTTCGATTGCCTTTTACCTCCTTCCCTCCATGCGACGATGGGCAGACGCGCTTGCTCGCTCCACCTCCAAGCGCAGACTTTACTCAGTCGTCGCCGCGCAGAAAGCAGCTGTCGCTGACCAAGCAAAGACGCGTCGACCAGACCCCGCCGCAGTCGTTGCCCCCGAACTTGACCACCTTCGCCAAAGCCTGCTCACTCTCCTCGGTTCGGCACATCCCGGGCTAGATGAAATCGCAAAATACTACTTTTTACACCCGTCGAAGCAGATGCGGCCGCTGCTTGTGTTGCTTTTTGCACGTGCCACGAATGGGTTGGGCAAAGACTGGAGAGAGCGGAGATGGGCTGCAGAGTGTGATGGGGAGAAAGAGTTGGACCTGCCGCTGACGAGGGGCGACGTGTTGAACGACTGGAACCCGAGTATGCCCGACACCACCAGCTCTTTCCAGTCCGTGTTTTCCCTTATTCCTCCGACTGCGCGTGCCGAACGGGCGGCAATGCCAGACAACTGGCAGGTCGGGACAGCGCCAGGGCTGCTGCCGACCCAGCGACGGCTGGCGCAAATTGTGGAAATGATACATGTCGCTTCCCTTTTACACGACGATGTCATTGACAGGTCAGCCTTGCGTCGGGGAGTCCCCTCTGCCCCCGCTGCATTTGGTAATAAACTCTCCGTGCTTGGGGGCGACTTCTTGCTTGGAAGAGCAAGTACTGCGCTTTCTCGGCTGGGAGACCTCGAAGTCGTCGAACTTATCGCGAGTGTTATCGCGAATCTTGTCGAAGGCGAGATTCTCCAGATGAAGGAGGTCTACACGCCCGAATTAGGGCTTGTCGCTACTCCAACAGCCAGCGGAGAGGCCTGGAGCGTTTATTTGAAGAAGACCTACCTCAAAACTGCAAGTCTGATGGCCAAGGGCTGTCGCGCGTCGGTTATCTTGGGCGGTTGTGCGCAGGGAGAAGTATGGAAGGAGGTGGCGTACGCGTTTGGACGGAATTTCGGGCTTGCATTCCAGGTAGTTGTCCAAACGCGTCTTTTTGATGTCCTATTTCTGACTTGTGATGGCAGCTAGTAGACGACGTTCTCGACTACGAAGCTGGAGAAGCCACGTTAGGCAAGCCTGGAGGTGCTGATTTGCAGCTGGGATTGGCAACTGGACCCGCGTTATATGCTTGGGAAGAGCATCCAGAAATGGGACCGTTGATCCAGCGCAAGTTTGAGAAAGAGGGGGATGTTGAACTGGTTTGTTTCTGACTCCAACTTGGAAAACACTGCTCTAACAGGACACCAGGCTCGCGATTTAGTGCGAAGATCATCTGGCGTCGCCCGCACAAGAGAATTAGCACGAGCCCATTCCGAAAAGGCCCGAGAATTGTTGCAGTTGTTGCCGGACAGCGACGCAAAGGTTTCCTTGGAGCTCATGACCGAGAGAGTCATCACACGGACATGGTAGAGCTGTTAGCACATAAATGACGCGCTTTTGGGGCGCGTTTTGACGCGTCGTCGGTGTGTGGTCGAAACACGATCGGGGCCTGAATTAAGCGGCGCACATGACGCTCTGTTTCCCCCTAGCTTTATTCGTACCTTTCCGTTGAGATATTTCTTGTAGAAGAACCAGAGAGACAGACGGAATGGGAGACGGAACGGATTTCTACTCATTTTGGCAAAAAGTTAGCCGAGCTAACGTTGTGTGATCCCGACCCTTCTCTCTCTCCTCCACCGTCAGTAGTCGTTCCACTCTGGCGCTGGCATTTGTTATTAGGGGACCCACTTCAGCTGCAACCCTGTCTTTCCTACCTTTCTCTTTACCTCGACTGGCGCCATGCTCATCAAGCTGAGCCCACCGGCGTCTGCGACACCGACCCCCACAATTCTCTTCGCCCTCTCCTTTCCAGAGCTGCCACTAAGCCTCCCCATACCCCCCGCTTGGGCGGCGCAACTGGCCCGACTTGCTGCTGATGACCTCGAAGCACCACCCTCCATGCACGCTTTGGACAGGGCCGCTGCATTTCCCAGTCTCCTTGGAGAAGTCCTCTTCGACCTCCCCAACAACCAGGTCGTCTGTTCCTTCCTTGACGGCAAGGTTGAAGAGTGGGCATTGACTCAAGAGTGTGCGGACATGCTCGCAAAGGTGATAGTCGATGTTGAAGAGAGTGGGAGGGCAGAGCAAAGGGCGCGCGACTGGCAGCGCGCTGTTGAAGAGGATAAGGTCCGCCAACAAGAGAAGGAACAACAGAAAGAGGCTGCACGTCGAGCTAGTCTCGAACGGGAAGCTGAGCTTGAACGCCAGTTTGCAGCAAAGCGCAAAGACAATAATTATAAGGAGCAGGTCCTCAACTCTCCACCACCGTCGCTCAAGGGTACAAAGTCTACCAAGAATCGTCTGGTTCGTTCACGGTCGCTGTTGATGGCGCTCGTCGCGTATGTCGCCTATCTTATGCTATTTTGGGTTATTGACTTTGTTTAGAACTTTCACCCCGTCTGGCTCATCCAATACTTCACCACCAAGTTCTCCTACCCGCGACTCTACTGATCGCTCTCCGTCTCCGTTCCGCAAGCTCACCCGACGCGGTTCTTTCGCTTCAAAGGAAACAGTTCCACAAGAAGAACGTCCTCTAACTCCGCCCCCTACCCACAATCTTGAGACTCCTCCAAGTTCTGCTCCACCTTCAGCACCATCATCTGCGTTTTCGAAGCAACAAAATGAAACACCTCGGCTTTCTGCTCTCATAACCGAGCGTAGGGAAGAACTTAGTCCACGGCTTTTGCGTCGGAGAGCCCGTTCAACACTTGTGGATTCTTTCCGTGCGCATGTGCTGCCTGTTTTGGCCACCAAAGTTGGACTGTTCGAAAACATCAATCCTTCTTTCCAGCCGGTGTTGCTATCCGATGAGACGCCAACACTGTTCAAACGGGCTGGAGGTGGATACCATGCCTGGGTCGCACGCAGTATGCTTCGTCGAGCTGAAGATCGCATGCGGGAACTGGAAGCCCAATTTCCTTCGCTTTTGTCCACACGGTATCTGAACGAGCTCGAGTTGTCACCCCAGCCGTTTTCCCCCAACTCGATATCATTCCCAACATCACCGACGCGCCAGGCAACGTTCGAGCCCTGGTCATCTGACGAGAGCGAAAGCGATTCTGAAGATGAGAGTGAATGTGAGCTTGTGGTCGACAGCGAGTCTGACTCTGATGGATCGTCTGTCCATACTCCCGAATCTGGCCATACCACCATAGGGGTCAGCTTTACGGGCCATGCGATTGAATCCTCGACAAGCTCAAACAGTTCTTACTTCACGTGCGCTGACGACCCTGAAGCGGAATCGCAGGATGCCGTATCGCCACTAACCGGCTCGCATATCAGACGGCCAGCCCAGGCACAGTCTCCCACTCACTCTCGGACACCGTCCAATGCAGCCCACACTAGACAGGCTTCATCATCGTCGGCAAAACGGGAACAGCGGCGGGCCCAGAAGGCAGCACATGCTGAGCACGCTGCTTTCGTTCGAATGACGGCTCGCCTGAGAAGTGTTTTGGCGCAATCAGCTGCCTCAAGACAGCTTGTTGCGATGCAGAAAGACGAAACTGACCGGGTGCGCGAGGGAAGGGGTCTGAGAAGGGCCTGGCTGGACCGGAGACGAGGCTTCAAGACATCAGAGATGGTGCAAGTATTCCGCCCTTCCGGTTTGGGGCGCTCGACTTGGGGGCTTGACGATATTATGAAAGAGCTGCCACCACCGCCATATGACGATGTCGTGCTGAAAACAACATTGCACGTGGCGACATCACCGACATCACCGACAACCATCACCGGCCGGCGCCCACGGCCCAGTCCTCCTATCCAACGAGCAAAGACTCTTGCTGCGTTGGAGATTGATGTCGAGCTGGAGCACGTGGAGATGGATGCTGCTGAGCTTGATATCGAAGTTGACCTGGAACGGCTGGACTTCACCGACTCTCTGGATGTGGAAAGCATGGGCCTTGATATCGAGGTGGACGATGTTCTCAAGTCACGCTGCAGGCCTGCTGGCGTCAAGGCACGTGTGGAAAGCTGGGAACGACGGCGCACGGTCGCTCTTGAACGGGCGTAAACCGGTCAGTCTACGACATGATTGCTCTCCTCAACTCACCTTTCGCAGAAACAAATCATCTAACGACAAACGCATACTCACCGTTAATCCGATAATTTCTTGCCATCTTCTTGTCACGACCCATACCAATGTACATACCCCCCCCCCATTCCAACCATTCCCACGCTTTTACGCATTCCATCCACGGCCATTTCCGTCGCATTTTACTGCCCTCCTCGCTTTCGGTCTTTCGCATCATCCACCATCGCATTGCATCAACTTTTTTTTCTTGGAATACGAATCCGCATTTCACGCAGCAGACTGCCGCCATCGATACGATACTAAAGTTACCTTACTTGATCCTCCCTCACTACCCTTGCACTTAATTCACCGTTGAAAGAAGTTGTCTTCATCCTGTCGCGGTCACGAGACCAGTTACCGCGACTGATCGCGTACATAGGGGTAGTCCTCACGAAAGATCCAGGCTATTGGTGCCAATCTGAACCAGCGACGCCAACAGTATGATTGAGATGTTGGCATCCCCGAAGGAAAGGTAATAGTTCTTGCCTAACTATCATGGAACCCATGAACGTGATGTCTCTTCTTTATCCCAAACCGTCTTCCATAGCAGAAAAGGTTCGCACCAGCTGTTTACTCTTGCAGGCTGATTGACGAAACAGTAGGTCCCTATCGGATGAACCACTAGAGCAACCCCAGTCGTTCAGTGAAAGAAGCTCGAACTTGAAGTGGCTGTTTGTCCCTCTTGCGGGACACAGTGCGACAAAACAACCCCTATATGGTGAGCTCTCTTACCTCTTCTCATCCAGCTGCCACCACTTGCTCCAGATCCCGCGCTCCTCCTCTGTCCCCGACCACACCCAATAGATCCTCTTTATATGGGTAAAGCCCTCCTCTAACTTGGGTTCTTCGTACTTGTCCCGGAAAAATGTAAACGCGCTCATCGGAAGGTGATCGCGCGGTGGGTGGCGCTGGGAAGAGAGCGAGCCATACGCGCGATAGAGGTTGTTGTGCCATGCGAGGTCGAGCGAACCCGAAAATAGCATGCACCTGGCAGAACTACCGTCAAATAAGAATTGTCGATGAAGCGATTCACACACCGAACGGGAACGTTGTGCTTCGCTGCGACATCTAAATAGGCGCGTCGCGTAGACCTGTCGGCGTTAGTGCTGTCTGTGAACACATATAATAAGTAAAGGTTTGAGCAGCGAATTAGTATGACCAAACTTACCAACAACACACCTCCGCCCCGCCGAAATCGCGTCTTGGACCTTCTCGACACACTTGTCCAACGTCTTGAACGTGTCTAGGTTGATGTTTTGGTAGCCCCTACGCCCAAAATATGTGCGGAATAGAGTCGTTTTTCCGATGCATGGGTATCCCACAAATAAAACCAGTTCTTGTGTCGGTTTTATCGGAATGAGAGGCGTGGAGGTGGGCATGAAGAGCGGTACTGTTCGAATGTCAACTAAGTCTGAGGTCAGAAGCAGAGCTTACAGGAACGAAGAGACGAGACGTGAAAGTCACGCAAATCGTAACATGGATGGGGTTCTTCTCCTAGAAAGTATTCCTACTTGGGACATCAGCGACAGACTTGCGCTAAGGGAGCAAAATGATGACCTCCGGCGTCAAGAACGGGATTCCGACATTTAGCGCCCACTTCCTATCCGTGCCACTGAAGTCAGGCTTGATATCCCAGGTTCCAGGATACACTCGCGCCGCGGAATCGCCAACGTAAAACGATTGTGACTTGTCTAACCAATGCTGTTGGATAACAAGAAAATATTGTGACCCCACACACCAATTGTAATGCCGTCTGCGGCAAACATCCGCTCGAGTTCCTCCCACATGCCAATCAGAGGTTTTCGGTAGTTGTCTCTCGCCGTCGCCGCGAGAATTCTGAAGGGTACATCTGGAATCTAAACAAAATTAGCAGAGGTCTTGAAGATCACAATGGGCCAACCGCTGCGGACACGAGCTTTATTTTCAGCTTCCACTCGTTCAGATGTTGAGGCGAAGACAGCCCCGCCTGATTAGTGACGATTACTATTGAGTATCTAGCGGAATGGGGTCGAAATCCGCGTTCAATAAGAATCGACTTACCCTGCTTCTACTGCTTCCGCCAGTTTCCCGGGTACACACGCATTCCACCATTCCCATTGGTCCGGCGCAAGTGGATTCCACTCGAAGGAGAGCTCTGCAATCACGGTGCCGTCCAGATCGAACGCGGCCACCTTGCTGGTCGGTCTGGGGTCAAGATGCTCGCCATAAAGACACCTTCTAGACTTTCCTAGAGAAGTGCGCCAGCTGAATGGATCTGAGATAGGTGGTTTGCAGGGGGTGGGCTGTGCTGCACGCGGTCAGATAACGCGTCAAATGAACGAGAGAGCCACACACAGATTTTGGCGAGTTTGGCAGGCGGAAGGTTTGGATACTCCAGAGGTCGTTTCTGAGACACTGGGTGGTTTGTTTGTGGGTGAAAGTTAAGGGCGTGTGGGCTTCTTACAAAGGACAGCAGCCATAACTTATTAGAAGACGCGAAGACCGCGTCTGTGATGGTCAGCTGCAACACGTATCCCATCAATATCAGCCATCAATGCATCAATAGTGGCTCCGGTTTCAGTTGCCCCGGACCCGGAGGCTAAAATTTGACATTCATATTTGGCAACAATGCGGGGTTGCCCTTTGGCTCTCGACCACCACGACCTTTCACGAAAACCACCACAAGACGATGCTCGCCCGACTCTCGCAGGCCGATGACTCTGAGCAGTTTGTATGTCTGACTGGCTCTACGCTCGATCGCCGTCCTGACTCGGCAATTGCAAAACAGTCCTTCGACATGGATTACTTCCGTCTCGTTTTGCCTGCAGCGCCAAACTGGGGTCAACTTGCGCTCTCTTGCCTGCCGCCAGCTGGGAGGTCCTTAATCACCAGCCTCCATCGAGATATTGAAACTGTGGCACACCTCCTTGCGGACCTCGAAGTATGTGCTTGGCATTCCTTTCCCTTGACCGTCTTAACTGGTTTTCCAGCTAGAAGACATCTCGTTCTCTTCAGAGCCCACGAGCTCTTCTTCTTCCCATCCCCTAATACCGACCATCGTTGTAACACCATGTCCGGATTCACCGCCGGAAACTTCCTGTTGGGTTCCGATGCAAGACAGTGCATTTGGAACCCAGTTAACGGTGCCTCTTCATCCCTCATTTAACTGCGCCTTCCCTCCGATGGCTGTTAGTCCTCGCCGCTCGCCTGTTACCTCGTGGATGTGGAAAAATGGGCATTGGCAGGCGACATTACGGGGAGTAGAGCCTCGGCCAAGAAAATTAAAGCAGCGCAAAAAGAAGCTGTGCTTCAAGCCCATTCACCGCTAAGATTTGGAGGCTAATAATTGGCCCCACATCCGATTTCGGTGAGCCGTACATATGTAGGGCCGCCGCTGTTCCGTCACGGTGGACACAGCCTCCGAGTCCGGCAATTATATTCGTTCGTGGTTATCTACTGAGGATCTTCTGTAGCGGACTATTGTCTTTCTGTAGCTTTTACATGTCGAAGACCGCGTCCAAGTCGGGAAGGAGGTGACTTGGTTGTGACGGTCTGTAATTGAACTTTCCAAGCACTTTCCACAAATGCCATTCCTTGAAAGTCTCCTGAATTATAAACCTGGTGGCCTGCATCCCGTCCATATAGGCGATACTTTTGCGGAGGGACGTTACGAGGTTATCGACAAGCTTGGACATGGTTGTTCGTCCACCATCTGGCTCGTTCGCGACTCGACAACTGCAAACTACGTCTCGCTCAAAATTATCGAGGCTTGTAGATCGGAATCGCCGAGTGAGTTTGCGGTCCTGAAGCATCTAGAGGCAACATATGATGCGGAAGACGAGGGTAGTCAGTACGTGGTTCGAATGCTTGACCATTTTGGTGTGTTTCCTGGTTGACAGAGGTACTACTGAACTCATCTAATTTCAGTGCATGAGGGACCAAATGGAGTACACTTCTGCATCGTCCAGGAACTCATGGGGCCTTCTCTGTCCTTGGACCTCGAAACATTCTCGTATGACTATGCTCTCCCTTTGGACACGGCTAGTCGACTCGTTGGCCAGCTTTTTCTCGCTGTCGACTATCTGCATAAACGCGGAATCGCCCATGGTGACCTCCACACTGGGAATATACTATTGTGTATCCCCTCAACGCTCGATTTCGATTTCGGCAGTCCACCAAAGGAGACCTGTGAACTACCCACACCTCACGCGCCGAAATATCTTGTTGTGCCTATTCCTCTACGCCTCACAAAACGCTTTATATGGTCCTGCATGCTCAAGCCACACATCAAACTCTGCGATTTCAGCGAGTCCTATATGGCGAGCATGACGACACCTCCGCGACTTGCTTGCCCACATATTCTCCGTCCACCGGAAGGCATTCTCACTCAACTGCCACACGCAACCCTCGCGCTGGACATTTGGGCTCTCGCTGTGGTCATGTACCAAATTTTGACCAACGGCGATCTGCTGTTTTACCAATTCGACGACGACATTTTGGACGCCATCACTCTCACGCTGGGTAAATTCCCTGAACCGCTGTGGTCGAGCTGGAGCAATCGGGGGGAGTACTTTGACGAGGATGGAACCCCACTCAATTACCCCGACTGGTCAAGTACCCCCTCCCATAGCCCCTTGATGCAAAAGGCGCAGTTTTGGACAAACGACGAGGAGGAACATGCGGCACTCGCGGCGATGATGGAAAGGATGTTGCGCTATGATGCGGAAAGCAGGAGTTCAGCCAGCGAGTTGGTGCAATGTGAATGGATAGTGGAGTATTGCCGTCCTTACCTGGGTGACGATGTGGTCCTGCCCAAGAAGCGCACCAGGTTGGAGCATCCCATGACGAAAAAGGACATCCAAGAAATGTTCATGCTCACTGACGCTCTCTAGGCGTCGGAAACTGTCCTTCGTGTTCCCTCCAGAGTGGTGCTAACGGACAAACCGGTCAGGTGTCAAATTTCAGAACGTTCTAACCAAGACATACAAATATAATCGCCAAATCTATATCTAGCTATAGTTTCCTCTTTCAGGACGTTAGTCTATCTTAGAGCTTATTTTGCTATATTTCTATCAGATTCAGTGTATGTAAATGGCAAAGGTTTCTGCTACTTAGTGGTTACGCACAAGTACCAAGCTACTGACTCCTTTTTATCAATGAGCATTCGACCATGTTAATCTCAACTTGAACCGCTGAATCATGCCTCGGCAACTGGGTTGCCGGCGGCTCGAAGTTCTCGCCGCATTCTTCGTCGATCTTGAGCAACTTTGACAAAACCCTCCTTCAACTTGTTTGCCTTCACCTTCCTTTCCCTCCAGCAGCGTGTCGACAACCAGTTTCCCCGCTTCTTCAAATCCTCTCTCTCTTCTTCATGTCCAAGTATGTGAGCTGTATGAGGCGGTTGGAGAACAGCGTCGAATTGTACAGTTAGATGAAAGCCATTAGGATCAATCTGGTCCTTCGAAGTGGCAATACATATCGATGAGATGCTCGAGGACTGAGAGCGTAGGCACGAAACTCACCGAATATTGGAAGACTCAGACTCTGAGAAAGCTCCGTTATCCAACACCTTCGTGAAAAGGCATCCTGCCGCATTGACCAGTTCCTTACTGGTGGACGTTGTGCCCAAACATACACACGTCATCTTGATCTTTCCGACTTTATTCTTGATGACTCTGTTTGCGTTGGGCCTTTCGTTTAACCTTCCTAGGTATTTGCGGGTGGTGATTGAGGAGGAAGTTGGTTCGCGGCTTCGTGACACGCAAAATACATATAATGAGACTTCAGCTTGGATGACTGATCAGCTTGGAAAGTTTGTCGACGACGTTAGGTGTTGCGAGCGCATGATTCCTTTTCCGTGAGGTAAACCACCTTGGTTCGTTCCTCCGGCAGTATAACATCGTCGCCCATGTAAGGACGGCAATATTCCACTATCCATTCACATTGCACCAAGTCGCTGCTTGAACTCCTGCTTTCCGCATCATAGCGCAACATCATCTCCAACATGGCTGCGAGTGCCGCATTCTCCTGTTTATCGTCTGTCCGGCCCTCGGCTTTTTCGCTCAAGGAAGTCATGGAGGCAGTGTCAGACTGGCCGGGGCGATGGACTGGGTTTCCATCGTCGTCGAAGAACTCTGCCCGATTGCTCCAGCTCGACCACAATGGCTCAGGGAATTTACCCAGCGTGAGAGTGATGGCCTCCAAAATGTAGTCGTCGAATTGGAAAAACAGCAGTTCGCCGTTAGTCAAGATTTGGTACATGACCACAGCAAGAGCCCAAATGTCCAGCGCGAGGGTTGCGTGTGGCAGTTGAGTGAGAATGCCTTCCGGTGGACGGAGAATATGCGGGCAAGCAAGTCGTGGAGGTGTCGTCATGCTCGCCATATAAGACTCGCTAAAATCGCAGAGTTTGATCTGTGGCTTAAGCATGCAGGACCATATAAAGCTGTTGGTGAAGCGTCTGACGAGAGGTATAACGAGATACTTGGGCATGTGGGGAGTGGGGGTAGTGGGCAGTCTCCTGTTGTCTGTTATTGGACTGCCGAAATCGAAATTGAGCGTCGAGGGGATACACAGTAGGATATTTCCAGTGTGGAGGTCACCATGGGCGACTCCGCGTTTATGCAGATAGTCGACAGCGAGAACAAGCTGGCCAACGAGTCGACTAGCTGTCTCCGAAGGGAGGGCAGAGTCGTAGAATCTTTCGAGGTCCAAGGTCAAAGAAGGCCCCAGGAGCTCCTGGACAATGCAGAGATGTGCTCCATTCGGTCCCTCATGCACTGAAAATAGATGAGTTCAGTAGTACCTCTGTCAACCAGGAAACACACCAAAATGGTCAAGCATTCGAACCACGTACTGACTTCCCTCATCTTCCGCATCATATGTTGCCTCTAGATGCTTCAGGACCGCAAACTCACTCGGCGATTCCGATCTACAAGCCTCGATGATTTTGAGTGAGACGTAGTTTGCAGTTGTCGAGTCGCGAACGAGCCAGATGGTGGACGAACAACCATGTCCAAGCTTGTCGATAACCTCGTAACGTCCCTCCGCAAAAGTATCGCCTATATGGACGGGATGCAGGCCACCAGGTTTATAATTCAGGAGGTTTTCGAAGAAGACCATCTGAGAGTTCTCAAAGAACCACGTCACCCGTGACAAATGTGGCTCCGGAACGTCACCGTTAGCAACTACCACAACGTTGCAGGTCGACGACGACCACGCTGCGCACTCTGTATGACCCTCAAAGCCCTCTTCTACGCGTACATTCTTGGAGGAATCACATTCTTGCCCCTACTCATCGCTGCATTCGTTTACTTCACCATCTACACTTCCGTCCCTGTTGGCGACCCAGATGGTGGCAAGAAAATCAGAACAGAGCTTGCGGAGAAAGGCGCCCATGAGGAGGAGGAAGACAAGACACCGGCGCTAGACGTTAACGATGCCCCCAAGACCCGCAAAGCCTGGCTGACAATGCGACGCACATTTGAAGAGTCGACAGACGGGAGTTATGTTACCCTTGTCCGCAGCTTCCTCGATGCTCGCTCCAAAGACCCTAAACGTTCGCGGCCAAAAGATATGTGGTATGTGGTCCTGAAGGGTTCAGTTTTGTATTTGTATGAGGACGAGAGCATGTCGGAGTGCGAAGGGGCGATTGAGCTCAGCGGCCATGACGTGACGATATTTCCAGAGGGTCTCATGGACGGGGAGCTCTTTGCGAAGCGGAACGCTATCTGTCTCAAACCGAAAATTCCACCAGAGAAAGGCATGCCGAGTGTAACGAGGGAAATGCATTCAGAAGGCATTGATGTCGAGGCACGGGTTGCAGAGAGTGGTGCTGGGGCCAAGAAGGCGGAAAAGATTCGAGAAGTGGCAGAAGAAGAGGCTAAACAACGCGACGCTGCACGAGAACAAGCTTTGAACCCAGCAACTCCGTGGTTTATTTTCGTTCGCTCGAATTTCGAAATGGAGGATTGGTATATGGCACTCATCCACGCATCGGACAACCCACCACAAACGCCAATGCTTACACCTCTTCAAAATATATTCCAACCGAGCGACATGGCTTATCTCGTCAATACCCTTGACGAACAACCCGACGTCATCCCTATGCGCTGGCTCAACGCTCTTCTCGGACGCATATTCTTCAGCTTCTACCGCACTCATAACCTCGAGGCTGAAATCATTCGTCGCATTATGAAGAAGCTCTCCAAAGTCAAACGCCCTGCTTTTTTGACGGAGATCAACGTCACCGAAGTCTCCGTTGGCAACAAGGCACCCACGTTCAGCAAACCCATGTTGAAGGAGCTTACGAAGGAGGGTGACGCTTCTATGGAAGTACATCTACAGTACAAGGGTGAAGTCCGCATCACCGTGGAGGCGACCGCGACTATTAGTCTTGGTTCGCGATTCAAGTCTTACGAGGTCAAACTCGTTCTTGCGGCGGTTCTCAAGGAGATCGAGGGAAACTTGCTCGTCAAGATTAAACGGCCACCGAGCAACCGGATCTGGTATGCGTTTACGCAAGCACCAAGAATGGTCTTCGAGGTCGAGCCCATCGTGAGCGACCGGCAGATTACGTGGAGCATGATCACGAGCACACTGGAGTCGAGTCTGAAAACCATCGTGAGTGTCTGCATTGCCAATTTCTTGGGCATAACTGAAGCGTTTGCATAGATTGCGGAATCAGTCGTATTGCCAAATATGGACGATATCTCTTTCTTCGAAAGCGCGGGCCACAGTCATCGAGGCGGCATATGGCCAGATGCGGCAAGGCGAGAAAAGGCGCCAGCAGATGTTGCTCAATCACAACCGCAAACCCAACCACCGCCACAACAATTGCCCTCTGAAGATGATGCTGGCTCAGTCGTATCAGCGCCTCCTGCTGCTGTTCCAACCTCGACAGTCGAATCAGAACCACGTGCAACTCAATCAGCCGTTGATCTTCCCATTTCTTCCTCCCCTCCGGATGTTCCAGAGGTCTCTTGGTCTTCGACGTTTTCCACTGGAGACGGTCCCGAGTTGAAGAAGAAGCGTAGCTGGTTTTCAGCAGCACGCAGTGAAGGTGGTCGTAGTGAAGGTGGCCGATCATTCACTGAACAAGATGTCTTTGCGGATGAGGACGAAGCACCCAGAGGTCGTGCTGGTACTATGGATGCGGAAAAAACGACAAATCAACGCTCTCGCTCAACTCCCCATCCCTCTGATGTAGCAGCTTCGACGAGCTCTGAAGGAAGCGACGACTCGCATTTGCAACCTCCGTCTTCCCGTGGACATGTCAAATCAAACTCAGTAGAGGAGTACCCGGCTGGAGGAAGCGAACCTTCTACGTCTTTGCCCAGGAGCGCCACCGGTGGCAGTCCGACGACGCCATCTTTCCTTTCCACATTGCGATCACGTGACAAGCAGGCGATCAGTAATACTGCGAAGGAAACGTTCCGGAAATGGGGTGCCAACTGGGGTGGGCTAATGAAGGATAAGGACAAGGATGGTAATGGTGGAGAGGAGGTTCCTGACCACGGCTCTCTGATCTCGCGGTTGCGGCCTGAGACAAATAACAACGGAAATATGTCGCACAAGGCACGACAGAGTTATGCGGAAGTAAGAGCTGCTGTTGCGGAGCGAAGGGGTCGGGAGAGGTCAGATGGTAATACGAGTCCTGGACCAGAAACGACGTCAACACCCATACCAGTGCCTGAAATACGGGAGCGGGCAGTGTCGATGGTACCGGGGCGACCTGCAAATGGGTTTACGTCTCTCATTCCACGATCCGCTACGTCAGCTGTTGACAATACTCCCTCCACGCCAATGCCAGAATCACCCTCCCCGATACATGTTCAACCACAAGCAAAGTCGATGGTAATACCTGGAATTCACGCCAAAAATCGTGGAGCGGTTATGTCGATGGGCTATATTGCGCCCGACCCGCCGTCACCACCAGATACGCGGAGTAAGAATCCAACAATCCAGAACATGTATCGGTTGTGGAAGAGTCCTTCAGCCGCAGCGGAAATCCCACCGCCTGAGGCTTCTACTTCGAGTTCACCTCCGCCTGCGTTGATTGAGGGCAGTAACACATCCCCATTGCCTCCTGTAGTTTCGCTTCCCGCGCCAGACTCCCCTTCGCCTCCTCCCCGACCAACACCAGCATTGCCCCCGAGAAGCGGACGAACAGCATCATTGTCGCATATCGCCCGTCCAGATCTCGCGCCACGCTTGTCTGATAGCCAGCCACAAGCATCGGCATCTGAGGCCCTCCAGTCAATAGCAAACAAGGACAACGACAAACGGGCTTCGTTGGAGGCGGCGTTTAGCTCTCCGCCGAATTCAAGGAGGGGGACGCTGTCTTCTGCGAGTGCGGCTGCGCTGGTTAGTGCGTTGTCAGCAGCAACTGGTGAGGAGGAACCGGCCTGAGGGGTTTGGTATTTGTGCTACTTACTACTGTATAACTACGCTATATTCTAAGCATTGCTAAGTTGCAGGTACATCTTGGTCTCGATGCTTGCCCAAATTAACCTCTGAGGAAGCTTCCAGTCTAATGTCATATTAACTTCTTCACTGGTTCTGGACTTCAAGCTCCTGCTATACTTTGGGTTATCATGACAGATAATGCTAAAGGCCTTTAAACCCCAAAGGTATTTGCCCTTCAAACACTGCTCAGTTGAGAGGACTTTAGTACACTCGCCGGCCGCAGCGCGACTCATTGCAAGAATCTTGAACCGCAAGCGAGTTGGGGAGTATCGAAGAACCTTTGCTGATATAAATAGCCCATACTCGCTCCAGAAACAGTGCCCACCATGTCTGACTCGTGGTTCAGCGCCGTTGACCGACGCGGTGCGACGCGCAAAGTGCCCATGCAAGTGCTTGCGTTGGGATTCCCCCGAACGGGCACGGCATGCTAGTTGATTACCTAATCGTTCTGTAGCCTGCTAATCGTCGTTTAGCTTTGCGCATTGCGCTGGAGACCCTCGGCTACCGCGAGACCAACCATGGCTTCGCGGTGTGGTCGAACTTGAGCGAAATCGAGATGTGGACGGAGGCGATCAACGCCAAGTTTTTTGGAAAGGGAAAGGGGTATGGCAAGGAGGAATGGGACGCGCTATTGGGACACTGTATGGTACGAGCCATTTTTTTTCTTATCATTGTTAGCTAGCTGACGCGTCCAGGCCGTGACAGATGCGCCCCATATTCTCTTTGCTGCCGAGCTGATTGAAGCCTACCCAAAGGCCAAGGTCATTCTGACGACGCGGAACCCAGACTCATGGTGGAGGTCCTTCAATTCAACCATCCTGGTTGCTGTGGCATCTCCCATTGGCGCGCTCAACGCATGGCTCGAGCCCACAACCGCTGGCACCTTTGTCGGATTCTGGAAGCTGGTCTTTCTTGCCCTGCTCAGGACCACTGATGTCACGGAGGAGCTGGCGAAGAAGCGGTATCTCGAGTATTACGACGAAGTCCGGGCGTTGGTGCCAAAAGAGCGCTTGTTGGAGTACCGGGTGGGCGAGTCTGGGGGCTGGGATCGGCTGTGTGCCTTCCTTGACAAGGAAAAGCCGGAAGCTCCATTTCCCAGGGTCAACGATGCAAGAACGTTCAATGAACACATGCTCGGTCGGGTGGTCTCGATCTGGAAACGCGCTGCGAAGAAATACCTGCCTCCGATTGTTGTGGTGGTTAGTCGAGTTCGTTGTGTGAAATCGGGTTTATTGATGACGCATCATTAGTGTTTCTTGGTGTTTGTCGCCAAGTCGTGGTGAACAGGACCAGAGCCGAGGTTGTGCTCAAGCATCAGAATTTTTGTATTATTGAGTGATTCTCCTCGAATATTGCTTGGACATCCTTTGGTAGGGGCTGGAATCATATTGGACTCGAATATCGGTATGACAAGCTTCATGATCATTTCAGAGTGCGTGAACAGAGCAAAGCTAGCTGAAGGTTTCAAGTTACAGTAGGTCAAGTTGGAGGGTGATTCGTGATTGTGACTTGATGTCACCTATCTGCACCTTTCTTTCCCGATTCCTCCATCGAGGTCCAATTCCTTGAAATCTGTGAAATGGCTTAGAGCTTGTACTATGGCGCCTGCCGCCACGCCAGAGAGTGTCTCGCAGGGGCACTAGTGATCACTCCAAATGTCTGGCAGAAACATCCGCCCCCCTGATGGGTACAAAACGCAGTATCATCGCTCAGAAACCCTACTCTTCACTACAATGTCCTCGCGGTACAATAAGGTAGATCGTCGTGGCGCGACTCGCCAAGTGCCGATGCAGGTTCTTGCACTGGGCTTTTCGCGGACTGGCACGGCATGTAGGTTGTTCATTCCCTCACAGAAAGGTGCTGACACTCCATCCAGCTATGCGGATTGCTTTGGAGACTCTTGGCTACCGCGAGACGAACCATGGCTTCGCTGTCTGGACCAACTTCAGCGAGATGGAAATGTGGACCGAGGCCATCAACGCGAAATACTTTGGCAAGGGAAAACCATACGGCAAGAAGGAATGGGACGCGCTTCTGGGGCATTGCATGGTGTGTCCACCCGATATTTATGTTGCTGTGTTGTCTTTTTCTTACCATCTTCAGGCCATAACCGATGTTCCTCATCTCCTTTTCGCAGCCGAGCTCATTGAAGCCTACCCAGAGGCCAAAGTCATTCTCACGACTCGTTCTCCGGATTCGTGGTGGAAGTCGTACCAGTCCACCATCGCATCTTCTTTGTCGTCTCCTTTGGGAACATTCAACGCGTGGCTCGAGCCGGCGACTGCTGGTCGCATCCTTGAATTTTGGAAGCTCGTGTTCCTCGCCATGTTCAAAACTACAGACATCACGGAAGAAGTGGCGAAAAAGCGGTACGTCGAATACTACGACGAAGTGCGGGCTTTGGTGCCGAAGGAGCGGTTGTTAGAGTATCAGGTGGGTGAACCTGGCGGGTGGGACCGACTGTGTGTGTTTCTCGACAAGAAGGTACCGGAAGGAGCACCATTCCCTAAGGTTAACGATACGCAAGCCTTCCACGACCATATGAAGAGTCGGGTTGTGCCGATTTGGAAACGCGCTGCAAAGAAGTACCTTCCTCCCGTCGTTATGGTGGTCAGTCCATTTCACGCTGGAAAAGTTTCTGCGAGTAACTATTTATCAGTGTCTCTTTGTGTTTGCGGTCAAGGCCTGGTAATCGGGACTACGCTTGCATGTACTATCAGCTACAATCTTGTCTTGCGTTTGTGATACTGTGTTGACGGTGTTGAAGCAGCGTGACACTTTGTGGCAAGTACTCTCATCGTGCCACCTGCCAGTGTCTCTTGGAGCAGCTGCAACATCAAGATCGAATAGCGACCATATGCTGCCTCGCGCCAAAGGAGCGTTCTGCAGGAGAATCACTTCAAGAATTTGACAGGAACACCCGTTATCCCTGTCGACCCGACTATATAAAGTGAATCCTGGCTGCACCTCTCATTTCTCCAACCATGAACAGTAAAGAACTCGAAGAACGGCGGGGCGCAACCCGTAAAGTACCGATGCAAGTTCTAGCCTTGGGCTTCTCGCGAACAGGCACAGCATGTAGGTTCCACCAGTATAATCAAGTGCCCGCAAACTGTGAGTTGACGATGATAAAGCGATGCGGATCGCTCTTGAGACGCTCGGATATCGTGAAACGAACCACGGCTACACTATCTGGACCAATTTCAACGAAATCGAACTCTGGACCGAAGCCATCAACGCGAAATTTTTTGGAAAAGGGAAATTATATGGGAAGCAGGAATGGGATGCCCTCCTGGGACACTGCATGGTGCGTTTCAACTTTGACTGGAATAGGTTCACTCTTATACGAGTCACTTCCAGGCTGTAACTGATGTTCCCCATCTCCTGTTCGCCGCCGAGCTGGTCGAAGCCTATCCCGAGGCTAAGGTCATCCTAACAACCCGTGACCCAGCCTCGTGGTGGAAGTCCTACCAGTCAACCATTGCATTCTCCATGTCATCTCCTATCAGTGCTTTTAATGCATGGCTTGAGCCCACGACTGCTGGACGTGTACTCGAATTTTGGAAGCTTGTGTTTCTCGCTATGTTCAAGACAACAGACATTACAGAAGAGGTGGCGAAGAAACGGTACGTTGAATACTATGACGAAGTGCGGGCTTTAGTACCGAAGGAGCGATTGCTGGAGTATCGCATGGGTGAACCTGGTGGTTGGGACCGACTGTGTGTATTTCTCGACAAGAAGGTGCCCGAAGGAGTTCCGTTTCCAAACGTCAACGATACACAAGCCTTCCACGACCACTTGAAAAGCCGAGTTGCGCCGATCTGGAAACGTGCTGCTCTGAAATATCTTCCTGTTGGTGCTGTCATGGTTAGTCATCTGTCTCCCCATTGTTCTCAGACGCAAACTGCTCCTTTGCAGTGCATTTCCATGTTTCTCTTCTTCTGGCGTCGTTGAGGTCTCAAATGTTTGAGTTACGCGTGTACTTTGTTTGTTTGTTTGTTTGTTTGTAATACGGTAATACTGCCTCATCCGAGAGCTACCGAACCTGATACCTGGACTTTAGCTGATGAATAAATCACATGACCGCGATTAACTTGCTTGCAACGTTCACAATTTCGGACGCATAGATCACTAAACTACTAAACGGTCTTAAATACGCTCAGCATGGCCGCTATTCTGTCTCCCAGCGAATCAAAAAGTAAAAAGCGGCTTATCGACCCTGTTGAATCCGAATCGTCGCCTGCAATAGGGCTTGGTTTATATAGGGGTGTTTGTAAACCGGTTTATAAACACCCCTGTTTTATATGTTTATAAACAGCCTGGCTGGAAACCCCCTGTTTTATGGTTTTATATTAATAAGCACCCAAAAAGGAAAGAAGCTGGTAAACTCGACTTACTTTACACTAATATTGCTTCTATATACTGCTAGTAGGCTTGACCATATCTTATAGGTCTATTATAACATCTAGTCTCTTATCAAGTAGAATCTTGAACTACTTTTGGCTGATATTAGTCATAATCAGTACTAGTATTGAGGGCTGGGTTGTGACTACAAGTACTAACCATGCAGATTACTTATTATTGCTGTCATTATGATTTTTAAGTTATATAGCCCTGACAGGGGGCTTATCTTAAATCTTCTAATAACTTAAAGTAATTCAAGTAAACTGCATATGATATATATAACATAAACATATTATACTAACTTACAAGTAAGAGTTGATAGGCTCTAGCTCTCTCAAGCCCCGTACAGGCTATGAAACTTACAGACATCAAGTTAAAAGGCCAAAATTTATCCCAGAAATTTCCAAAAAAGGAAATTTTGGTCTCTCTGGTCATATCAGCTCAGTTCGTTTATAAAACCTAAAAACCGGTTTATAAACAGGGTTTCAGAGGCCATTTTTATTAAACCGTTTGATAACCTCCAAAATCTTTAAAAACCAAGCCCTAGCCTGCAAAAGTCACCAAAAGTCTGTGGGTTGTTGACCGACGACGTTGATGCATCTTACTTTTGCACAGTCCATCCTTTCTTCTCCAAGAATCGAGGTGTGGCCGCTGAACCAGAAGGTCCGCTTCGCTGGCTACCGCCCATAGGATCGTCGAAGACCTGCCTTCATGGACAGCATTTGGAGCCCCAGCCCTCAAAAAAGGTCGCTACCTTCGATTTGGACGGCACTGTTATCGCGTCGCTGTCGTTCAAAGCTCCCAAGCTGGAATGGCGCTGGTGGCATGCCTGTGTTCCTGTAAAACTTAGGCAGGCTGTTACAGAAGGGTGAGTCTGTTAGCTCTGTTCTAAGTTGCACTTACGAGGCTTTTAGATATTCGGTGGTCTTGATAACGAACCAGAATGGGCTGAAGTCAGAGAAGCAAATTCGGGAGTGGAAGCAGAAGATTGCGTTGATTGCTGCGAACGTGAGTGAAATCTTCGAACCTGAATTCCGGTGGACCAAATGCGCTAGATTCCCGATGTACCGTTTCGTATTCTCGCCGCCGTTGCAAAGGACAACTACCGCAAACCGATGATTGGGATGTGGCAGGCAATTGAGGCGGTTTTGGAGACGGACGTGCTCAAAATTGGTGTGTAGCTGCTTGAACTGCTCTATTCTAACTCGATAGCTCAATCTAGACAAGTCTGCTTCCTTTTTCGTCGGAGACTTCGCAGGACGGACATACCCTGGCACTGATAGGAAGAAAGACCATGCTGGAACGGATCGTAAATGGGCCTTGAATGTCGGTATTCCGTTTCTAACTCCAGAGGTCAGCAACTTGAACATCTAGATTTTGCTTTCCGCCTCATGGGATTCGGCTAGGAATACTTTCTTGGGGAGGAGCCCCATGCTAGCTGGGAGCTGACTGGTTTTCACCCTTCGTCCCTTCGCTCTTGTGAGTGCATGGACTCCGCGTTTACTCCATTAAAGCCCAAGATAGTGCCGCTTTTCACGCCAAATTCTTCGCCTCTCCTGCCGCCAAAACCACTTCAAGAACTCGTTCTTTTTGTAGGGTATCCGTGCCTCGGAAAAACGACTCTATTCCGCACACACTTCCAAGATCAAGGCTATCTTCATGTTAATCAAGATACCCTCAAGACTCGAGAGAAATGCGTCAAGACTGTTGCGGAGGCTCTTGAAGCAGGACAGAAATGTGTCGTTGGTAGGTCCAGTCCGCCTATTGTTTTCGTTTTTCCCGAACGTCATAGACAATACCAACCGTGATGTTTCGACCCGACGGTTCTACCTGGATGTCGCGAAAAAGTACCATGTTCCAGTCCGGTCTGTGTTCAAGTTACCAGCTGTCTCTTATCAAGCTTAATCCTTCCAGCTGTATGGTTTTCACAGGTTCCTTTGAACTCGCATGGCACAACAACATCTATCGCGCATACTATTTGCCCAAATCTGTCGCAGAACGAGAGGTATTTTATAGCCAATATATGCAATCACGACTAATTGTTGTTAGCCCGTTCGAGAACTGCTACCAATTAGTGCATTCACGTCCTTCAGAGACGCGCACGAAGAGCCTGAGTTGGAGGAAGGGTTCACTCAGATCAAGAAAATTAATTGGGTGTGGACGGGCACAGAGGAGGATCGTAAAGTATGGGAGATGTGGCTTCAATTTGATGATAAAAGATAAATCTCGTTGGTCGGCATCTCTTTCTTGTTTCTTCCTCTCTCTTTCCTTGATTCCCACACATGTCCTGTTCTCGGTTATGAGTATGCATGTCAATGCTAATTTCGATCGTGGTTTAATTTTACAACGGTGGCATAGCTTATGAGTTAACTTCAACGGGTTTCTTCCTCTCTTTTTTCTTGATGCCCACACATTTGCGTATCACCAAAGTAGAGCATACCCTTGTAGATAATGTTTTCGAATGGATCCCGTTTCTCGTGAACCAGACTTTGAACTTGGACTCCATGGAGTCGTGTTGGAGAAGATGCTGATGGGTGTTGGGGACAGAGAGAAAGTAGGACGGAACATGACTGCTCTGAAGCCGATTTTCATTAGCGACTCTCCACTATGGCTGTCCACTTGGGGCAGAACAGAGCGAAAGAGGCAATTCGAAGCTAAACTGGAGATCACATGATTCAGATGCCCCATCAATTACGCGACTTGACCAAAACCTTTATGGACGTCCACCCACGATAACGCGTTCTTTTCCTCTTGCGAACGATGGACTCGTCGCAGGTCTCATCTCCCACCCCAGGGACTTTCAGCACCCAGTCATCCCGTTCACGAAGCAGCACAAAACTCACGACAGATGACCTCACCAGCCTCACCTCGTTCAACCCCTTCTCCGAAGAAGATGAAAACGAGGAATCCTTCGTCACCAGCATATTCTCCCGCATGAAAAACACCCTTGCGCCTCTTACCTCAGCCTCAACCAGCGGCCCATCCCATCCATCAACCAACGCCCATACCCCCGCGTCAACGTCAGAGAACCGGAGACCGTCTTATACGATACCCCAACTCAGTTCCAACCTTACTTCCCGCACAACCAGCTCTAATGACAGACCCAATTCGTTGTCGGCTGTGCAGACTGCGCAGCCGGCGCCTCCACTGGTTTCGCTGACTCCAGCCCAGTCAGAGGTTCCAACCTACAGCGTCGACTTTGACCGATCGCCCTCTCGGAGTGGGGCTTTACCCTCATATGATTCACAGGACGGTGGGATATTTGGGACTTCGATACCAGGCTTCCCTATACCTGATGATGCGCGAAGCATCAAGACGACGACAAGCTTGCACAGATCTAACTCTGTGTCGAAGGTTATACGAAGGATACGTGGAGAAGGTCTTTCTCGCGACTATTGGATGGACGACGAGAACTGCAAAGAGTGTTATGACTGTGAAAGTGTTTTTACCACATGGAGAAGAAAGCACCACTGTCGAATATGTGGTGCGTCTTCTGGTCTTTATCTCTGTCTCTCTCTCTCTTACCAACCATCCGCAGGTCAAATTTTTTGCTCCCGATGTGCCTCGAATATCATCAAAGGCTATCGGTTTGGGCACGACGGGATGATACGTGTTTGCAATCTCTGTGTAGAGAAGCTAGCAAAAGTCGACGAAGATGATGATGACGACCGGCGCTCTGTGGTGTCTTCGGTCATGTCTTTTCCCGCTCACCAGCTCGGAATAGACAACACGTCGCTTTCATATCATCCACCGTCTCCCTTCTCCGCCTCACAATTGTTCAGCCGCACCGACGAACCGTTCAACTTGTATTCAATCGCGGAAACCAAACGACGGCGATCAGGTTCTGATGACAGTGGGTTTGGATCCCGGCCTATAACACCACCACTGGATGATGGTGTCTGGGAAACACTCAGTGACAATCCAGCACCGTTTCGACGCGGCTTATCCGATGACGAGGTCAATGTCCATGACCCCTTCAGCGCTGAAGATTCGCCTACCGCGTCAAGTTCCAAAGCACGTTTTGAATTCCCTGGCGCCATTCCTATCAACATCGATGCCCCCAGCTCGATACAATTTCCCAAAGGATCGCCAGACCACTTGGACAGTCCTGGTCCCCATAAAATGAGGTCACGTTTCAACTCATATGGCGGCGATTTCGAAGCCGCAACACCGTTCATCCGGAGTCGTGTCCAAAGCAGGCTGGACAATTTCCCTGGAGCAGAACCCGGATGGCGAACTCGACGAGAGAGCACAGCGTACGTAAACCCTTTCCTGCTATCCTTCCCCACTAGACTATCGTCAATAGCTATGCTCAAGAGCTCAACTTGACGTCCATGCTTCATCTCAAGATCATGCTCCGACAAATGCTTACGACGGAGAACATACCCAACCTCAAAGCGTGGGAGGAAACTCTGTTGAAATTGGCATTGCGCATCGCTCGCGAACTTACATTTACTGCGCTCCCTCATCGTCAAGGGCAGGATATGGACGTTCGGCGTTATGTCAAGATCAAGAAAGTGCCTGGTGGTATGCCATCCGATTCCGAATACGTCGACGGAGCCGTAATCACCAAGAACGTCGCCCACAAGCAAATGTCTCGTGTGCAGAAGAATCCCCGAGTCATGCTCGTGACCTTCCCGCTCGAATACTATCGCCAGGAAGGCCAATATATGCATTTTGCGCAAGTGGTCCGCCAAGAGAAAGAATATCTAGGGAACTTGGCGACTCGTATTGCGGCGCTCCGTCCTCACGTTGTTTTGGTCGAAAAGTCCGTTTCTAGGCTGGCACTTGAGGCTCTGGCCAAGTACAACATCGCTGTTGCCCGCACTGTCAAACCCTCTGCTATCCAAACAGTCTCTCGGATGACACAATCTGATGTCTTCTCTTCCATGGACAAGCTTGCTCTAGAACCTCGTTTAGGCCACTGCTCGCGGTTCCGCATCCAAACATTCGACCATCCTCTCATTCCTGGTAGGCGGAAAACGTATATGCGCTTTGAGGGTTGTTCACGTGACATGGGCTGCACCATCATTCTGCGAGGCGAGAATATCGAGACATTGCGACGCATTAAAAAGGTCACGCGGTTTCTCACATTCATTGTCCGCAACCTGAAGCTGGAGACGCATCTTTGGAAAGACTCAGTCATCACTCTGCCTTCCTTTAGCACGGACGCAGTCCCTTCATCACCTGGACGACATGCCTTCACTTTGTCGATTTCTTCGGTTACCTCCCTGATGTTTCCGTCGTCGCTTTCTACACCACGACTTGCTACTCCCACGCCTGGAATGCGTCCACAGGAGATTGTTTTTGATGACTCAACAGATGAAGATCTTCCCAACGAGGATGCTGAACAAATTCGACTGTCTCGACGAATTGACCAAGCCTTAGAACCATACAACACTACGTTCATCTCCGTTTCCGCGACATTGCGTTTCCCACCACCCCAACCAATCCGAAGAATGAAGGAGCTCGATATCGAATTGCTGGAAGCCAAACGGCGTTGGGAAGATGAAGTCATTCGTCGAGAAGAGAAGAGTCATCCGCAAAGCAGCCTGAGCTCGGTAACCACTCCGCAGGTTGCTCCTGCCATCGACATCATGCCTGCATCCTTGCCGGACGACTTGAATGCTCAGATAGAAGCACTCGCAGTTCCCAACCTGAGCATTCCTCCGACCCCAAGTGAAGGAATCACCCCGCGGATGCTTTCACCGCGACCTATCGAGGAATCAACAAGTTATTTCTCGCACCCGAATGGCATGATGTCCCCGCTTTCCTATATGGGCTCTTCGTTGGTTGCTTCCCCGCTTGAAGAATCGCGAGAGTTGCTCAAAACGGTGGAAGACATCGAACTTGAGAGCAAGTACAAGCAGCTCAAATGGCAGCATGAAGAACAAAGGCGCATTTGGGAATGGTATCTTCGGTAAGCCACTTGTTGATTCACTTATGACCTGTCTTTTGTTGACTGACTTTTATAGTAAAAACGCCGACGACTTTGTTGTTGAGAAATATCAATGCATCAGCCTCTACGAATATGTGATCCCGCTATCTGAACTTGGCCTCCAACGCGCATGTTTCGCTCCTCAACTCCATTACTACACGTTCTACGGCGAAAACGACTGCACTTTAGGCCAATATATTGAGAAATGTGTCAACGATACTCTGGTGCAATTCCTCGATCCTAAAGCGGTTTGCACTGGCAAAGGATGCGAGCAACCACTGGCTCGTCACTGTCGCGTCTACATCCACAATGAGACCCGTCTTTTTGTCGCTGTCGAACAATGGGACGGGCAAATCATTGGCCGGATGAATCATCTTCCAGCCCCCGACCTCGTCACCACCTGGAGTGCCTGTCGTGTGTGTGGCTCTGCAACACCGTTCATTCCTGTTTCGGAAGAGATGCAACGGTACTCGTTTGCCAAGTTCTTGGAGCTCCATTTTTATCCTGCCGACGTCAAGCTCGTCCAAGGTGCCGGATGTCAGCACAATATATACCAGCATCATATTCGGTACTTTGCGACCAAAGGGATGACCGTGCGCTTTCAAGCCAATCCGATAACTCTCCATGAGGTTGTTTATCCTCCCTTCCGAATTCGTGTCCGTCCAGAAACACAACTCGAGCTGAAGAATGATGACTTTGACCGGCTTCATCGACGCAATCTTCTGTGGTACACCAGTCTCATCGACGACCTCAAGCTCATCAGCATCGATGCTGCAACTGGCGACGAAGAAAACGACGCTCGTCTAAACGCTGACGTAAACAATTTGATCGCACGTGCCGAGATGGAGAAGGAGGACATTAGTCGACTGATAAACCGCATCTATCGCGAGTCAGCGCCGACGGACACGTTTGCGCTGAACCAAGTGCACTCTTACCGCCAGGATAAGATCGTTGCGTGGCAGCAGGACTTCGATCGTTTGCCCAAACCTAAACCGTTGGAACGAAATGGTAAACGAACATCGACATTTGGCTCGGTTCGCTCCATGTGGCCCCGCAGATATGACCTCACTGGCGCATTTGACAGTCCGCATCTTCCTTCATCGAGTGTCTCGGAAGCAGAAGAAGGGCCGTTGGGTCTGCGGAGAGTGACTGGAGACTCGTTTACATCTACTTCATCTGCCTCTGAGCCAGAATCAGAGGCTAATGCAGATGAACCGATAGTTCCACAGGCTCCGAAACAGACCACAGAAGTACCAAAGGAGGAGACAGGGACCCCTCTCCCTCCAACGATTGCGGAAAATGAGGTCAAATCGGATCCAGAAAGCGACTCGACAATTGGTGCAGGAAGAGACGAGGCGTCTCCAGAGGGTCTCAGCTCTCCTCAGCCTCCGGTAAATTTCCACGAACCTCATCTGTTTCTTTGCATATTGACACGATACCAGGCCAGATCGAAACCATTGCCCTCTAGGCTACCTCGTCGCGCATCCACACAACTCAACGTGGCCGAATTGGTAAGGAAATACCAGGACTTTCTTCCACCTCAAGGAGTACACGATCTCGCCAAGACCGCATTCCCTCCTCGCATTGTTGTCTCGGAAAGTGAGCAAGAGTATAACAGCCCTATTCGACTAGGTCCACGAGCCAAAAGCCGGCATCGCGTTCCCGCTCGCAAGCAGTCCACATCGGATTTTGAACAGGGCTATGCAGCCAATATCGCCCCTAAATATCTTACCCATTCTCGTCGGGCCCTTCCTCAGAGCCGCATTCCAGGCCCAATCGAAGTCCAATCGCAAGCATCTTCACGTAGACCGTCTCCGGAAAAACGCTCTAGTAGTGGTAAAGGGCGTGATGTCCGATTTGGGCGGTCTTCTCGACCTTCATCTCCCCCACCGAAACCGTCTGTTACGACCCCTGGCGGAAAACCTGCGAAGGCCCGTATACCAGGACGAACTCGAGATAAAACTCCTTCTCGTCCTGCCACTGGCCCTGGCGCAAAATCAACTTTCCGAAAGCCGACTGGACAGGGCAATAAGGTATCTAATATTGCGAAGCATTTTGAGCGGTTAGGACGCGATGCCGAACGGTCTAAAACTCGATATGCAATCATTCGCGGACGGCGAGCACGTCCTGTTGCCTCTGCACGCGCCAAAGTGGAGGTGTTAGATAGTGTCAAAGACGCTATCAAAGATGAGTCGGATACTTCTGAGTCGTCAAGCGAGGCAGATGATGAGGGCGACGAAAACGAAGAGGAGGCAAAGCAACTGCCTGAAACGGTACCAGAGGAACGATCTCAAGAGCGGCAAGAGCAATCGTCTCCAGAGGATTCCATCATTCCCGAAGTCACCGTGAAAAGTCCTCCACCTGCAGAGACCCCGGCTGTCGCCCCAGCCGAGCCCTCAGCTTCCACCGAGCCCCCCTCACCGTCTCCAGCCACCAGGACCGTTATCTCTTCCGCCTTCACCATTCCTTTCATCTTTTAAAGATATCGGCAACCCACTCACGCCCCCACCACCCGACATGGATCTAACCAGTGGCACTGAGCGAAACTCAATTTTGAAGGCCATCTCAGGGTTATGGCAGCAGCCTCTTGCGTCACGAAGTCCATTCGAAGCTGATGACCCCATGAACGACCCAGAGCATATATTCCGAGAATCATCGATGGTCGTGCGTACTGACGAGCCGACTTCAATCATCGCGCTTGCGCTGAAGTGAGTGAATCCTAGTTTAGTGAACGACGACTGATAACTGTTCAGTTCTCCTCAATATCGGGATATGCTTTCTAGGTCTCGGGCAGAAAAGCGGACCGCCGTTCGGGAGGCCAAGTTGACTGAAGGCGAAGCTTTTATGCCTGACGACAAGTCAGTGGCGGAGTCAAGTTCGACATGGGGCGTCGTGGATGTGGATGCTATCGAGCTTGCAGATCCTACCGAGGATATGAAGATAGCCTCTTCCAAGCTCCCTTGGGCTATCTGTAAGTGACCAAATATCAGACTTTCTAAACTCTCATCTTTCTTCCAGCATTCGAAAGCGGTGGCCTGACGATCAGTTGCACGGTGCTCTATCCAGAGCAATTTGATGCTCTCCGACGGACGTACGACTGCGAAAAGAGTATGATTGAGTCGCTTGCGCGATGCATTAAATGGGATGCCAGCGGTGGAAAGTCGGGGTCTGCTTTTCTCAAGACTCGAGGTATGTGATGGAATCATTGCACGTGACACGGAGAAATTGATGGCGTTTCATGTAGATGATCGATTCATTGCGAAGGAGCTTTCGCGGCCTGAGTTGCAAACCATGGAAACGTTTGCTCCTGCGTACTTTGACTACATGTCGTCGGCGGTGTCTGCGGATGTGCGTGCTATTTTCTCTCTCTCTTTTTGATTTCCTAACTCTTGGTAGCGACCCACTTTGCTCGCTAAAATCTTTGGATGCTACAAGCTGACTTTCAAGAAGACTGGAAAGGACAAGGCTCATGGTGGCAAATCTAAGTCCACCCAGATGAACCTGCTTGTGATGGAGAACTTGTTCTACAACCGACGATTTTCGAAGGTGTGTTTTGGATCATTCTTGTTAGAGCTGATGATTAAATTGGAAGCAGTTGTACGATCTCAAAGGCTCAACTCGCAATCGACGGGTCCAGTCCACAGGACGGGAAAATGAAGTTCTTCTAGACGAGAACTTGGTTGAGAGTGAGTGTATACTGTCACAGATCGACATGGTGTTGATATGTTTTTTTTTGTAGCTGCCCATCTCACGCCTTTTTATCTGAGAGAACACTCCAAACGGATCCTCCGCGGAGCTCTCTACAACGACACCAAATTCTTGAGTGACGTGAATGTCATGGATTATTCCTTCCTCGTTGGCGTAAGTTCTACTTTTCTTGAAGACACCAGCGCCTAAGATTCCATCAGGTCGATAGTCAAAATAATGAGCTGGTCATCGGCATCGTCGGTGAGTAGATTATACGCGTCTTACAGTCTGTTTCTCATTGTTCTTCTCTAGACTATATCCGCACGTACACCTGGGATAAGAAGCTCGAAAGCTGGGTCAAAGAATCAGCTTTCCTTGGTGGTGCCGCTCGTGGCGAGCCTACTATCATCACACCTAAACAATACCGACAACGATTCTTGGGTGCAATGGAGCGCTATTTCCCTCTGGTTTGTGTCATCTCTTCTAATTCAGGCCTTCGCTCTCACACCCTCTCTCTCTATTCAGGTGCCAGACCGCTGGATGAAGCAAAGAGACTCACCAGAATTCGAAGAAGACTCGCATCTATTGGAGTTATGGCCTGATTGGTAGAGATGAAGTGTTTTTTTTCCTTCCCTTGGCTCCTTTACCCACATTGTAATACCCTGCATCTGTACACTACTGCATTGCTCTTTGGAAGCTCCTACGTGTTCGCGAACTTCGACTGACACCGAATCTCACCGAATTAGGTGGCCCGGATCAGAGGGAAACACGATCACCTGAGCCTTAGTCAGCACACAGGACACGATTCTACAAGGAGAGAGCCCACTGAATCGTTAGCTGAGGCAAACAAAAAACTCCCAAGCTTCTGCTTTCGAACAAGGCGCATCCACAAAAACTGAGTTGTTGTAAAATGACATCAAGTCACATGACCAGAAATTCTTTGCCGAAAACATCAACCACACACGCCAACATGGAGGACAGGTTCCGCATGTTGCAGGCCTCCATTCAAGACGCCTTGGACGATGTTTGTGGTGCCTCTCGACTCGCCGGGCCTTGCTTACCTCTCTTGAACTTAGTTGTCGTCGCCGCGCAGCTCAAACGAAAGTCGGCTTGATGCGTTGCGGACACTGGAGCGGCTCTTGGCAACATCGTTCGTCCCGGAGAGGTCGACGGAGGATACGGAGTACTTCCTGGCCCTGCAGTATACCTTCGAGTGCAACGGTGCGTTGTTGCTATCGCCAGCGGTAACAAGAACTGAATGTTTTCCCTAGTTGCTTCGCGGATTCTGAGCTGGACGGTGGGCAACATATCCAAGATTGATGCTTTGACGACCAGAGGTGTCCCCGAAGGTGTGTTCCGCTTCAATCCTTTCCTTCCGTTGACGCAATTGTCAGAGAACGAATTGGAAGTGGCGCTTCTGACCACGCAGTTGCAACTGGCGATGTCGATATTGCAAGGTGTATGCTTGACTCATCCGGCGTCAAAGTTCTATCTCGGACGCAAGTACTCGTTGGAGGTGTGCTCATCGATGTTCTATTGCTGTTCACAATGTAACCGCCAATCTTAGGTTCTGTTAGACCTTTTCCTCGCCTCTCGCCATCTCGCCTCTGCCCCCTCATCGTCCCGCTCTCCTGTCAAGCCAAGCGCAGCCCCACCGCCCCTTGCATCGGTCATTCTCGACACTCTCCTCTGCATTCTTGTCGACTCCTCTCCCGCTCTGCGCGTATTTGAATCCTGCGAGGGCCCCCAGGCTGTCGTCAAAATTCTGAAGCGGGCAGCCACTCCGAGCGAGGTCCGCATGAAGTGTGTCGAGTTCCTGTATTTTTATTTGTTGGACGAAACAACTCCGTCGAGACCTACCGCCACTCCCAATCCCGCAACGCCAAAGCCTCAGGCGGTGGTAACTGCGCCATCCACGCCTGCCGCTTCAAATCCTCTGAACAAAAAGCCCTTTATAAATGCCACACCTGCACGCCCGTTATCGCTTTACGGCTCGTCGACATATTCGTTGACTTCGAGCGCATTTGCTTCCTCTGACGACTCGAACGAACCTTCTTCGTCATCCGCGTCATCCTCACGCTCGACTTCGGGGAGCTCGGCGAGCTCGTTTTCGTCCACATCGTCCAACGCTGGGTCGACTTCGCCCAAGAAACATACGCAGATGCTGCCTGGCTTGGGCACCCCTCGCCACCCCTCGTCTCGCCCGCTGTTGATGCTGAGAAAAGACCTCGATTTTGTGCCGTTGAGTCCGAAGAAAGCACCGGGAGAGAGCCCGAGGAATATAGCAACACCCATGAGACGGACACATACCCGGACGCGGTCACGCCTTGCGTCGACTTCGTCTACATCCTCAGAAGAAGGCACTGCTGGAGCGCCAATTGAGGACCGCAGTCGGACATCGAGTGCGAGTTCGGGCGCGGAGACTATTCGTGAGGATGATGGGAGCAGGGCGAAGACGACAGAGGAGAAGAAGCGGCTGCTGTCGACGATGCTGGGGAATGTGGAGGCGCTGGTGGAGGGCGTGAGGAAAGCGGGGATTTGGGGGCTTGGGTGATATGACAACAACTCGGACTCTTGTTGTGGACTGAATGCTTTCGCAATGCTTTCGTTAAAAATATGTCATGTTCTATGTAACCAAGATCTTTTTCGTTCAAGCGCTGGCAGGAAAGCGCACCTGGCGCTTCGACCCGAGACTATTTCTCATGCTCTAAGTAAAGGCGGCTCTTACCGCCATTTCCCGCGAACTTACAGCGATTCCTGAATGTAATGACAATGTCACATTTTTTTTCGCGCCCTTCTCAAAAAGGAAACCATGCCTCCATTTGCGTTTCTGGCATTGACTGAGCCTCAAACTGTATCCAAAATCAGAATTTCAGTCAGTAGATGTAGTTGGTCGAGAGTAAAATGTGTTGTGGCTAAGCAAGAATGTGTCATGCCGATCGGTGCCTAGCGCTCGATGAACCTGTCGCAAAACTGACCTTCAACCCATCCACTATCCTTGAGGACAAGTAATTTGAGTGTCCACCATAGCTATGAGAAGTATTCAGTGCACTGAAATTGTTTGTAGTGCAATTGGAAGCTTGGGAGCCATGATTTCCTTTTTGAGATGGGGCGCGAAAAAAAATGTGACATTGTCATTACATTCAGGAATCGCTGTAAAAACGCCGTACTGCTGTTGAATAGTAAGTCGTCAATCACATCTACACGTAATACGGTTGGCGACTGAGGTCAAGGTCTAAATTTTCACGCAAGTGTCATGATTGACTGTTGGGGTCCGTGTTTCGTATGTAATGACATCTCGCCGTGACGGATACGATCACGTGACCGACCGACTCGCGCGCAGCAACTGCTTATTAGCTGCTCTCACTTCCTGTAGCAAGTCATTTATATATTGATTTGGAAAATGCGTCAGTTAACCGCAGAGTTGACCACTCTGATATTGAGATCAATGGCCTATTTTGTTGTGTATTGATTTTGAAGGCAGCCGGGGTGCTATTCGGAGACAGCTGGGGCCACCAGCTCACCAGTCAGAGTAAACTGGGTTCCAACTGTATGTAGAATCCCTGCATTTGGGAGTGCACTCATGAATTGTGCAGAGAGGCGGACATCACGCTGAAATTGATGCGCCATCAACAGTTATCAGCGCGGTCTTATGGGCTCATATCACACTTCAATCATACCTGATCCGCCACGCCCAGTTATGTCATTTCATTGTGTTGTAGGTCCCTATCCACGTATGAGTGATTCCACACACCTGAAGAGTCGACGGTGCTGAGCGCTGAGCACCGACGGTTGCGCCACTGATGCGCGCTTGATATGCGTAATGACGATGACATCAGACGGGTCTCGGCCAGGCCTGTCACGGGGTACCAGGACCCCGCAGACTTCTTGATTTCAGGAATTGCCTTTCGGGTCTTGATTCACACGCGCCAACAGTATCACAGCATGATGTTCATTTTCTGATCCCCTCGCATTAAAGATCGATGGGCCACTCTCTGAAACTGACAGTTCGAATTCGGGGGCCAAAATTATCGTCGGACGTTGTAATATATAAGAGTAAGCTCATTTTCTGCTTGAGGGCATGGCCCAACTCTTGTCAGCCTTGACCAATCTTGTATCATGTGTCGACGACACAACCAACCAATACCTTCTCCTAGGCACCTTCATCCTCGCTGTAACCATCTTCTCAGCACGAAATAAGGTCCCTCGGGCACGCGCAAAACGAGCTTGATCAGGTGATCGAGCAGACCAAAGACCTATTCGACATAGCAAGAGAGGCACATCTCTTCCGGGATCGTACCGTTGGACTTGACGTCCAGTTGGGTTTACTACGGTGCGCCGCTCTCTTCTCTGTCTGGCCAAGCTAATAAACCGCAGAGCACAAAAGGAACAATGTCGTCTGCGAGCTCTAATGCTGGACCAATTTGGCGCATCCTCTTCAGCCCGGCAGTACCTCTATCTCTTCGGCACCATTTCGCGCCAGCTCCAAGACTGCACAGACAAAGTTTACGCAGTCCAGTTGATCATCCTGGTAAATTGCAACAAGTTTCCGCTGCCAATGGTCGCTCATCCCACTGTCAACGTAGAAAATCATCGAGGACGAGAAGCAACAGCGCCATTCGGAAGAGGCGGCGGATGTGCAGGTCATCATAGCCTCGGGATCATCGTTATCGTTATCGCTCGCTTAGATCCCTTATCTAAATGAATGTCAGTCGCCACGTTCCATCGGACCATCACACTCAGCGATCAGATCCGCAACGGGCGGATCCCCACATGATGTCATATTTTTGCCATGCGAGGCTGGTCTGCCGTCGCATCCAACTAATCGAGTGCGAAGTCGTAACTTACAGCGCGTTATACGTGCTCCGCCACCTGGGCTAGGCGCAAATGCCACCGGGGAATGCTTGTTGCGGCTACTTGCATAGACTGATTCAGGAGTTGCGTCCGGGGAAGGAGAACCCTGTCAGTGGGTCGGCGAGACTTCGCAATCGGCGTGCCAAGCGCTGAGAAGCTACAGCCAGTTCAGATTGCCGCCAATTGAAGTTGAACATACGCAAACCGTGAAAAAGAGGCCCGCCGGGGCCGCAAATCAAGAAAATGCACATGAACCTGGATTGACACTTGGGCGCTTAGGCGTCAGCCTTAAGTCCGTGGTGGGGTGGCGCATTGACACAAGCCCCAGTGAGCAATAACTTGAATAGGCGAATGACTTGAAGACGACATTCCTTCGGTGGTAAGTCGAGACTCGAGAGAGGCAGTGGCATGTCAATGTGTGAGTGGCTCGAAATTCCGAGTTTGGAAAAAATCCAAGACTGGAGAAGTACGTGGATTCCGAACGCAGGTGTTTTGTGTGTGAGTGTCTTGAAATTCCGAGTTTGGAAAAATCCAAGACTGGAGAAGGACGGGGATTTATTTCCAAATGCAGGACATCAACCTCCTCATTCCCATGTCAACCTCGTTGATTGCGAAACTGCGCTATATGGGCTGATGAGCCTCGCGTCCGTCCATTCAGTGCCATTCAGCCTGAGAACCCGAAATGTCGTGAGAAGACACGATGTTTTCCTTGTTTGGTCTTTTACTTCATGAAGGGCCGCATCAAAGACACGCATCGCGTCAACCCAGAGAGTCGCAGATCCGGGCGCTATCTCCAAAAGGAATCTTTTGCTTGATATACGAACCGAGCGTCAGTATAAATGCTCGCTGCAACAGAACACAGCCTGGCATGGCTCATCTCCTCCGCTCCCTCCTCGACCTCGTCTCCTCTGAGGACAACTTCCTCGTCCAATACCTCATTCTTGTCGGGGTCCTCTTTTGCGCAACTGGCCTGTTTGCACAACGGCTTCTCCCTCACAAGTGCATCAGCGATTTGGAGCGCATGATCAACGACGCCAAGGACGCGTTCGATAGAGGGCAAGAAGAGCATTTACTGCGCGATCGCACAGTTCGTCAAAAGTTCAAGCAACGGCTATCTTCGTAGGTGCCCCGACCAGCAAAAGCGCATCCCGATTGAGACCTCCCACAGAATACAAGCACGAAAGGCCATTCTCCGTTCAGAAGTCCTCGTGACCTATGGACTGAGCTGTTCAGCCCGAGGGTACTTCTATCTATTCGGCGCCCTGGCACGGGAGGTGCGCAGCTGCCAAAAAGACGTCCAAAGTCTGCATTTGGTAATTTTGGTGCGCAGTTTCGTGGGAGAATTATTGTCATTGCTGATGGCGAGGACAGAAAGAGATCGAAGAACAGCTCAAGGTGATGCATTTGGAGGAGGCCGACGACCTCAGGGCTATTTTGGCGTCTAGCTCGTCTGCGGGGACGTGAGGGCGGCCATTGGCGTGTAGGAAAGGTTCAAGCGATGTCGAAGCACGATGGCAGTCGTTGTGTATATTAGATAGCATAAAAGAGCACGTTGAAAGTCGGATATTCAATGGTCAGGACCAATATCGGCCACAACGTCTATATAGTTCGCGAAGCTGGGAGTGGTGCACGAGAAATGAACCGCAGAACGGATAAGTGAGCACCAGACTGGAATGGCTGTCAGCTAAAGAGTCCATGCAACGGAGGAGACGGGACGAACCAGCTGCCAGTGTTGCGCGGTCACCGTCCAAGAGAGAACATTCCACCAGCTTCCAACAATCCACTCGCTTCCCGCCCAGCCCCAACTTCAGCCTCGCTGAATTGCTGAACATCTTAGGTCCAAGCTCGTTCTCGGATTATTCGATCTTAAAGCAGGTGAAAAATACCGCTCGTCAGAGATAGCTTAGGCGTCGCGAAAGTTTCGAGGGGGGACTTCACGTAGGACAGCGGTCCGGAACTCTAGTTGCAGAGGCCATCCGCGAGGACTGTCAAAGAGAAGAAGATGCTCTTGTCGACTATGCTGTGGACGCGTTGGTGGAGGGCATGTTGGGATGGCCTGTAAGTGGAGTGTCATCACTGCAAGAGGTGTCAGATCTTCTATCGGGCAACACTGTCTCACGACCCCCCCCCCAAAAGGGGATGTAGCTCCACAGGTTGTTTACGACAGGTTGTCGACGCAATGCCGACGACCAGCTTCAACCAGCGACTTGCTTTGTGCTGAAAACCCTGTCTACTTTCCTTGCACACTTAATGCACATGGCAATTCTTTTCAAAGGATCAGGCTTCAGCTCACCCCAAAATGGCCCGTCTTTCACGCAGAAGCAGCCCCACCATGGACATTACATTTTAAGAGCAGCATGACTTTCAGTTGCTTTTTTATATAATATGGAACCGCGGCCGCGCCGTGTGCTCGCTTCGCAATCCAAGTGTATTAAACAGGATATCTACGTGCAAAGTCATCTAGACGGCGCTGTAAATTACTACCGCCCAAGTTCTTGACCCGAGAATAGTCGAAGGGTCCATCAATAGCAATGTCCGTGAAAGATTTGACACGGGAGAGTCCAACAAATGTCAGCCCTACTGCAAACTCACTCTTCCCAAGTCCCAACTGGATGCATGGAAGTGTTAGGCCTTGTGATTTGTGAACAGTGACTGCCCAGGCCAACCGGAGAGGCACCTGCGTGCGGCTGAGGTTCTTGCCTCCAACATCAAAATTGGACTTGATAGGTGGGATAGGCACAATCGGAATGCCTTCCGGGAAGTCCGCGCGGGGCTCTGTCCGCCACAAAGTTGGGCCGGTGTAGTCCTTGCAGGACACCATGACTGCTATCGGAAGTTCAGAAGTTGCTGTTGCACCCTCTGGCCAGATAATGTCTTCCACAATGCCAAGTGTCGCATTAACAAGTCCTAAGGTAAGGTATGTCAACATCAGCGGCCGCCATGTAGACTTTGCGCACCATGTTCCTGCCACAAATTACGAGTGATCATTACTTTTGCCCCACGACAAAGTACCAAGTGATTTTCAAGTCCACCTGCATCATCTGCTGAGACTTTTGCCGCACCTACACCGTCGTTCCTTGCTAGAATACGCGCACATGAACGGTCAAGCCCTTGTATGGATCTCATGTTCTTTGCATCAACATCCTCGCGTCTGGTGTAAAGACAGATGCCGTCCTGGAAACGGGCTTTGTCGGCTGCGGGAAGTGAGGAGAGAAGACGTGTCTGCAGCATCTCCCATTCATTGATGCTGAGACCACCTTTAGATGCGTGGTCAAGGAGAGAGCACGAAATTGCTCCTGCTCCGGAGAATTTCCCTGCTGCCGATGAACAATACGAAGGCGATAGCTAGTTGTAAAGAGGTCGTATAGCTGTTTTCCGTCTCGAGAAAGTGACCCGTTATCGGACGCAGCCGTGGATGGGGGACAATATAGCGCATGATCTCCAACAGGTGGAAGTTGCGCAAAGTCTCCAACAAGTGCAAGGTGTACACCCCCAAAGGGAGACTCGGCGCCTTCAGGACGGATCTGGCGTAGTCGAGAGTCTATTTGCGCAAGCGCACGTTGACCCAGCATGGACTTCTCGTCAATAATGATGAAGTGGACACCAATGAACTGTGTTTGAAGAGTTGCAAGCCGGGATCCAGTAAGCGGCAGAAATGATTTGTTGACCGGGAGACCAAGAGCAGAGTGAACAGTTCGGCCCCGTATATTGAAGGCTGCAACACCTGAAGGCGCCAAGACACGGATTGGGTCCGGCAGTCCGTGCTCTTCCGCCATGGCACGAAGTTGTTGGCATATTGCGTGAATGAGATATGTCTTGCCGCACCCAGCTGTGCCGTCGATGTTGAGAAGGGCAGGGGGAACCTCCTCGCCAGCAATAATTCGAGAGTATGCATCAATATAGCGGTTGAATATAGCACGTTGTTCGCCTGAGAGAGTATCCAGATTCACAGGCTCAGGCTGATGCGTTTCAACAGCACCTGCATTGCGCCTACACTCATCGAGGTATCCGGCAATGCGGTCAACATGGGCACAATTCATTCGTCCTTCATCCACACTCCAAGCAGCATCAATTGGACGTGTCCCAAGGTCGCTTCGCATCAAAAGCCGGAAGAGCGGCATGAGGATGGTCCCGTGCGAAAATTTGCCAATCTTCCTCTGTCATCCTCTCAACATCGGGGTTGACTTCCTCATCGTCATCGTCATCCTCTCTGATTGGACGACTCTCCTCCTCCCAACACCTCAGACTGTCCTGTGGATGCACATGGTTCCCTGCTCGACAGCGTGCGAACAACTCGGGCCAAGATCGCTCACCCTCTTCCGATTCGCGCAGTGTATCCATTTGGCGGAAAGGATGGTGAAGGATAACCTTGGTTCGGCAGAAATCGTCATAATGCTCTCCTTCGGGATTTGGGGAGAACCTTGGGAAGGCTCGAACAATGACCTCAGCTTTGCGGCGCTTTCGCCACTCATCCTTCCGCCACGAATATCCCTCAAAAACCTCCTGCAGTGAAAGGGCTTCCATATTTGCTGGTCGGCGCATATATCTATCATACTGTAAGCACAATTTTTATTCCGCCATTGAGATCTTACCTTTGTAGCCATGAATCTGATGTTACATGCCTACCGCCTGGCTCGTCCTCCTCCGTCTCTTCCGCACCCAGGTCCTCGTCTGACTCTGTCTCAAGGCGGCGCATACTCCCCTCCTTATCGAGAAAGAGAGTCTGGAAGGATGCAGATGTGCGCACAAGCGGAATACCAAGCAGGAGGTGAGCAGTTTCTTGGGCAGAATATGTGCGCTCGCCAAGCATCTTATTGAGCAGCCGTTGACAGGCCGACTGTGCCGTGCCGTTTGCTCCCATTCGCCCAACAACGTCCTGTAGAATCTCTGGGAACCCTGGGGCCTGTTGCTCCGCCTTTGTTGCATATTTTGCGATATAACTGTCCATAGGTGAGTTCCATTTGCTTGTAACTGCCGAGAAACTTACTTGAGAGCCGCGCTAGAGTTCATGACTGGCTTAATGTCAATATTTGCACGCCAGGCAAGCATCATGCCTGCATTGTAATTGTTGAGCAATGGGTCATTACGTCGTGGTTCAAATCGGACCCGTCTTTTTGCTGTCGAAGCCAATGGTTGAGGTAATGCCACATTCCATTGGATAGTCGAACCGGCAGACGAGACGTGGCTCTGACTGTCCTGGAACCTTCCGCTTGACTTGGCAATAGCCAGGTAAGCACTTTGTATGCCGCTGCACCCAATTCAAAAGCTCAGACAGCTCTTGCTTTGTATTTTGTGCAGTATTTCGATCTTTTGCGCAGGGATGTTCACCGAGCAACGGCGAGTTTTCGTCTTGTCGGGGGAATGGATTGAAGGTGCTGATGATCTTGTCCCAATAGGTCCGGAAGGCGCTCATCCTTTCCTGCTGCTCAGCAGGAAGTGGATCATTGTCGCTCTTCAATAAATCCCAGTTGATGGTATCAGGATTTGGTGCGTCTTTCAACCAGACAAATCCATGTATGTGACCGCTACCCCTCTCCTGCCACTCATAACGATACCAAAAGTGCTTAACAGGGAACATTGCACCGACGTAGTGCTTCATGAAGATCTGCACGCGGTGATCAAGATATGATGCTGCAATGTGCGGGTTACGTTCAAGCGCAAGACGACGTTGACGACGCTCTCGTTTTGCTACATCCGGCTCAGCGGGGATGTCTGGTGATAGCTCGGAAGGCATATGCGAGTGGAGGTCTGGCCATTGGAGGTCGGGCGGCACTAAGGGTGAAGAAGAAATGTGGGGATCCTTTGACCCGAATCATGTCAGTGAGTTCATTTCTGCGGGCGTTCCAGTATGCACGCGTCCCACGAAGCTTTGCACCATATCTGATCATTTTCCGAGCAACAGATGCATCGCCTTCCTGCAATATTGCGACCAGTTCCTCTGTTGTAAGTCGTCCTGCCTCATGATTCTGTCGTACAAAAAACTTGTGACTGTGTTCGAGACCGTTGTCGCTGGAGGGTATTAAATGTAAACCACGGGAAACGACGGTGTCGGGCAAAGCGGCCACCTTCGTAGTTCATTAGGTGGGTGAAGTATTCCCCCAATTCAATCTTGCGTTGACGCGGAGAATAGAAGTCGGCAGCACCGTCGGGAAACAGTGTAGGAAATGCTTGTGCAATATAACCTGGTGTCCATTCGGCTATTGCATTTGGGTCAACAGGTGGGGCAGCGATCTGGAAAACAGGTAGGTGAGCATCATGATAAGTTTCAAGTTGTTAACACACAATTGTCTGCTCGTAGGTTGGTCCAGCAACAGGTCCGGCAGCGCCGACGAATCTCCTCAACCTCTCGGCATGCAACATTGTCAAGATTCGGAATACCACCATTGAATGTCCCTTCTTCCTCGCCGCCATCTGTCCCGGCAGCCTGATTGGGTCCAGCAGGACCTGGAGCACCGTCTGCCTGACGCCCTTCACGACATGTTGGAATACGATCAACAACGCTGCCATTCATGGGCAGTTGACTCAAAGCGCCTTCGTCAAGCTCAAGATCTTGATATGCCTTGTCATGTGTTATCTTATACTCAAGAGCCTTGCGAACTTTTTCCCGCCGGACCACATAGTCAACATGCTGGGAGAGATCGACCCCGTCACGACGAATGATGACAATATCGACGTCTTCAGGTAAGCGTGGTAGTTTGGTTGCAATTTCGGTGATGTTCTGCGGGAGATTGACAATGTGGTCCTTGTAGCAGAGTTGGCGGCCTTTTGTGTAACGGACCTGCATCACTGTCTTGACACGCGCGATAAGCATTTCCTCAAGATCGGTGAGATTTTGTAATTCAGGTGGGATTGGACCTGATTTGCCGTTTTTCAGTTATGTTTTTGGAAAAATCGTAAGGGGCAAGTACCTGGATTAGTGTTGTTGTCTGTGGACCATTTTTTGACCTCTCCGTGGTCAGCATCGCATCTCTTGCATAGCATAGCTGTTTTCAGCTGCACATCAAAGCCCTCTTCTCGACAACCGGAACACCGCCCTATTTCAAGTTGCGCAAGCTCTGCATTCATCTTTGCTATTGCAGCAGCCTCGCGAGCAGATATAGCACTGTCTTCAGGTAGGTCGATGTCCATCATGTCAGACCCGTCGCCAAAAAACTCATCATACTCATCGACAGGCTGATTCTGGGCTACGCCTTCAGCCCCATCATCACCCATGTCGCCCTCTCCCCTCTCTACATCACCTCCATTGGCATTTCCATCAGCTGCTGCATAGCGGGCGCATTGGCGAGCGCGACAGTTGTTACAACTGCTGTAGAGACGATTGTTCTCTGTGTAGTCCTCCAAGGAAACATCATGACTGCCAACGGTGCAGTAGTGAAGGCCTGTCAGGAACAGGGCCGGCCCAGGCCCACGTGACGGTCTCCTGCCAGTCTGACAAGTGTGGGAAAGATGGTTCAACCCCCATAGCTGGGTGGTCGGCAGCCAGGCAGCGTAGATGGTGCCACTGCTGCAATAGAGAGCAGGGTAGGGACAGCTCGGGCGACTCGAGACGCCCCGCTGTCACGTTGTGTGACAGCGGTGTCACAGGATACGAGTAGTCGTCTAGAGTGTCCTACCCCTGCTGAAGGGAACGAGTCCATAGCCAAAGAGTGCTGCCCAGTAGAGTTGGTGCCCAAGGCATAGGGCAAGGGCATAGGCTGGGCCAGTTGAACAAGCCGTTCGGGCGGGGCGTGACGTAACGCGGTCACGCCCGACGGTTCGGGGGTCGAGGGGAGTCGCCCCGCAGCGGGGCTGCGGGCCCGAGACCCCTGGAGCACTTGAGAAGGGTTGCCAGTCCAAGGGGCGACATATCTCCTTTCCTGGAGGAACGAGTCGCTGTGGCTCCTAGACACCGCGTGACTGCGCGGTGTGACGCGTGACATGCGGGCCCGATCGGGCCCGCACCCTCCCATCGCCCCGTACCAGGGGAACCCAGAGCTTGAGGCCAGAGAGCAAGAAGAAGTGGCTAGGACAAGGGTGAACATAAGAGACAAGAGCCTGAGCTGTCCAGCCCAACCAAGGGCTCAGGTCAATGAGGCAAGCTAGCCTGGGTGTTGGAAGTCGTCTAGACGCCCCTTTCCCGGGGTATGGTTGCAGCAACCCCGCTCTAGGGGACCAGGCCGGAGTAGGGTTCAAAGGAAGAGACTTCAATGCTAAACCTAAGGTACAGGAGTAATACTCTAGTCTTTATATACTGTGGCCGCTAGGGGCCGATCGGGCCCGCTGAGGGTCGATCAGAATGGAGCAGGGGATGTCTCTGGTCGTCCCTGGTCGCTCCGCTAGGAGCCCAGGGACCATTCCTCTGGAAAGGAGCCGTGCCAATGTCGACACTAAGGAGTGTTTGACAATGCAACAGTAAGGAGCTCCCTCCTGGACCCTGTGGTTGTCTAGGGCCAATTGGGCCCGCTGTCAAGGGCGTCCGGCGGCGCATCATGATCCCTGATGGCGGGTCATGATGGCTTGATGGCTGACTAAAGCGCGATCCGTGATTATGTCCCTTCTCTGGGATATTAGTGTTGTTGCTCATTGCTTTGAGCTTGTGAATTATGAGGGCTTGTCAAGCCCTAGGGCTCTAAGGGTGGTGAGGGCCCGATGGGCCGTATAGGGCCCCGTTGGCCCGACCCGAACCCTGACATCACCCCCCCACTAGGCGAAACTCGTCCCGAGTTTTATCGTCCGATTTCCGTATCCAATTCCGATTTGTTGAGAAAAAAAAAAAAATTTCGTCATTCGCATGTAGATGCCTTCTCGTCGAAGGGCTTAGTCGATTCCTCTCTCGCGTCCAGGCCCCAGTCGCGTCCTCCCAAAGGATGATCAGACATCCTGACGCTCTCCTGGGTCTCCCCGTTCCCTGTTCCTGGCCGGGCGGAGGTGGTCGTACACCCCATCCGGTCCAGGCGCTGCGCCTAACCTCCCAGCACTCCTCCCCATCGCCTGTTTCCCCAGGCACGCCCTTGCAAGGGATGATCCGACATCCGGACGCTCCCGAGTCTCCCCGTATCCCGTTCTTGGTCGCAGAGGAGGCGGTCGTACACCCCATGCGGTCCAAGCGCTGCTCCAAACCTCCCAGCACTCCTCCCCATCGTCTGTTGTCGAGTTGGGCTCGGCGACGGCTCGACGCGTCCTTCTCGGTCACGTGCTTCCCACGTGTGCGTTCCTCCTCTACTGGGGCACCTGTTCCCTGTCATCACGTGCTGCGCGTGTTGCGGGCCCGCAATGGCCCGACACCAGCATTGGAGCGGACAGGCTGGGTCTTATCCATGACATCACCCCCTCCATAGGAACGACTCATCTCGAGTCGGCGTGGCTCGGTCGCCCCGGTTTCTCGGGGTGTTTTGTTGTTCACATTTTCCGAACACTGGCTTCTAGTTGCATGCTGAGCACCGGCTGCGCGTTTTTAGACCATTCGTAGCTTCTCCCGTTTGCGTGATGTCAGCCCGGTCCGGTCCAGTGCGTCCGCGTTTTTGCCATGTTCAGTCTCGTTGCCAGTCGAAGCCCAGAGGCGATGGGGTCGTTATGACGACGCCTAGCCATCCCTCTGTCCAGCCTCCAGTTTTGGGGTGTTATTGTCCCCGGTTTTTGCTGTCAGTGTGTGCCAGCCACCCCGTTCCAGGGGTCATCGTTGTTTTTTCGTATATGCAGATTTGGCCCGTCAGTTCGTCGGGGCCCGTCAGGCCGATTCGGGCCGATGTGGGCCGAATCGGGCCGATTCAGGTCATCGATCCCATCATCTTAGTCGTATGAGGGTTTGAACATCAATTCGCACGGTTTTGGGTTTGTCTGGTTGAAGGCCAGCACCTTTGAACGAAATTTCCCACGGTTGGGAAAGGGGTCATGTTTCGGGCACACGGGACGGGTCTCTTGCTAGTGAAAAGAGCCTGGGTCTGCTTCTTCCCCCAGCGCTCCCAGAGTGGTTTTCCACTCTCCTTGGCTGCTATAGAGGTGGGGACGGACTCAACGTTTCCCGTGCCTCAAGCGCCGTTCACTGGAGTGAACGCCCCATGGCAGAAAGAAGTTGCAGCCCAGAAGTCGACATCTGGGGGAGCCGATATTCCTTACCTCGGCGCCAGGGTACGAGAATTCGAAAGAAGAGGGTATAGGGAAAGAATTTGCCAAGTAGGGGCGAAAGAAACAAAGGTTTGTGTTCGGACACACGGGTCATCGGGCCCGTGGATTGACAGGCCAGACTTCGAGTCGGGCCGCGCAAGGTCTCCTAAGAATGCACACCAAGAACAAAACAGATGGATTGTCGGGCCCGCGAGTATGGCGAGCGGGGTAGATTTGAACCGAAAGGGCCCGTTAATTCGGTCCCTTGTCGTTGTCGGTGATCGAAGGTTCGAATCAGGTCGTTTCGTCTTGTCGTTAGGCGCAGAAGGTATGGAAGAACTCCTTAACCGGAGTGAACAAGTGGAGCAGGTTTTGACCTGTTCTCAGGAGTTTTAACGCGAAGGGGCGGACTCCTCAACCCATAAGACGAATGGAGCAAAAGTTGTTGGCTCCCAGGAGTTTCAAGACAAAAGGGATAACTCCTCAACCCATTGGACGAAGTGCCGACACATAGAGTGGTCGTTCAGCACAGAAAGGATTGCTCCAAGAACTTGGGCTTTCCAGAGAGCGCCCCACACTTGAAAGAAGGACAGTAAAGGAGGTTTAGCATTCTGTCAGGAACAGGGCCGGCCCGGGCCCACGTGACGGTCTCCTGCCAGTCTGACAAGTGTGGGAAAGATGGTTCAACCCCCATAGCTGGGTGGTCGGCAGCCAGGCAGCGTAGATGGTGCCACTGCTGCAATAGAGAGCAGGGTAGGGACAGCTCGGGCGACTCGAGACGCCCCGCTGTCACGTTGTGTGACAGCGGTGTCACAGGATACGAGTAGTCGTCTAGAGTGTCCTACCCCTGCTGAAGGGAACGAGTCCATAGCCAAAGAGTGCTGCCCAGTAGAGTTGGTGCCCAAGGCATAGGGCAAGGCATAGGCTGGGCCAGTTGAACAAGCCGTTCGGGCGGGGCGTGACGTAACGCGGTCACGCCCGACGGTTCGGGGGGTCGAGGGGAGTCGCCCCGCAGCAGGGGCTGCGGGCCCGAGACCCCTGGAGCACTTGAGAAGGGTTGCCAGTCCAAGGGGCGACATATCTCCTTTCCTGGAGGAACGAGTCGCTGTGGCTCCTAGACACCGCGTGACTGCGCGGTGTGACGCGTGACATGCGGGCCCGATCGGGCCCGCACCCTCCCATCGCCCCGTACCAGGGGAACCCAGAGCTTGAGGCCAGAGAGCAAGAAGAAGTGGCTAGGACAAGGGTGAACATAAGAGACAAGAGCCTGAGCTGTCCAGCCCAACCAAGGGCTCAGGTCAATGAGGCAAGCTAGCCTGGGTGTTGGAAGTCGTCTAGACGCCCCTTTCCCGGGGTATGGTTGCAGCAACCCCGCTCTAGGGGACCAGGCCGGAGTAGGGTTCAAAGGAAGAGACTTCAATGCTAAACCTAAGGTACAGGAGTAATACTCTAGTCTTTATATACTGTGGCCGCTAGGGGCCGATCGGGCCCGCTGAGGGTCGATCAGAATGGAGCAGGGGATGTCTCTGGTCGTCCCTGGTCGCTCCGCTAGGAGCCCAGGGACCATTCCTCTGGAAAGGAGCCGTGCCAATGTCGACACTAAGGAGTGTTTGACAATGCAACAGTAAGGAGCTCCCTCCTGGACCCTGTGGTTGTCTAGGGCCAATTGGGCCCGCTGTCAAGGGCGTCCGGCGGCGCATCATGATCCCTGATGGCGGGTCATGATGGCTTGATGGCTGACTAAAGCGCGATCCGTGATTATGTCCCTTCTCTGGGATATTAGTGTTGTTGCTCATTGCTTTGAGCTTGTGAATTATGAGGGCTTGTCAAGCCCTAGGGCTCTAAGGGTGGTGAGGGCCCGATGGGCCGTATAGGGCCCGTTGGCCCGACCCGAACCCTGACAAGGCCCTCTGCCGCTGCTCGGGTTCGTCGTCTCTGAGCCGCCTCCTGACTGGCCCTTCGGCATGTATCACAAGTCTGATATAAGCCTTGCTGTCCGGTAGGCTTTTTGAAGTGTTTCCGCTTTTTGATTTTGCGGCAGGCCCGACGCGTGCACCGTTCTCGTGTTCGACATCGCCGACACCGAGTGTGTGGATTTTCATTTGCAGAAACATTATACTCCTCGAGTG